TCTTTTTTTTTTTTTCCTGACACTGAAAAATAAATAGCTTGCATTTAATGTCTGATCTAGACATCTTTGAGGCTGACTGCACACAAACTGCTTCAATGCTGGGCTGTAAATTAATGGTCAGAGAGTGAAGGGCCTCTGTAGCACCATCTACATCTCACTGGTACACAGATTTGGGCAACTTTCCTGCGTTAGAAAATCATGTAGGCTCTAAAAAACATCAGAGAGTTTTAGATGCAGACATCTGCAGATCTTGCTACAGCAAGATAGCTATGTCTGATCCACTCAACACACACTAACACACCATCATAATACACATACTAACACTAACATAATACACACCCAAATAATACCTGCAATGTGGTGGTCCTGTGGGTGTCTTAACCACTGAACAACAGAGTGAAAGGGGGTAACAAAGAATACAGAGAATCAGATGGACTACAGTCTGTAATTATGACTACAAAGTGCACTTATATGGTAAGTGGAGCTGATAAAATGGACAATGGGTGTGGGTACAAAGGGGAACATACTGTGCAAGACTATAAGTCTTTCTACTGCCTTTTTACACCTTAAAACTACCTGGTATTGTGAGTATGTTCATACTTACTGCACTGTTATTCCAAATCATTATCCAAATCTGAGACACTGAACTGTAGCCTTACCTGCTTAATAACAAGAACCTGTTAAAGATTTCAGTGTCATTTATTCATGCACATTTATTCACAGTTTTCTTGGTACTTGCCCTCTTTGTTTTGGTGAGGTGAGGTCAGGGCTATAGGCACTAGGCAAAGGTAGGGCCTATGTTTTAAAAAAGATCTTCAAGATGGCTGATCATGTGTGCTGTTTTAGGTATTTTACCAGTGCTTCTTTTAACTTAGTTTGCAAGACTTCGTGTTTTATGTTAGGGAAAGTACTTTAGTGGTGGTATTTTACCTGCACACTTTTAACTTTGGTTTACAAGAGATTGTTTGTACCACCTGGGGTTTCAAACAGGTAAGAGGGGCGTGACTATACATTGTCTGCTCTGTCTAGCTCCCTAGGTCAGAGGGCGGGCACTGCCACATGTACTTTTGGTTACTGGCTAGGGAAGTTTAGAGTAGTTAACTTTTGTTTCCTTTTTTCAGATTAGCTAAATACTTGTTCGGAGTAGGCCAGCGTGCTTAGGTTTTGTTTTGTTCTTTTCTTTGGTGCCGTCCAGTTTGATTCTTCCAGTGTGGTACTAGGTATCACAGCACTCCGGCCTTATTGAGGTTTGTTTTAATAAAAATAGCTTCAAAAGCTCTATATTGGTCTGTTTCTCATGCTTCTAATCCATTCTCCAGGTTCAGTATTTTAATGCCACATTTTACTGATCCCACGGCACCCTAGACAAAACAATGGGGTCGTAACAATGTTGATGTTAATAATTGATTTAGAAATATATATGTATATATATAATATATATATATATATATATATACACACATATATGTATATATGTGTGCGTGTGTGTGTGTATATGTGTGTGTGTACAATCACTGTTTTTAAAAACATATATATATATATATATATATATATATATATATATCCATTTTAAAAACAGTGATTGTAGTGGTTATTTTAAGTCATTTCAGTGCAGTGGGTTTACTCCTTACTCATTACCTCTATGTTAGTCTGTAACAAATTGTCAAATTGTATTGCCGTTTTGCTTTTTTTGAGCATATTTCTTAAAATTCTGTCAATATCATGAGACAATTCCACATTAAATTAACTAATTAATTAAAATAGTATGTCCAGCAGTCTCAGAACAAGATCTAATAGATGTGTTGACTAAATTTAAGATATTTTCACTTGCCGTTAAACTAACTTGGTTAAGAAATCATAAAATGGGCATCCAGGAGGCCCCATTTCTGACTTTTGCCTACAGCCCCAGAATCACTAAATCCATCATAAGTGAGGTGTTGTTCAGGAACAATGTATGAATATGAGGTTTTCAAAAACATACATTGAAATAGAAACGTTTTCTAAAACAAATAGTAGTTGTAATGCTTCAGACAGCCTCGACCTTGAGTAAAATGACAGATCTGTCCCAATTAAACATCCATCAGTCTTGACACAATGACTGCAGCATTACAGGGGTAAACATTGCCACGCAATTACTTTATCCAGACTAAACAGTTTGAGGCAATTAGTGATGCAGTGTGATATGTATATATATGTACACTGCAGCAAATGGAGGAGGACATGTGGCACTTCTCACCACGCAGACCCAGAGTGAGAGATAGCCCTGATATGTCACAATCATTCAGCACACACTGTTTAAATGTTTGCCCTTCATGGTATGATTGTGTTTGCCGTTGATCACGTGTTGCCAAGCCAAAACATGCATGAAAAAACAAACATCTGAAACGTTTCAATTGTTCCATTGGCCTAGTTCAAAAGTTCAGTGGAATCAGTGCTGGGGAAGTGAAAAGTGAGTAATTTTGGCCTGTTTCAGATGCTAAGTTCGTTGTAGGGTGATATACAAAATACAGAATTCACTATATGATGCACTACCCGGATGGCTTGTGTTAATATGTTAATTTTAATATGTTAATGTGCCTAGCACACCTGCATGTGCATACACACACACATACAGATGCACACAATGTATACAAACACACCTATGTTCCATAAATACATTTATGTGCTTAAGAATGTAAATGTTTCTAAAGTTCTGCCAAACAAACATGTTCTAAAGCTTCACTATGTTTCTTCATTTTATTCCTTAAATGCCAAAATCAGTGTAAATTCACATTGTGTTCAATTAGTTTTTTTTACAATAACTTTAAAAAGCATAATGTAAAAATGAATCCTCATTTTTTTAAATAAAGAGTTTAAGGTAGGATGTAAACAAACTTTCAATACTATAAAGTCCTTATATGGAAACTAAGCTGCTGTTCTAAATTCATTGTTTTAATAATGTCACAAAAGCCAACTCATCTTCATATTTCAACTAATCTGCCTATTCAACCTGAAGTTATGAGTGTTTCATGAGTTTGGAATGAAACACAATACAGAACAGCTAAGCTCATTTACAAAAGTCTACGAACTGAAGCAGCCCTTCAGTTACCTCCAGAGATGTTATAAATGAGGAGAAGATATGAATGGGAAAGCTTGCAGCGCTCAACATGGCGTCTGTTTACAGAGTAAGTCCCATCCTTCAAAAAACAGAGACAATCAGCTTGCTGGTTACGCAGAGAGCGAGGAAAGCCTCTCTCATGGTGGGGATCTGTGCAAGTGCAGTAGCCAGAACAACCCCAAAAAACGACATTTATTGTGCGTAATTGAGCCAAATGCTGCAACACATTTATAAGGTTTTTGTCAGTTTATCAGTGATTTCAAATATGTTTTTGAAATGGTAATCTCTCCATTAAACAGGATCGAAGCCTGGTCTTGTATGGCTCAAAATAACTGCCCTGAGGTGTTGCAAAGATGGCCACTGAGTGCACTGAGTGACTTTCCTACAAGGACTTTGGGTACCTCATACAAGAGCATATTTCTGTCTAAAACCATATTCAGTATTCAAATATCTGCTTAATTAGCATTATTACTGAAATATTCTGCTAAAATATTTATAGCCACCTGAAAATCAGACTAAGAATTTTAGTGAAGCGCTGGAAAGAAAAAAATTACCATTGTAATTGACAATGAAACTGAATGCTTATTCTGAATATGTATCAGAAAAATAGATTACATTCTTGTTCCTCTGAAAAACAATGTTTGTTCTGATGTTTTAATACCGACATATAAAGCATTAGCACAGGGCAGCTGTGTTGTCAGTCCAGTCCAGCTTTTTGTTGAGGTGAACACCCAGGTGAAGTCCTATAAGTACCTGGGTGTTCACCTCAACAACAAGCTGGACTGGACTGACAACACAGCTGCCCTCTACAGGAAAGGCCAGAGCAGGCTACATCTCCTGAGGAGACTCAGGTCCTTTGGCGTGCAGGGGGCACTTCTCAGGACCTTCTTCGACGCTGTGGTGGCATCAGCCATTTTTTATGGAGTGGTGTGCTGGGGCAGCAGCATCTCCATTGCTGACAGGAAGAGACTGAATAAGATCATCAGGAAGTCCAGCTCTGTCCTGGGATGTCCTCTTGACCCAGTGGAGGTGGTGGGGGACAGGAGAATGAGGACTAAGCTAACAAACATGCTGAAGAACCTGTCCCACCCCATGCACCGCTCTCTGACAGCACTGAGCAGCTCCTTCAGTGCCCGGCTGCGGCACCCGCGGTGCGTGAAGGAGAGATACCGCAGGTCCTTCCTCCCAGCCGCTGTCAGATGCAATATTTCTCCATTTATTTACTGTTTATTTATTTGCTATTTTATTCACTGTGCAATACTCACTACAATACATACATTTCTACATTTCTAAATTTAAATGTAATACTTTGTATATTTTTCTTGTAATCTTTGTACATATACATATATATCTTTATACTTTTATTGTTTATTCTATTTAAATATTGTTTGTATATTTCCTGCTACTCTGTCTTCTGTGCTGCTGTAACACCGCAAATTTCCCCGTTGTGGGATTAATAAAGGATTATCTTATCTTATCTTATCTTATTAGTCATCATGACAATATGATAATGCTAACTATAGACATAATTCATAATCTGTTTTTTCATTTCTGTTTGCCTTGTGTCGGCTATTGCCTGCTGACATTGGTCCCCCCAGTTGTCAGACCAAATTTGCACCCCTGGTTCTGTCCCTAGTTGGCGGTAAGGTGAAGAGGTCCTGAGAGCGATGTCAGGAAGAAGGCGCAATGTGATGAAATGGACTCTGGCCCAGGGCACAAAATGCAAGGTCCCACTTTTTCCAATTGCATTTATTACTCGTATTATCTTTTCATATAAAAGGTGTTTATGGGGCAATATGAGGGGCATTTCTTTGTGACTTTATGAGTGTCATATCACTTGTCAGCAAATGCATAATTTACATTATACATTAACCCAGATACAACAAAAGGCTATAAACTACAACTCTAAAACTGGCCTTGCATCTTCAGTCCATGTTCAAAGACATCAGGAGCAGCCATAGAGAAGAAGACGAGGTCTTGGAGTGAGGAGTCAACATGAGGTGCATCAGGGTTACATGTTTGGTCCTCTGGGCTTTCATTTTCACCTCCAACGCGAATGAGTACAAGGAACGAGCATTTAGACTGATGGCTGAGACCCCACTAGTAGATGGGTAAGAAAGCACTCCAGTTCAGAAGTTTCTAAACATAGGGAGGTATTCCAGCCAGCTTTGGTGATGATTAGTGGATATTTTTAAGGCTACACTTACATTACCAAGCTGAAGTGGCACAAATATGATTTTTTGCCTGAATATGAAACAGATGTGATGTTTTCAGAGCTGGGTGGGCATGCAGTCCGCATCTTTTCAAATCAGATCTGAGCCACTTTCACCATGCATATACCATCAATGTGGCAGCAGTGCCTAACATGAAGTTAACCAGTGACCTGAAGTCAACCAGCACCAGTAAACGGTGCCAATGCAATCTACCTGACCCTTTTTTGACCTAAGCAGAGAGGTTTTCAGGGCAAATTATCTTTGCCGACTAAGGTTTGTTCTGGCGGTTAGTTTGTTTATTGTTCATGACACACATGGTTTATTCGCATGATGATTAGTATGTTGCGTATGTGGGTAATTTCAGACCGCCTTAATTGACAGATTTGAGTGAGTTTACGTACACAAATGTGAATGATAAGATATGAACAAAAATTTAGAATTGAGCGATGAGGCTTGTAATGTGAATGTAGATGTATGCTGGGAAAACGTCTTCTTAAATAGATGCTTTGATGTGATGCTCTTTTGTTTATGTTATGGTTACTATGAAAGGACTCATACACTTATGATGTATTTTGTGGTTTCTAACATGGCATAGACACAATGACTTGCCGTGGCAGCTGAGATCAATATTCAACAACAAGCTCAGCTCCGTGGATCTGTACACACTCAATTCCACACACACCAATATCCCCAAAATCAAAGACGGTCGTCTTGCAGCACAGGTATGTCCTCACTCATGCACACATAGCGTTGTAACACTGTAAAAACATGTTACAGTAAAAATCAATTCCATTTTCCTGTAACAATATAGCATAACACAAGGCAGCTACTGACTTAATAAGAATTACTTGCATCCAAATCAAATTATGTACAATGTATTTAAAACATAAATATCTTCTTTATATTTTGTCCATGCCTGATCTTGTACTTAATTTGCCTGACTATGCTACAGTAGGCAGAAGTGAGTGGGCCAACTTGGTAGATAGAATTTCTATGTGCTCTATGTCCTGCAATGCCATAACATCAGGCAATAGCAGCGCAGTCATCGCCCTATCTATTTCAAAGCTTCCGCCCTGGAAAACAATAAAAAGACTGTGTACACATTAACCAGAATGCTGGATTTATGTGTAAAACATGTGTGTGCTTGTGACAGGTACAACTTCTTCCACATGAAGACAATATAACTGAAAATCAGACAGCAGAGATTTATAAAAACAACGATAAACAACAGAGCAAACATTAAAAAACGAAACCTAGTCGTCTTTAATTAATGCATCCTGCCATGGCAGGCATGAAAAAAGTTTATGGACCATTTATGTCTTACCTTTGATGACTCTTGGTGATGCATTGCAGTAGAAATTTTAACAGTTTTTGCTTCTGCAGCAAATTTGCAAAACACTGATGACAAGAACATTTTTTTTTATTATTTGTCTTTGGCTTTGGATGGGTAGAAACTTTAACAAGACCCCCAGGTACATCCTTTGACCACAGGTGGTGGTCAAATTCAAACACTGGCACACAGATACTGAAGGCTTAAGGCAAAGGCAGGCAGCAATGGGAAAGTAGGGCTGAGAAAATAAAGCTAAAAAATTTTAAAGCTGACTAGAGCTTAGGATCATGAAATGATTTGATTGACCACTGAAAGAAACAGTAGCTACATGTTACACCACTATGTAGCCTCTCACTCTTAGACAGCTACTTCACATCTTTGTTTGAGGGGAACTAGAGCTTTGGTATTACTTTACTCCTCCCTGACTCATCCATAGAACACTTGTGAACACTGTCCGGCATAGTCTGCTGAGTTACTGGTCTCATCTTCAATTGAACTTTCCATTTAAAAGCTGGATTTGAAGAAAATGGCTAGTCATAGCAACAGCATGTAAGCAGCTGGGCTTCAGGCTGGAACAAATATTTTTTTGATAGGAACAAACTAGGAAAATGTGCTTTATGTTATTAAAAATTTTGGTGCTAATAAAATATTTTTTTTTGCATATTAACTTTGTCCCTTCCTGTTTATACTTGAGAAATGTCTCATATTCTCTCTTCTACTGCAGTTTTGGGCTGCATATGTTGCATGCGACACACAGTATAAAGATGCAGTAAGACAGACCCTGGAACAGATCGACATCATTCACAGAATGTGTCAAAAATACCCAGACGACTTCATGTTTGCTGCCAGTAGCCAAGGTGACACATTTTCCGTACAACTCTGATTCATTATTTGTATAATGCATGATCAATTGAAATCAAATGCTGATAAGCTACATATTGTGTTTACCTTACCTAACTCTTTAAAATTTTGAAAGCCAGTAGAATTAGCTTGATCCATGCGAATGACAGACATCTTAACGTAGGCCTAGAGGCCTTAAAGGTCTTTGAATGAATTTTCACTCTAATCGCTCGCATACAGCAACTGCCGTTTTTTATTGTAACTGGCTTTTTGTTCTTTTCTTCGTATTCTTTTCAAAGCTTTTCTAGCTTTCTTTCTTTTCTTTTGTAATTTTTTTTGATGGTAACTAACCATACGATACAATTACAGCAGATATAAATGAATGTTTTATTCTGGATTCAAAATGTGGCTGAATTAAATGTTAAAGTTTAATGTTTGTTTTTTCATACACAGATATAATGGATGCCTTTGCCAAGAATAAGACAGCTAGCCTGATCGGGGTAGAAGGAGGTCACTCCATAGACAGCAGCATGGCCACATTGCGTACCATGTACCAGCTGGGGGTTCGTTATCTTACCCTCACGCACAGCTGCAACACGCCCTGGTGAGTGGCCCAGAGGGTCCGACACCTGGACCTGGAAAAACAGAATTGGAGTAGCAGCACCATTATACTTTTAGATGTGGAAAAGATCCATAAAGGAATCTAACCTAACCTGATTTCTTCTAAATCAATGTAAACAATTGTTTAGTCTGTCCTCAGTACAGCATAATCACTGTGGCATGAAATTCCAATGAATTTCCACTTGCTGCATGGGAACTCTGCAGGTAGGAGGTTTCCATTTCATTTCATTTCATTTGACTGCATCTCAGGGTTCTAAATCTCTGTTCAACGGAAAACAGGAGGGTCATGTTGCAAATGACCATAAAAGACTAGGATAGTGTTTCTTGGAGGCCCTCTGTCTGGCATATTTTTGTGCTTTTCCTGCTCTAACACAGCCTCTTTAAAAAAAATTATGGATTGCTAATGAGCTGGTTATTGGATCAGGTGTGTTGGGAGCAGAGAAAACACTGAAAAGAGCAGGGCAGTGGGCCTCCAGGACCAGAGTTGAGAAACACTGGACTAGAGGGTGCAAATCCATGACTTTACAACCAAATTTCACCACGATTGGATTATTTTGGTACAATTCAGAATCAAATCAAGCTTTTGTTGCATTTTTACATCACAAAATAGTCAAAGAATCTTCTTTGGGCTGAAAAATGAGTGCATACTTTGTTGAAAATTGTGTTATACGACATTTAGTTCTGACAGCACAGTCTGATTGGTTGAGAAGCATTACCACGTTTTTTCACAATAGCTTTATCATTCCAGTGTAGCCAGTAACAACTTGCTTTATGCTACAGCTAACCATTACTATGTAAGGTTCTACCTGCCTTTAGCACACACAAAAACAAGAAATTAATATTATGAGCCTTGCAATAATGTGTTTCCGGATGGCATCCGGATAAACTTTGGCCAGATTCCATTTACACTACTCATCAAAATGCATCCCCACCCTGACCGCATGAGATGCAGTTGTACTTGTCCTACGTGAAAAGCACGTCAACACATACATTGTTTCCATACTACCACTTGCTATAGTATGTGCATCTCCACAGCAATGTGGAGCATTTCGTGTTTGTGGCGTTCCCAGAAGGATGATTTCTGGCTCATTTCTTGGAAGGGCTGGACTTTCCTCGTAAACAAATGGTGTGTTGAGCATTATGAGCTTTCCCATTCATTTTGAAACCAATGAACTGTTTTCTCCTTTTCAATATCACTACCCTAAGCAAGATTTTCGATCGGAGGTTATAATGGCAGAGCAATCAAACAAACTGGAATTTATGCTTCATAGACTGACTGGAACAAAACAACATTGAGTATAATCTCAAATATTGAAAAAGCTGACAGATATAGCTTTACCTGTAGCTAAAGGCCACTACTTTTTTATTCTGTGGAACTATTGTATAAAAGCAATAGAATACTTAAGGAAAGGATTATTGATATTATTCATTTACATGCACACCCAAAATATGATCACTATTGGATTTTGGCAGTTATTTGGTTATTCAAGTGATCATGTAAACAGCAAACCCCAATTTCTTAGATTGGATAAAGACCATTATTACAGCCATTAACAAAGAGCTGTCTCAGAAACAGCAAGTGGCATTTAGCACAGCTCCTGCGAGATGGCAACAAAACACTTTTTGAATGATTCTGAAACCAACCAGAAACGAAGAATTTGAATATTCTTCATCTTCTAAATGACGTGTATTCTTATTTTAGGTCAAGTGACTGTTTAAAAAAAGCTGCAAATGATGTTTAAGGTTTCGGTTACGTTCACATCAGGCTTCAGTGAGTTCATTGGTGGGTGGCCAGGGTTTTCACAGTATCTTATTACCCATGTGTATGTAAATGCATTGAATGAACTACTGATGAATTCTGCAGTTATCAGATTATGAAGCGCATGTGAACGCACTCATTGTTATCAGCAATGACATCTATGATGTTACTTGTGATAACACACTCCCTCTTGTGTTTTATTGCTTGAATTTCCAACATAAATCAATAAAACAAAAAGTCATGAGAGTGGGACAGTGATTTTACCACATTTATGGGATGTTGTTAGACATTTTCAATAAATTTATCACAATGTAACAAACAATTTTTGCATTAAGCAATGCAGCCCATTAACAGTAGGCTATGGTTGCCAAGCAACATACTGGTCAAAGAGAATTCCATAAACAGCACAATGTTTTTTAACAACTTGGCGCTCTGATATAAAATTCAGCTGTTGTATGCAATTATATGTGTGTATTGAATATTTTACAACAGCTTTGACCCCAACCATCATACTTACAAGACATTTTATTTCACAGGGCAGATAACTGGCTCGTGGATACGGAGTCAGATCTTGTGGAGCACAATGGCCTGAGTGACTTTGGCAAGGTTAGCTTATCACTTTATCTTCCATTAGGGCAACACAGTATGTTGTTTGTTATTGTTATCATGAGATTGCAATAGTGTTATCGCAGAAGGCTGGAATATGCAAACGACTAAATTATTATGGTCAAACAGAAGTGAATATTTACGGTTAAAATAATGCAGGCTAATCTTTAACTATGTGTTAATAATATATTGAAAGACATATTGCAATATATAGCAATGGTAAAGACTAAATCCCATAGTTCTTCACTTCTTGGACTGATGTCATAATGTTTCCATTCCTAGTTTTCCACTGAAGCTTCAGTGGAATCAGTCCATGTGTGCCTTTGTCTATTACTGTTAGCATAATAACAGATCATTCACTGCATGAATGCATGCATGCGTGCACATGGCTTGGCCAGCAGGGATAAATAAACCCTGCAGCACGTGAAGCAATGAAGTGATAATGTTCTGTTTAGTTCACAACCATTCATTACTCTATAAACTGAGGAGCAAGTGTGCCACTTCCTGTTTGACACCCTCCAGGCGTTCTAGGGGCCGTTGCTGACCATATGGCTTTATTTTTGTAGCGGCTGGTCTTGGAGATGAACCGCATGGGTATGTTGGTGGACCTGGCTCACGTGCCAGAACAGGTGATGAACCAGGTGCTGGACATCTCCAAAGCCCCGGTCATCTTCAGCCATTCCTCTGCCTTCAGCATCTGCAAACACAAGAGAAACGTCCCTGACAACATCCTACTAAAAGTGGTGAGAGGCCAGATTCTTTAAGTTAGCAGTAGTTTTCAGTAACACATTCACTTCAGTTGAAATGTTTTCAATAATTTAAAAGCAACTTGATTGCAAAAAAATATATAAAATGATTGTAATATGAAAGTCCCGTTAGGGCTGAACGATTTTGGCGAAATTTCTAATTGCAATTTTTCTGTCCGATATTGTGATTTATATTGTGAATTTTTTCTATAAACTGATGTATTTTTTTGACTAAGAAGATCAGCGTATGCGTTTTTGGCTTGAGGCTTGAACACTTCACACAATGCACCAGTCTCCCAGTCATTTGTGGTTGTGATGTCACAGCACACGGTTGTTTGGTTGCCTCTGATTCATCAAATTAATCTAAAAGCAGTTCACAAGCTCCGTGTGATTAGGTTAAATTTCCCTACTTAAACCTCTCAATGTATAAACATTCACATTTAAAAATGTTGGGTTTTTGTAAAGAAAATGGTTCATCAGCTCAAAAAACCCTTGGCCTGATTAAATGTTTTGTTGCATTGTGAAACGGTTCTGTTGGACAATGTATTGTATATGGTTCTACATAGCACCCAAAAGGGTTCTGCTATTGTTACTAGCTTGACACTGTAACAATAGAAGAACACTTTTGGGTGCTACATAGAACCATCTACAGCATTTTCTCAATCAGTCTGAAGAACGCTTTCACGATGCGAGGAACCATTTAATCATGCAAAGCATTCTTTGAGGTTTTCATGGTTCTATATAGAACTATTTTCTTTACTAAAGAACCCTTGCAGAGCCATCCTTTTTAAGAGTGCAGCTGAAAATAGACTCTAAAACTGTGATAAAAATTGCAGCTCTTGCAATTTGAAAATTGCAGCTCTTTAAAAATGTGGTTTCAGTATAAAATGATTGATCTTTCAGCCCTAAGTCCCATAAATGGACAAAGTTCCCAGAGACAGGACAGGAACATAAGCTACTTTTAGTAACATGTTGAGGCCCACAGTAAAGGAGGAATATAGAACATCTGTAGTCACGAAAAACTATACATAAAGAAGTCGTAGTACATACGAAATCACCCTATAAATGATTCAGGGAAACTGGAAAAATGTTTATGCACAAAGAGCAAGATCGAAAACCACAACTCAGTGCCCTTGACCTTCGATCCCTCATGCTTCTGTCAACCTTTCAGATTAGTTTATGGTGATAACGGGCATCCTTGTTCTCTGGGCCAAACAACAAAAAAAGGGTGATCCAGATTGTTAACAGCATTGAGTTTAAAAGCCAGAGTCTGTTGGTATGGGGGGGTGAAGGCATTTATGAAGGCACTATTAACACTGAAAGATATATACATATTTTGGAACAACAGATACTGCCTTTTAGAAAACATCTTTATCATGCTTACTTCAGCATGACAACACTAAACGTCTCTGACTGCATAATTGGAGAATGCAGGTGCTACACCAGCCTGCCTGTGCTTCAGACCAGTCTCTCGCTGAAAACATCATGAGACACATTATGAGGAGCAAAACAGGATAATGATGACCCCATACAGTTGCACAACTAATGAATTGTGTAACAGAAGACCTAGTTACATATATGAGTCTGCATGGGTTCATCCACCACCGCATTGGGTCAACATTTAACTCTGTATTGGGTTAAATGTTAAATAACTGTGAAAGTGGGTTGTGGAATATACTGCTGTGTGCTTCAACCTGACAGGGAAAACCTGAAGAGTAAATCACACACTTTCCTGTTGCATGTCTAGACTCTACCTGGCATCTTTACAGTCTAAATGTACCAAGAAAGCGTAATAGTTTATGCTTGATAGACTGCTATCAGAGATTCACCTGGGTGAGCTTAAGGTAAATATGACTTTAAGGACTAGTAACAGGATGACTGCTGTTTTGGAATGGAGCATTTGAACATGAAATTTGTATTTTTGTAAATATATACTTATTCCAAATATTATGCCTGCAACACATTCCAAAAAAGTGCCGCTGTCCCACATTTTTCAGAACATGTTTTAGGCAGGTATTGGGGTGGTGGATTATTCAGCAGATATTTACAAAACACAATGAAGTTCATAAGATACATTAAATACACTATATGGACAAAAGTATTGAGACACCTACACGTTACACCTACAGGCGCTTTTATGACATTCCATTCTAAATCCATAGGCATTAATATGGAGTTGGTCCCCCTTTGCAGCTGTAACAGCTTCTTCAGGAAAGCTTTCTACAAGATTTTATCTCACCATATAGGTGCACTTTGTAGTTCTACAATTACAGACTGTAGTCCATCTGTTTCTCTGCATACTTTGTTAACCCTCTTTTACCGTGTTCTTCAGTGGTCAGGACCCCCACAGGACCACCACAGAGCAGGCGTTATTTGAGTGGTGGATCATTCTCAGCACTGCAGTAACACTGACGTGGTGGTGGTGTGTTAGTGTGTGTTGCGCTGGTCTGAGTGGATCAGACACAGCATTACTGCCGGAGTTTTTAAACACCTCAGTGTCACTGCTGGACTGAGAATAGTCCACCGACCAAAAATAGCCAGCCAACAGCATCCTGTCGGCAGCCTCCTGTAACCACTTATAAAGCACTAGAGGATGACTAACACAAACTGTGCTAAAACAGATAGAGCTACCGTCTCTCACTTTACATCTAGTAGGTGGACAAACAAGGTACGTGTGTCTAATAGAGTGGACAGTGGGTGTTTAAAACCTCCAGCAGCAATGCTGTGTCTGATCCACACATACCAGCGCAACACACACTAACATACCACCACCCGTGAGTCTCACTGTAGTGCTCAGAACTGGATCCAAACCAAATTTGGAGGTGGTTTGAAATGCCATTCCAATCAGATTGTTACAGATGTGTCTCGCAAGCTGACAAACAGCGACAATGTCAAATCCAGAGTGCAGTCTGAACACAGTCTTTGTTATGTCGGTAAGTGTGGTGTCAGAAAAACAGGTCTCGTTTCTTCATTCCAGAAAGAAAAGAAAGGGATCGTTATGGTGAATTTCTACAATGACTATGTCACCTGTAGCACAGAGGCAACCCTCTCAGACGTGGCTGGTGAGTAATGGTGCTGCAATGCCAAACAGACAGTAATTAGGCTCTCAGTGGTTTAAGCCCTTACAATCTCAGACGTATTACATACTAAGGCTTATTATGCAGTAACTACAGGGTCCTCAGTGCAAACCTCAGGCATTCTTAGGTTTCAGAAGTGTGTAATAATACTTTGGGCCCACTAGTGCTCATTTAAGGGGTTAACACTACACCGTATCTCTTTCCATGCTTGTCCAACACAGATCACTTCGACCACATCAAGAATGTAGGTGGCGCCAGCATAGTGGGATTCGGTGGTGATTATGATGGTGTGCCCAGGTAAGCCTGCCAGATTTTATGTAACATCTTGAGCAACACGTTGTAATAAGGTCATAAATGATCCTCGTGTGACATTATGTCACAAAAGTGGAGCTTACACAGATAAGGCAATATAATATAGGCATAATAGTTATAGACTGTAACAGTAATAACAGGCCATAAAAGCTTCATGTTCAAAGGCTCTGTAATCTGTACTCAGCTGTCCATAAACTCTTTTCTGCAATGCTGAAATAAGGCTTACACAAGCCACTAGATGGAATGTATAGTCTTGTAAGGCCAGATGTGATCTTGTAAAGAGAGTACACATCTGGGGACAACTTCTTAAACCTTTGGTGATGGAACCACTAACAAGTGTACATCTCCTCTAAACACCAGCCCCTGTAGATGTGACACATGCTTAATTGGAGGTTTTTGCAGGGACCTTTTAGCCATGCTATGGATGTCACATCCAAGGGTTAATAACAGGCTTGTTGTCCATTGGAGAGCGCTAGAAAAGAATAAAGCTAATAAGCATAAGCCAAAAGGATCGATTCCTTCGTTCATGTTTGTCTGCACCCACATGCACATGGAGTGTAAGATATTCTGCCCTCTGTCACTAGAAAGGCTGTCTGAAAAAATACATCTTTCTACAGCACTAACATCAATAATCCATAGTGGTGGTAAATGTAATTCGTTACTGTACTTAAGTAGTTTTTTTGTGTATCTGTACTTTACTGAAGTATTTCCATTTTGGGTGACTTTTTACTTTCACTCCACTACATTTCAAAGTCAAATATCTTACTTTTTACTCCACTACATTTTGCGAAACCCGTCGTTCCTTTTGGCTTATGTGTGTATAAAAACGTAACGTCAAAACAAAAGAAGCATGAAGCAACAACACCAATCAGGGCACAGCACGCACTTTGTTTTGAGCTTGTTTTGACCTGTTGGTCATACCTACCCATTGCAAGCATACGGTTCAACATCAGTGCAGCAGCGTAAAAGTTTGGAAGTGTCTATTCAACATAAATGATGAACTAATCTAACTTTGTGTAAATAGACCACAATGTAGAAATACGCACATATATGCAGTTGTGACTGACGTTTCTTTTTTCTGAATTTATACAAACACTATTTCATTTTATAGTAAATTTGTTTTGGCTAGGTTATGTTTATGAACAGAGACCTACAGATGTAGTATAGTAAAGGAAAACTCATTTGTGAATCTGAGTTTAAAGCACATTTTTATTAAAGTTAAACTTGTAACTAAGTTGTAAATAAATCTTAAACTGAAACTTTGCTTGTTTGCAAAAAGTTATTTCAGAGCCACTTGGTTCTACCTAATGGAAATTGTTTGCCTTCAGTGTTTTGTGCTTATGATCATTTTAATAGATGTCAGCGTCACTAATTAATGACATTCTATTAAAAGACTGGTTTACTAAGAGTGACACTGGAGTATTTTCACCTAAAATGAGTTAATGAAGCAGAGTCTTGTTATAAAAATGTTAATAGAACATTAGAGCCATAATTAATCTTGTAGTACTTTAGCTTTTGATACTTAAGTCCATTTGAAGGCAAATACTTTTGTACTTTTACTCAAGTGGAGGTCTAAAGGGAGGAACTTCTACTTTTACTGGAGTAATATTTTACCTTGGGTATCTCTACTTTAACTCAAGTACATGATTTGTGTACTTCGTCCATCACTGATAATCCAGCTGTATTTTACCTTAGACAAAGTGGAAACAAAGGACAATGAAAGGTTAGTCACAGAAAATTGGCTGACAACCAAATGGAGTAGACAGAGGAGAGTCAGGTAAAGTTTTTTTTAGCTAGTCCTTCTCTATGTCTTGGTTTTTAATCAAGGTTATTGCATGGTATCGAGTCTTGGAATCGATTCCACCAATTCCCATCACTTAGAATCAGAGTTTGACTACAAAATGTTGACGAGCGCATTCACTCCCCCTCCATTGAGCTCCGCTTTCAAGAGATGTTGGACTGGTTTTAGAAATTTCACATGGACGGCCTGTTTAAACCTTGTATTAACATGCCTTTTTGGTGATCAAATCATCTTCGAATTTCACTTGAATGTTTGAAAGGCTTTGTGTAAACACAACCAGGGTACACTGTGATCAGATTACGAACGAAACACTCAAACTGTGTTCGGAGATGATTAGAGACAGATCTTGGCCACGTTTAATGTAGTTGTGTTATAACTGAAGTTTGTGGGGGAGAAACATGCCTGAAACCCTTCCTTCTTCCAATCTAATACCCTATAAATTCACATCTTCACTTTCCATTTCCATGACAAATGGTTCGCAATCCCCACTGCCACCCAATCTCCTCCATTTTCCGTAGTCCTGCTACAGCTATGAGGGGGATCTGACCCTCTAGTTGCAGGCCAAAGCTGCCCAGAACTCCAGCCCAAGTTCTCAGAGTTCTCTCCCCTCCCTCAATCAGTCTTGTCTCATACTACCACCACCATGTTGAAGGCATGAACTACAAAACACAAGTGTTAACATAGTGTGTTTTCATTATCTGTATACAGTTACATGAGCAGAAATGTGTGTGTGTGCGTGCTGACTAGCAGGTGGAGCATACACAAGGCTGTAGTTCCCCAAACCAAGAGCCTTCATGCTCTCAGGGCTGATGCAAGCATCCAAGCCGACCGCTGTCCACTTGCATTGCAACAAGGGAAAAGTGGAACAGACGAATGCAGCATGTACGTGTGAAAACAAAGTGCACGCAGGGTTGAAGGGTGGTGTAAGTCCCAATGAAACACAGATGACAGCAATGCACATGTGCATTTTATGTCTTTTATGCGCAAATGAAACCTTTACCAAGCAACATGGCCATAACTAGCTATGGGACACAGAGGTCTGGACCTCAGGTGGCAACTGCAACCAAGTGGTATAGATTTTAACCCAAGTTTAATGAATCACTTGGGCTCTTAAACTCCATTGCTCTGTCCTTGAAAACTGCAGTTTAAAGCACACTTGTGGTTTAGACCTTATGCAATTGCTGGGTCAGTTAAATATCACGCATGTGCCACTAGATGTCACTGCATCAGGTTTAACTGAGGTTTACCTTAAACCTGCTAAAGACATGGTTTTACTGACATCCAAGGCAAGAGTACTGTAATTGAAGCACATTTTCAGCTCAGATCAATACCTAGGCTCATATAACTGTTTTGTGGACTTCATAGCATGTTTAATTAAATTCTATATTGCTTCAATGAACACACACTGAGGGACTGTACTCAACTAGAAGAAAGGGTTAAAAGTTGCATTCATGATTTGTTTTTTTTCCTAGTGTATTGTTCAGAAAAACTTAAGATGACTTGTGTTTAGGCCGTCCCTACTATTGACTCTAATAGGAAACTGTAGCAGACACACATTAGACTTCAGCAAACCTTTGTTCTTCACTTCCCGAATCTCCACACAAGAAAGAAGGAAGGAAAAATAAAAAAAAAAACCAACAGTGCTGAACAATTCAAAACTATTTGCAATGCTAATCAGAATACATTGCCTGCAGTGTCATCAGTTAGGGGTCAGTATGCAGTATTAAAGCTGCACAGCTGTGCAGCTCCTTGTGAGTGTGGAACATGGGGTTCTGCATGAATGACAGTGATGTTTTTGGCCCTCTGTGGACTGGTTTGCAGTGCAATCGTGAGGCAAGCACAGGAAGTCTGTTTAATGCAACAGCGCGCTTGTGGTTTTTCTTGAATTGCCACGCAGTGGGTGGAGTCATTCCAGTCACTCAGCAACATTCAGTTTCATGTCAGGTCAGACCTGAAATGAAAAGGCTGTTATTGTGTGCTGTAAGTGTAAATTAACTCAAGGAAGATAGTTTTAATGTTTTGATTGTCGTATTAAAAAAATAAACTCCTGCTTGTTTTGACAGAGCAATCAGGTTTAACACGCAGCTGTGTGTTAAGCTCCTTAAGTTAGTGCTTTAGCCATACCTCTTGTTAAACAGAGACTAAGCAGCTGCTTAGCTAATGACAGTGCAAAAGCACCTGGTAGTTTCGGAAGGTTTATTTTTTCTCCCTCATGTCTTCTCAGAGCAGACCATAGATTTATTAGCCACCATGTTTAGCTCTACACAAGATGCTATGCTACATAGGCCGTACACCCACCAGACACTAAGACAGGTTAACTAACAGGCTTTTCGGTAAAATCAAAAACCTGACACAGCATTACTGACGCACAGTGAGAAAACATGGTCATAATTTCAGTAATAAATCCTTTAATGAAACGTAGGCAGAGCCCATCAGTTGACATAGTGATAAATGTTTAATAAGGCATGGCCACAAATTAATATATTAAGGCCACAAGTTAACATATTGAGGCCACAAATTAATATAGTAAGGCCACAAGTTAATATATTGCAGCTACAAATGAATATATTAAGGCCACGAATTAATGTGTTGAAGGCACAAGTTCATATACTGAGGGCAGAAGTTCATATATTGAGGGCACAAGTTCATATACTGAGGGCACAAGTTCATATATTGAGGGCACAAGTTCATGTATTGCAGCTACAAGTAAATATATATTGAGGCCAAAAATGAATGTGTTGAGGGCACAAGTTAATATATTGAGGGCAAAAGTCAATATATTGAGGCCACAAATTAATATATTGAGGCCACAAGTTAATATATTAAGGCAACAAATTAATATATGGAGGCCACAAATGAATGTGTTGAGGCCACAAATTAATATATTGAGGCCACAAGTTAATATGTTGAGGCAACAAATTAATATATTGAGGTCACAAATTAATATGTCAAGGCCACAAGTTGATATATGGAGGCAACAAATTAATATATTGAGGCAACGTATTAATATTTGTAGGCCACAAATCCATATATTGAAGCCACAAGTTAATATATTGAGGCCAAAAGTAAATGTATTGAGGTCACATGGCCACAAGAAACTTAATTTGTGGCCTTAATATATTCATTGGTAGCCTTAACATTTTAATTTGTGGCCAAGTATTATTAAAAATAGTCACCATGTCACCTTACCATTGATGTCATATTTAGGCTTCAACATGTATTTTCAGCTGAGAATAAATAGGTGAATAAATAGGTAAATAATTAACTAAATAAAATTGAACTGTCAAACTGGAGTCAACACATTTAATGGAAGAACGGAGAGAAACAGACAAAACAGGCACATAGAAGAGTAATCAGGTGATAAAAACTCATACACCATATACTTGGCAGTGTGGTTTGCTCCCCGCCTAAAGAAGGTCACAGTTCCCCTTTGAGGACCTCATTAAAATGTTTACTGTGTTAATGCTTTGCCATGCATGAAGCTTTTTTAGTGCTTTATTGCTACTCTGTCCCACATTGTTTTTCTTAGTTAACCTTGTATTGGCTCACACTGTAATTCATAGCTAGTCGAACTGTAGAATTTTTCAAACAAGCAAATATGATAAAAGAGCTTCTTTTTTGGTTTACTGCTGTAGAATCCGGTGATAAGGAAAACCTGGGTAGATGCCTGATTCAAATATCTTTGGGAAAATGCTGCAGATCTTAACTCTGCCAATTAAAAAATAAATCAATTACCAAAATTTCTGTAGATTGGCTGAATAAAGGAAGCAGCATCCCTGACCCTTTCCCAAAATGAAAAGCTCTTCTAATCTGTATAATTCATATATTTATCATTCAGAACAGCGAATTTCACTGGAAGGCGAAGTTTACATGCGGTTGATTGGTAATCCTGCCGGCATTCACTCTGTTTTATTACTGTAACTGTGAAAGAATCCACAGTGGCTAACACCACAGCCTAGGTCTGTCACAACCATGAAATTTTAGCAGACGGTTCATTTCCATATGTATAAAATTGCAATTAACAATGACATTGTCTTTGTTTTGTTCACTGTATTCATCTAATGTATAAGTCTAAAGTGGCTAAAGCTAATTAGATATCCTGCTTCCTAGCTGTCAAATAAACACACATTACTCACTGCTGCCCTATATCAGGTCAGATGTTAGTGTTTTCGTTGCTTTTGTAAGACCATGACATGCTTAATAAATTAATGTGCTCTGTTCTTTTATTCACATGCAATTGCAGCCTAAGGCATGAAGATGCACTGAAAATGGAGCCAATTCACATTCTGTTTGTTGCAATGTGAACACATGATTGTGAAAGAAAACAGGGCAAAACAACTGCAGTCATCTTAAATCATAAATTATTTTAATCAGCTCAAACAGTTATGTTCAGGCGATTATGTGATAATTGACAGGCCTACCACAGCGCCACACACGGAACAGTGTGAGTTTGATTTTCTGACCGGGCGTGAATTCCATTGCTGTACTCAACACCTTGGGCAAGACTCCCAACACTCAGGCCTGCATCATCAGGTTACGCCCGTCTGAGCACAAATATCTGGTGGGAACCTAACTGGCTACCTCCTCTGAATGGTCAGGGAATTTTTTATGATATCACAGCAGGTTACACAGAGGCCTATGCAGACCCACAACGGCAGCACACTAACTGCGGTGTTGGGCATGTCACTGAATGTCCTAGCTAAAGCATTCTGCCACGGCAGGTGTGGAAAATGTTCCATTCATATCTTACCTCTGATGACTCACAGCCAACAAGTACAATATTACTTTTTTCTTTAACTCGAGTGGCTGACATTTTACATTTGGCTTTGGAAATGGGAATCCTCAACTCTGTCGAAGTATAAGGTCTTGCTTTACAGGATCCTCCAGCATGTCTGTTGAACATCTAGAGGTTCAAATTCAGAGTACACTCACAGGAACATTAGCTTGGTCAAGACGAAGCAATAGAAAGATTACACACACATTAATAAAAACACACATAACATAAACCCAACAACCAAGGCGACATGTACTTACAAAGCATGCGTCCACTCTTCACAAGCAACACATTTACTCCAATAAAGATGACATTACTGCTAAATATGTAAATGTTTACACTAACACTCACGTCTTAACATTAGCTCATGATGCTAGTAAAGTAACCGCCGCAGGTCAAAACAGCTGATTAGATTTTTTCATAGTTACTCATAAAGGTCCCCTTCTGGCTCAGTCCTCTGGGCATGTACCTATAAAACCCATTGAAAGATCTGGTCCTGCCGATGCTACATTAGTATCCTGGATAAGTGTCTGCTAAATATGTAAATATTTACACTAACTTTCATGTCTGATTAATGTACTGGTGTTGAGTGATCTTTAAAGACTGAACCTGTCTTACAGTGACACATAATATGTGGGTTGTATATAACTGGAGAAATTATTATTATATCAGCCACTGTAAGGCATCGATTATCAGTTATTGTATCAGCCAAGAAATATCATATTGGTACGTTGCTAGTTCACATGCACAGCCATTCAGAACACTGTATTCCTGGATAGGGTCCCAACTGGTCTGGAGGACGTCTCCAAGTATCCTGACTTGGTGGCTGAACTGCTGAGACGTGGCTGGACAGACGATGAGATCAAAGATGCTCTGGGGAGGAATCTGATCCGAGTCTTTCAAGATGTGGAGACGGTAAGGACCAGGCACACACACACACACACACACACACACACACACACACACACACACACACACACACTCTGCAGTGAAATGTACATATATAAATATATAAAATTATTATGTTTTAAAGTTATTTGCTACTGAAAACTAGGCATTGTACTTGGACACCTGTATGAATGTTTGTTTGTTCTCAAGTTTACATATATATTTTTTCAAATAAATTGAAAAATCTGATTTAATTAGTTGTACACATTTAAAGCTGCTATATTTTGCAACACGTTATGATTTTAAAGATTTCAAACATAAAATCATTCCTAATTTATTAAGAATGTTACATGACTAAATTACCTTATTTAACAGTTTTCTTTATCTGTATATATGGTCGGGTGGTCACCCCACATGACGTTCTTAGGCTTTGAATGCCTAAAATCAAATTTATTCAGATATAGGAGGTATTGTGGAATACTGTTATTTGTCAATTATTTAATAAAAAATAACTTGAATAGGATTTTCACACAAAAAACGCATGTCATTGACCCAAACATATGTATAAACAGCAGTTAGTTACATGACTTAATTTGTCCATATTGTTTATGGGAATTATATTATTAGACACATATAAGCCATTTGAACTCATAACTTGTAATTTGCATTACGTAATGTATTATGTATATTTAAATGGATATATTATCAACATGAAGAAATCAGCGAGTACACATTAAAGGTTAGAGCTCCCCCACGCCCCTCCAAAGCTGAGAGTCCAGAGCAGCAAGCGTTTCTGCTGGACATTCATAGAAGCTGTAAACAAGCTGAGTGAGAATTTTTCCTCTGCAAGTGTTCACACCCTATGGTTCTGCAAGGAAGCTGAACAAAGCAGAAGTGACTGCATAAGAAGAAGTGTCAGACTCCCTATTAGTATCAGTGTCGCACAGAGAAAAACAACTTATTTATGTGAAAGGCAGAAATACAGAACTATGTAAAATGACACAAAATTATATAAAAGATGATTCATAAAAATACTGAGCTCAAATGTAAAATGTAAAGTACTGAGGCCTAGACACATTACACACTCCTATGTGTTTCCAAAATTGGGAAAATCCTATGTCTGAAACACTGCTTCTTTGTCTCTACAGGTGAGAGACACACTAAGCGACACAGCTCCAGATGATGTGCCCATTCCTCTGGAGCAAGTCCAAAACCCCTGCAGAACAGATTATGGTTACCCAACCCCGACCAGAGCTGCGGGCATAACGTCTCACAGCGTTCCACTTTTAGCCCTCACTCTGACCTTGACCTCAGTGTTTGTCAAGTTTGTGTAATTAGCCTCCAGGTTGATTGTGCTGCAGTAATAAGATGTTGCAGCTCCCTTGTGTCAGTTAAACCTACTCAGTTCTCTCCAAGTGTCTTCCATATTGCTGAAAAAACCTCCAGAATGGAGAAAAACATTCTTAACTTTAATGTACATTAACGTAACAATGTAATTTTGAACCATTTGTATTGGTCCACTTGTCATGAAATGTTGAAGCTGGTGTTTTCAATTAAAAAAAGCACAATAGTGTCCCACTTCCAACCGCTGTGTGTAAATAAGTAGCCTTCTTACTCCCCATTTTCCATTATGTACAGTACTGAGCAGCAGGTCAGAGACGACCCTCCATTTATTTCCAGTCAAAATGGCCATTAAGTACAGTTTGTCATTTTTCAGCATCAGGAAAAAAATAGAAAACATATTTTGATCAGAAAATTACACGGAATTAGTCTTTACTACAGCTTCCTTTCTTTTCAAGAAACTTGCTTTCACTGCTCCAAAGAAAGGCTGGGAAATTTTTCCACTCCTCCAAAGTTCAGTCTTAGAAGTTGGTAGCATTTTCTGCTTCTTACGTGTAATCGCAAACGCATTCAGTTATGCTGTGGTCAACCCACTGTGCTGAGAACTTTGATTTTTTTAATTTATTTTCTATTTCCTTTTCTCACTAACAGCTTCTAGACAACTACAAATGCTTTCAGAGCCATTATGTTAAAATGGCTTCTCACAGTGCAAGGATGGACTGTTTCGGTGGTCTTGTGTGTTTGTTAAACGTGGTTTATTTTATTTCTAACCTCCTCAGAAATATCATCTGAGAATGAGAAATGAACTACTTAACAGACGTTTTTGACTGCAAATGAAGTAAATGAAAGGTGGACTCTCATTTCTGCACTTTACCGTACATTAACTACTTAAGATGAAGGCTGATTGTGATAGCTGAGACTGTCTGTTCTACCATATTTGGAGCTTAGTTGTCATCTATGACTGTGCCCCGGATGTTATCCCCTTTTACAACTGTGTGCTTTCTCTTCCTTACCACATCCTTTTTCTTTACTCACGCGTTCGGATAGCTGTGCCTCTTGAGAGACCAGGTATTTGCCCTTTTACACAAACACAATGCTTGTTTTACATTGTTTTTTGAAGTGTTGTTTGAGTCAATGCAGGAAATGGAATAAATGAAGCTGAGCGACAAATACAGAGTTTATGCTGCTTCGCAGAATTATATATTGCATTGTGTGTGAACACAGTGAGAAATGAAATGAGAGAGAGTTTATAGTTTTGGGAAGTGCATCGAATTTACAGGAAAAGACCTGTAAAATTCAGTAACGTTACAAACCACCGGTTTCCAGCGAGTTGAACGGGGATCCTAATTCAGTGAGAAGAACCACAGGGCATCGTGGCACTATTCTCATTTCCCAAAAAATGGCTGGTTAATCATCTTATTGTATTATTCAGTTCATTCTGATCATAAAGATCAACGTCTATGTACTGTAAAGCTTAAAGGCGGCTCCATTCTAGAGAAAATTACAAAATCAAGATTGTTCACAGTGGTGGTGATAGGAACCAGACGTCCACCTCTAAAGGCTTCTTCAAAGAAAGTTACTAAATGAAATGGTTATAAATACGCTAATGCCTCAGTGATGCCTCGGTCATTGTTTTATGATAGGTTTCAGATTAGATTCTGTATGATGGAGAGGTACATGCAGGGTGTTGTAAGGCAAAGTAGTCCCTAAAGAAACCTTATTTTTCATATTTACCACTTTTTTTTACCATCGTCATTACACATAAAACCCAGAAATCACATGTAGGTTCACTGGTGGGTAATTCTGATTCTAAATGACTTTGTTTACATTTTAATCACAGATTTATTGGTGGAATTCCCCTGTAATCACATCTGAGCATGTGCAGTACAGGATGATGATGCATAAACCTATGTTGGGGAAATAAATTGCAACAGCAATAAAATTTAGTTCTCAAAGCACAAATTATCCCCCTACTTTGACTGTAACACTAAAATATAACATTTCAAAATTTGTCTTTTAATGAGTCTACTTTATTTGATAAAACATAACAAATGACAAAATCCATTTTAGTTCCACTTATATGATTCTGAAATGTAGCGCACCCTGGAGGTGGATTTAGACCTCATCTGCCATGCTTCTATTATTATTATTATTCTGTTAGTGAATGTAATCTTTGGCCTTAATTAGGCAATGAATGTTTGAGTTGTAGCCAACTCAGTTGTAAAAGCTCCGCCTGCACTGATTGATTGATTGATTGATCTGTTGCAGAAACATTGTGTTTAAATGTTTACCTATTTTGATAATGACTTACTTACAGACTCCAAATATTGCTTCCAGACAAATCTGGAAATGATTGGATGTAAAAGGTAGGGCTAGTTTGAAATGTCTTTGAAGGGATGTAGAGCATCTCCCATAATCAATTTAAATTTTTTTGATATAGAATATTTTGCTTAAGTATATTTCTTCCATATAGGAATATTATTTCTTTGGCCTTTGCTTCTCTGTGAGGCCTGTGACTTGATCCTTGAGAAGGACACCGTAAACATTAAGAAAGAGGATTTTGAATTGAGATAAGGCCTTATTTATGCCTTTATATCTTTATTTATATCTTTCCTACCAGACATGGCGGCAGCCAATGGTACAAGAGTTGAAACTGGGTTTTTCCAAGTGCCCAAAATTCACCCAAGTGGCTGTTTTAAAATGAAAAGGTGCTAAAAAAGGTGGGCTGGAAACTTTTCTACGTGTCTGAAATTCACCCATGTAGCTATTTTGGAGCGAAGTGTTGGCGGCAGACAAAGGTACAACAGTTGAAACTGGGTTTTTCCATCTTCGTATAATTGCGTATAAGGTGACCATTTGGGAACTTTCTAATTTTCCATCTAACAGCAACAGGAACAACAACACCAAATGTCCTTTTAAACAGAGGGGGTGGCTCGCAGGTGCAGCTTTGCATGCCACACCCCTTGACCTCCTCTTGAAAAGCAGAGCCTGTGGTGGTCATCAGAGAATGTGCTTTAGATGGTTCTATGTAGAACCATTTTGAAAATGATTCAATATAACACCCAAAAGGGTTCTTTTATTGTCACAGTGTCAAGCTTGTAACAATAGAAGAACCCTTTTGGGTGCTACATAGAACCCTTTACAAAAATATTATATTTAGAACTGTCCATAGCACATTCATGTATATTTTTCATCAATCTAAAGAACCCTTTCATGGTGCAAAGAATCCTCTAATCATGCAAAGGGTTCTTTGAGTGTTCGTGGTTCTATATAGAACCATTTTCTTAACTAAAGATCCCTTGAAGTAATGTTTTTAAGAGTATAGAATGCACAACTTGAATATCTTTGACATGCTGAAAAGATTCGTGTTGGTCACATACTGCATACTTACAGCTTGTAGGATGTTATGCACAGAGCCATAGTCATGACAAACCTTTGCAAAACACCTACACTTTCATCTGAACATAGGCTAATATTAAAACAATATCTCCACCTAGTGCAGGTCTGGAGAAGTTCTCCAGAAAATCAGTCAGTTTTGCTGCTCTTAAGCCCAAATGGTTGCCTATGCCCCACAGTCCTCCTCCTAGACCCCATGTGTCAAACACAAGGCCCGAGGGCCAGATCAGGCCTGCGACACAATCCTATTCGGGCCGGTAAACTATTTTAATTTTCTGTTAATATTAGCCTCTTTCACAATGCGCTGCCCTATAGTGCCCAGCATGCAACATAATGTGTGCTCTGACTCTCCTACCCCAACAACAATCTATGGGACAGCGGGTTCTACACAATTCTACACCAGTCATATCACCAAACGCACAAGCTGCATTTCAGCTGCAGTTTAACCAATATAAACACCTAACGTCAGCTCAGCAGCTCAGAAATTGAGCCCAAGTCTTAATGAACTTGCAACAAAGAAAAGATGCCAGGTATCTAGTTTAAGCATGTAGGTAGGTTTAAAAGACTGAGTTCCTGGGGACATTTAACTTTTGAATATTTCAAGTATTCATGTAATATTTCAAGGTCTACTACAAGTGCCAGTATTTTACTGTTGAAGTTCTTGCATATTTTGAATAAACAATGGGCAGTTTGGGTTTACAGCACAACATTAATTCAAAATGAAAATCATAGTCGTTTTCTGGCCCATGGGTTTGTTGAGATTTTTTAACAGGGCCTTTTTAGTGCTTGTGTTTGACACCCCTGTCCCAGACCATACATAAGGGCAGTGTGCATTTCTGACAGACTCCTAATTACTACATTGTTTCTTCTGAGACCTTCATCTGTTATTGCTTGGTTGCTTCCATCATATAGGTCTCCTACTTGATTGCCTGGGGTCAACTATTGTTTGGTTGATTAAAAAGTTATTCTAAATTATCTAGTATTCCTTCCTGTAGCTGAAACATGTATGTTATGATATTCCATCTGATTCTCAGGTGTGTTCAGATTTGCATCATTTTGTGAAACATGAGTGAAAAAATATGCAAGTTGGTGATCAGATGCTTCTCTGAGAAAAGTTAAAAGCCTGTTGAGCTACAGCTGGAAATAGCCTATTACTGTTAGCTACCTTGCTTGCTAATGAGAGCTAGCGCAGTAGCTAGCTGATGTTTGAGCTTTATGAATTCAATAAATTGTTTTGGGACTGTTTAGCCTGATTATTCTTGTACGTCTTTCACATTTCGGTTTTGGTGCCATATTAAAGATTGTGATGTGGCACTGTTTCACCCACTGGGGGGAGAGTTGCCATTATTCATCACTGCCATACTGGACCCAGCTGTACTGGACCCTACTGCAGCACAGCCGTACTGGACCCTACTGCCTTGTCTTACACACTCAGGTGTCCACAATATGTTCATTTTGTCTAACAATGGCCATTTCATCAGCGAAAAGCATCTTTTCTATTGCTCTGAACCAGTTTTTATTTATGCTGTTGATTGGCTAATGTGTCAACTTCACTGAAACTTATCAATAGCTAGAAATCGTACCCCTCACTGGACGATGTAACAAACACCCAGCGACAAGGACAAATACACTAACAACAGCTTGTAGCTGTTGTAAGTATGATGTATAAACTGACATTCACTTTGTGACATGGCCTGCAACATAACAGACTTATGTTAATAAAAAAATATATATATTTAATGGAAAAATATTTATATTTTTCAAATATGGTTGTGTTCCTTCTTCTCTGCTTATGGTAACAGGTAGGACAGTGCCCCAACACCCCTAAAGGACAAAAAGCCTCTAAATTAAAGAAACAACTGAATTTTGGTTAGAAGAATCATAATGCAGAACAGTTTGGAAAAGGAGTAATGAAAAAAACATTAAGAACGATCCACTGAAAATGTAACAAGACAGTGGCAGGCAAGGAGGTGGGATGCAAATATGGACTGTTTAGTTATATAATGGTCCATGTTTACATTAGCAGGAAACAAAAATCAGGCAGACACATAGAGCAAAGTGAGCTCCATGACCAAACAATTAAACAAAATAAAAAAATAAATAAATAAAAAAAAAAACATGAGGCTGGAGAAATAACTATGTGAAGAAATAAACAGGGAAACTAACAGGGCAAAACATAGGAAACAGAAAGGCCCAACAACTAAGCATGGCTGGGAAAAGAGGCCATGTAAAAAGACAAAGGGTATAAATATATAAGAAGAACAGCTGTGGGCGATGATTATAGGAGAGGTTACAAACTAAACATAGGTGAGCAGGATAACAAGAGGGCGGAGTTGGAGTGACAAGACTGGGTGAACTTGGAAAAGGCCAGAGTGTGACTGGAGAAACCGTGACAGAAAGATTGTGTTCCAAATAGCACACTGTGTGCTGTATACTTCATGCTGTTACAGTATATATGTATACTGCATGCTATAACTTATTATGTATCCATGTTATTAAATATTTGGCTGCAGTAGTACGTCCTGGTATTTCTCAGGTGTACCTGAGAAATATATGTTGGCCATTTACTGCCTACTTTCTACATTTGCACACAATCAATACATGCATATGTAGCTGTGGCGATTCCAAGATCAGAGCTTCAGGGGTGCTGAGCACTCAATGAGACCAGCCCCCGGCCCTTATTATTTTCATTTCTCTCATCATATCTTCTATCATTCTATAACGTGACTTAGCGGATTCACATACAGACAGTACAGGTCTAGCACCCTGGCTTTAATATCAACACATAGACCTACCAATGGCACAACAGCTCGCTTCTCTCGCTCAAATTCAAACAGTGAGTGGACAGTGGTTGATTGACAACCTGCATTAGCATGCTAGATAAAAAAAACGTCAGATAACAATAACAATAACAACATAAAGAGTGATCTGTGATTTAGTGCAGCAAAAATGAGGACTACTGCTAATGACTGTAATGTGTTGCTGTTGAGTGATAATAAAGAAACCCTCATCTGCACCACTTACTGGAGCCACCACAGACGAGACAGTCACACTGTAATTGGCACTAGCGTGTGTGTGTGTGTGTGTGTGTGTGTGTGTGTGTGTGTGTGTGTGTGTGTGTGCTTAGCCTTGCATGTCTGCAATGCAAATACATCCATTCTATTTACGATCCAAAATGACCAGTGAATCTATCTTCTTAGTTTTAATATAAAGTCTTGAAAATAATATAATCTGCACAAATTAACACTTTCTCTGGTATGTGCTTTAAAAAATATGTTTTAGGACAAAAGCTAATCTTAAAACTATAATAAAGCAAAGTGTTTTTGTCTCAAGTGTAAGGTAGCACATTTCCAACCATGTAACTGAAAAATATTGATATTAAATATGGAAATATGTTGACAATTAATATGTCAAGATTTTGTGTTAATGAAGTCCATATTTGCTGACTCTATTCTGATTGACTGAACGGAAATGTTGGCACCACTAAATTAAGTTCTTACAACAACTGATTATTATTTTTTGTGTTCCTGCAGAATAAATAAGCTTTATTGTCCAAACCTTTCTTCTGGGTCTATGTTTGACCTCTTTTTTCTTGTTTTCCTTGTATACATAATAATGCCTCTGTCAAAAACAAGAAAAAAAGCACATCATCTTTGTATTGAAAGAACTGCACTAGTTACCTGGATCTTTTAGCATAGATTGTAAAGTTTTTCAGTTCTTCTTCTCTTTATTATTGTCTTATTTTTAGTGCAAATATTTAGGAATTATCATGCCCTGCAAAACCCACTACTTTTTGTATATACTTCTGTAGCAGCAGGTGGCTGAGACCAATCAAAACCTCATGTGCATGGCAAATATAAAAGTAGTGCATTTTACGGGCCAGGTTTTTTTCTGTGAAACTGTCCACACATGTCGTGTTTCACACAGTCTGAGCTCTCAGGTCGTGTCATGCAAAACGAAGCAATGAGCTGGCACCAACAAAAGTTTCTGAGGTCATTGATTGCATTTACATTAGATAGTCAACAGTGTGGATGAATACTAGTAAAGGGCAGTGGACAAAACACCCTGTGGTCACTGTTAGGCGAAATGAACACATTGCTTTAAAACTATTGGCTATATTTTCCCATTCAGTGCTTAGAAAAGAGGTAACATAGCCTGCTAATTCAAGGCACCAACTCTAAAAAAACCTTTTACTGAAGGACTTTGATCCCTGTTTGGTTTATTGCATAGAATCATTTAGAATAACAAGTAGAAAGCCATTATCAATTACGCGTCGTCCTAATTATGAGTTCGTAGCATTATTAGTAGCTAAAATGATCACTTTACCAGGGATACAAAGTAGTAATTAGTAGTAATTAATAATAATAAATCAGTAGATTAATAGACATAAAATTAACTGCTCTAACACATAAGTACTGGCTCTCATGTTACCTCTTTATATGAGTAAACGCACATTAGTTCATAAGCGGTGCAATAAGCAGCAGTTACTACACAAGTACTGAGTAAATAAGCTATGAACAAAAGGCAAACTAACCGATCAATTAACAGTGTTGATCAGTTACTATGTAACAACAAATGCTTATTAATATATAAATAACATTACTCTAATTTCATATCCATTTGAGAAAACTCTTGCTGAAAAATTATGTTTGGCAGGGAAAACAATCAAGTTTAAAAAAGACAGTATAATCTAGGGAAAAAATGACTGTCCAATAAAAACAGGTCTGTGGTTCAGTTCCTCTTCAGCAGGTGGCAGCAGAAAGTGCTTGACTACATGACAGCATCCACTATCTGCCACTCAGGGCTAACACACCTGTCACATGACTCCTCCATTGCCTACACACACTGTAATTAAACATGGCACCAAGCCAAACTTATCTGGAAGGGACCAATTTCCAACACGGCATAGGCATTTCTTAAAAACAATGAATCAACTGCCAAACTATGAACCAGCCAGCTGAGTAACAGGTACAACAAGGAAATGAATCCATTTTCTGTCAGTAAATGAACATTCGAGACAGGCATAATGCAGACATGTTTTTCTGTTATCTGTCCATTAATAAGGGTGCAGAGCAAAAAAAGGAGCAAAAGAACATTATTACTGTATGCTCTATGCATTCAAAGCACTCTATGCATTGTACATTTATGCCCAGGAACATCACAAGCATAGTTTTTTATTTATTTATCATAGTCAAATATACAATCCCAGGACATTTATCAAACATCTCCAGCTGTCTTACATATATGTCAGCGCCAAAAAAGTTAGGACAGTATGTGAAATGCTAGTGGGTTTTTTATAGATGCCCATTCTAAAATTCAATACCTGCAACACATTCCCAAAGATTTGAGACAGAAGCATGTTTACCACTGTGTTATATCACCTTTCCTTTTAAGAACACTTAAGAATCATTTGGGGGTTAAAGACACAAACTGACCCTTTTTTGGCAGTTTTTTTTTTTTTGCCATTCTTCAAGAATACATTTACAGCTCTTATCTAGAACAACTTACAGTTTGATAATTTTACACAGGTAGGCGAAGGTAGTGTTCGGAGTCTTGCACAAGGACTCTTATTGGCATAGTGTAGGGCGCTTTCCCAGATGGGGGACTGAACCCCAGTATACAGCGTAAAAAAAGTCAGAGGTGTTATCCACTACACTATACCAACAACCAAGTACACATGATTTCAGCAGTGCAACCAAACAGAACCTTCTCATACATTGTGCTGCATAATGGGAGGCTGCAGGCAGGCCAGTCTAGCACTCACACACTCTAATTATGCAGCCATGCTGTTAAAAACATGCAGGAAATGGCTTAATGTTGTCAGGGTGAAATATGTTTGGACAGCCCTGAAAAAGACGGTGTCTAAAAGGCAGCATGTGTTGCTGTAAAACGTGTATCTTTCAATATTAATTGGGCCTTCTCAGATGTGTAAGTTACCCATGTCATAGGCACTAATACACCCAGACACCATGACAGACCCTGGCTTTTGAACTTTATAAGGGAAACAGTCTAGATTGTCTTTTTTCTTTGGGACACGATGTCCATTATTTTCATAAACAAGCAGAACAGCATGATTGCATCACCTGTTGATGTTTGTGAACATTCTACAGCATTTCTAGTCTTACGTTGTCCACCTGTTTTTGGAGTGTGTTTCAGGCATTGATTTTAGAATGGGCATATTTTTACAAAAAACAATGAAGTTGATAAACTAAAACATTACATATCCTGTCTTTGTATTGCTTTTGTTGAATTACAGGTCAAAGTGGATTTCCAAATCACCGCTTTCTGTTTTCATTTGCATTTCACACACAGTCCCAACTTTATTTGTACTTCTGTATGACTTTGTATAAGCTTTATTACTCAAAGTAATCCCATCTTTTATAAACAACTTTTCCTTTTATTTAATTTTATGTCATCTAATCTTTGACATTTTGATAAATGAGCGAGGCCCAGTATCCCAAAAGCTCACACACTTGTTTCCTTGTCTTCTTCTCCTTTAACAGACATTTATGCCTGGTCACTCCTGTACAGATGACTTTACTTGGACCGCCATCCACATAAGGACATGTTAGGAAAACGATGAAGAGGTAAGTGCTCCACACATCTGCCATCTCCTTGTTAGAGTTCTCTAAGAGTATAAAATCAAACAGGGTCTGTCCAATCCTTCAGGTTAGGCCAAAGCTTTAGTGTAGGCTTCACAAGCTGCTCACTCCCATCAGGCAACGTTTAAGTAAATTCTGTGGTTAGTCTAAAGCAGCCAATGCAAATTACCAGTGGACAATGCAATGCTGCCGAAGCAGTGGTGATAAAGTAGAACATGCTTTCATGAAGCTACCATGATATACGGAAGCAGCAATGCAACCAACTTCTAAGCCTGAACATCGCAGGTACAAAAAAATTCTAGCAGATTTCTTTGAAAAACGTAATGAATGGAAGTTGCAACAAAGGGTGGACACACTAAATATTGAAACATTTGAGATTAAACTGAGTAACATGACAGAAATGGATTTTTTGAATTGCATTTTAGAGCACTTTTGAGTATGTTGACTATTTGTCTCTTAGTGTGCAAATCATAAAAGGGAATTCCAGAGTGATTTTCACAGCACTAGTTATTTCTAGTGACAGCACAGATCACTACATCATCTGAATGTATGTCAAGTGCATTGCGAGTGTCTTGTGACTATGCAACATACAGAACAACGTTAGCTAGCAAGAAGTAGAATTATCAAAAAAATGTACAATCCTGTTTCCAAATAAGCTGGATGCTGTGCAAAATGTAAATGAAAACAAAATGCAAATCATTTAAACCTTATATTTAACTGAAAGTAGTGCAAAGACAACATATCAACTGTTGAAACTGAGAAATTTGATTTTTAAAAAATATTTATGCCAATTTTGCATTTTATGCCAGCAATACGCTTCAAAAAAGTTAGGAGGGGGGCATGTTTACCACTGTGTTTCATTACCTCTTTTTATAACAACACTCAGTAAGAGTTTGGGAACTGAGATCAACTGCCATGGTTTTGAAATGAAATGGTTTCCCTTTCTTGTTTGATTTAGGATTTCGGCTGCTCAACAGCTCAGGGTCTCCTTTGTCATATTATTTGTCTCTTAATGCACCAAATGTTTTCAATGGGTGACAGGTCTGGACTGCAGCCAGGCCAGTTTAGCATTATCATAGCAATTCTCATGAAGCAGAACATGCTATCATGGGACTGAACAAGTTATGATACATAATAGACCTGAAATAGAAGCGTGCAAATAGTAGTGAGAAACATTAATGTGACACCCATTTTTCCGAGATGAAGTGTCATACAGTTTCAGAATCCAGTAAGCAAGCAAGTCTATATGGGAATACATGATTTGAGCCAAGTGTGTGATTAATTAGGCACATGCTGATTGGCAGGTAAGCTAGCATTCTTTTGTTAGCTACATAAGCCTTATAGATCCAGTGCAAAACTAAAGAACTTCACACATGTTTTGGCTGACTGATTACATTTGAGTAAATTGTGTAAATTAGATTTTTTGACAAACAGTATTTGTTCACATTTTGCTACAGTTCTGGCATGGATATTGTGACATTACAGCTGTTCAATTCCAGAAATATTAGAGTCAACTCTGATTCTCATTCCTAGTGATGGGAATTGATGGAGTTTACCCCCAACATCTGGAAGAATAAAAATTACAATATTATGTATATACTCTATTTTGACTTCTTGTATTAAAATCAAAGGGATCTTGACACATCAAAGTGCTACCACGTTGTTGCTTTTTAGGGACATGATGTCAGTTTAATTGTATCTGAGCAAGGCAAGTTGTAGAGCTAATACTAGCTTAATTAACCTAAAGCTGCCCTATGAAAGATTTGGGGATTTGGAGACCTCTCTGGTAGAAATATGTAATTGCACACAATGTGTAGAAGAACACTTTGTAACATTGATTATGCTTCAGCCCTGCATGACTTCTATTCCAGTAAAAACACGCTATAGAACGTTCTGTTGACACAAAGCTTGGGCAAATGAGATTTTGAGGTTATCATCACTTTCTCAAGAAGAAGCTGCTTGTTGTACCCAGTGAGTGAAATGCAAAGATAATGTGGTAAAGAGCAGAGACCGTTTGAATGATTGCAGAGACAAAAAAATAGATGGCTTTAACAGATTTTGAAAAGAGAAGCATTCTCATTTTAGCAATGAGTAGGAAAAATGACCTGAAACTTATTCTGGCAGAGGGAGAGGCAATGAATAAATGAATAAATTAATTGTTGCACTTGTGCAATACTGGGTAAAAGTCAGAGACCATCCTTACTGCGTTTTATGTGCATCGAAAATGATCATTAAATTAGTTATTCATTTTTTAGGAAATCATTTTGAGTAAACATAAAATAATCCACTTGCAAAACAGGAAATAGATTGAAATCTTTCAAACATACAGAGAAAATGGAACCACCAAATGTAGACCACCAAACCTGTCACCATCAGATAAACAGCACTTACAGCTTTCATCTTTGAGAGAGAGGAGAAATCAAGCTCTACTCTTGCTTCACATCTGAAAACATCCACAGGTGTTTCTGTCCATCTTTCCACTGTGAGAAAACAACTCAACACTATGAGTCTGAAAGGATGTGCAGCTGTCAAGAAGCCCTTACTAAGCAAAGGAAACAGACAAACAAGAAGAATCGAAAAAGCTGTTGATGTTCTCAGAACAATGGACTGGCCACCCCAGAGTCCAGACCTCAACATCACTGAATGTGTTTGGGATTACTTGAATCGTGAGAAGCAGAAAATTCAACCAACTCAACTTTGGAGATGTGACAAAATATCCCTGTCTTTGAACTCAAAGCAAGCCTCCCAAAAAGAATGGAAGCCGTAATAAAGGCAGATGGTGGACAATGTAAATAATATTAATTTTGTGTTAAATTTATATTTTCTGTTTCTCTTTCCCCTGATGCTGACAAATGAATAACTGGTGGCCGTTTTGACTGGAAAATAAGTAATTAAAGGGTGGGCTCTGACTTTTGCATAGTATTGTATGCACGGCCAAAATTAAATATTTAACCCCTTCTTAGTCTTGATTCCTGCTAACAGTGCTAAAACCATGCCTTTTGCGCCATACAGCTATTTATGATATGGGACACATATCATAAAATCGTGTCTCATTTATTGTGAGGGGTGAATCAGTCTCAAAATTTTCTCAGTTATCCGGTAGTGTGGGACAGACACTGCTTAGTATTCATGTTACCTTCTGTTCTTTGAGCACTTAAGTTAAATGGGCTATTATGTTCAAATCAGAGTGAGTCAGTCGGCTTCAGAGCTCGGATTTTGAGCACTTTCAAGATGATATAATTATTAACTTTTTTTTTATTTGTGTCCCTTTTGAACAAAAAAAAAACTTGCTGGACTATTCAGTTTTGGATTTAGAGTTTATAGGTGCTTTAGTGTGCACCACTGAATGGAAATGTGGGGAAAAGAACAAACCAGATAAGAGTAGCACTGCTTCTGAAGTTTCAGAAGACGTGTTGTGGTGCTGCCCATTACCGAAAAGTGCCTGGGTGTTGATGATTAATGATTTCCAGGCAACTCATAATGACAACAAAATTGATGACAGCATTAATCATAGATGCTAAGAGCTCTACTCACATGGTACGGTGCTGAATAAAACTATTCACTCTAAAATTCTACTTTTTCTCTTTTCAAATACTATAGAAGCAGATGTTGTCAATTAAGATCATCATACTCTAACTTTCTAGCTTTATTTCTAGGATGTAGGTATAATTATATAAGTTCCCCTGATTTATTTCATATGAATCATATGAGATTATTTAGATATCCCCATCTCCTAATACTGGGTTAATGCATGTGCAGTTGGACTGCAATAAGCTCTGACCCAGGCTATTTTCTTTTCTGATCGATCCCAATGTCCTCTGAACAGTTAGCAATCTGTTAGTTAAAAGAGTCCATTTTACAGTCAATCCATCTTCCTGCTCATTTAAGTTTAGAGACTGTAAGATTATGGAGGCTCTTTCTGGCTAGAATGGCCAAAGTACAATGATAAATGTTCCCACATCTAAATTTTACTTGCATTTTATTTCCCCCTCTGAGGTCCATTTGCAATGTATGTATGGGTTCATGAGGCAAAAAGTCATAATTCATTCGCCTCTATGACTGGTTGTTCTGTAAAGTGCCTTTTTTTTAAAAAAGTGAAAGACTGAAACACTCCTTATAACTTCACTGTGAATTGGTTGGGCTAACCTGCTGTAGGCTGAACAGGCAACAAAAAAACTGTAGAACTTTCTATTTCTTATAATATTATTATTATTATTATATTAAAAGTCTGGGATGTCATGTATTGTGAGGAATAGTGGTCAAGCCGACCAGCGCTTGAGGATTAAAGGGCCCAAGGTATGGTGCAGGACTGGACTATTACTATAACTATTATTTTGGCTTTGTAAGCAAGAATAAGAATCATGGTTTCAAATCTAATGGCAGCTACAGGAAGTCAGTGAAGGGAATGCAGCAGGAAAGTGACATGAGTGAACTTTGAAAGACTCAAGACGAGTAGTGATGCTGCATTCCAGATCGGTTGCAAGGGTCTGATGGCACACGCAAGAAATCCGGCCAGATGTGAGTTTTAGTAATCCAAGACAAAAAACCAAACAAATGTATTCCTTGGAAATGAAGAGGGTGCAGTTTTATACAATGTCTGCTTATCTCTGTACACTCTTAATTTAACAGTGTTAGTTTTGGCCTTGTAATTGTTCGTTTATAGGCCAACCTGAAAGTATACATGAAGCCTATTTAGCGTTTATCACTAGGCACACCAGAATAATTTTAAAGCAAACACAGCTTATCAAACAGTATGTTTAGGACAGAGCTTACCACACTGAGTAGAGAATAGGCGCAGCATTTTAGCACTACTTTTATTTTAAAAGTCATCTTTAAATACAGTCAAAAGCAGATTGAATTATGGAAAATAATATAAGACAAATTCAGAATCTATTAGGTTCCATTGGTAACCTGTTGATTTAAAACACACTTATAATAGAAGCCAGTCAGTGGCAGAACTCTGTGAATAAACATTTGAAATACAATCTAATGCAAATTCAAAACTACAGCAGTAACAATCAGCAACATACACTTTTAAAAATAAAGGTTCCTAAGTGGTTCTTGGCTTAGATGTACAGTTCTAAGAAAATCTTTCAAGTGGGGTTCAACCTTCACATGATATCAAGGTTCTCTTGACTTTAAAAAAGGCTCTTTACACTCACACATCTCATTTACATAATGTTTTTTTTAAAGAACCATCCACGGAAATGTTCTCCAGGGAAACAAAGTGGTACTATGGCATCACTCCACAGATACATTTTTGGTTCCTCCTCAAACAGTTCTAAATATTCCAGCTGGATTTGTTTACACAACACTGTCAGAAAAAAAAGTGTTGTACAGGTAAATGTTTGTTCCCCAAGGTACAAACAATGGATATGTACCTTCAGAGGTTCAACTGTGTACCTATAATAATTACATTACATTTACTTTGCCCAGAGGAAAGGTGAATATTTGTACTTCACAAGTAAACTTTAGTAAACCACCCATTATTTATGCCCTTAAGATACAGATCGCTGAGAGTGAACTTTGGTACTCGTGATGGTGCTAATACTATATACTAAGAAGACTAGACTAGAATTGGTACACAGTGTCTAAAATACAATTATATAATGGAATAGAGAAGATCATAGCACACCTATGACAGTATACTAGCCAAGCCGTCTCCCTTTATGTAACCTGTGGTTACAGAGTGGCATAGAGGTGTTTTTCTTAGTATGATTTCCTAATCAGGATATTCGAGAAGGGTATCGGGGGGGTGAGTAAGAAAACTTAGCTGCAGGCTTTAAGTAGGGCCCTTTACGTCACCACACTTGATAAGGTTCTCATGTTTTCCTCTGCCTACTCAGGCCATCCCATTACAAGTAACCTGAGCTCCAGAGCAGGCCAAGGAAAGGAAATGAGAGCCCAGCATGAAAAACAAACACGATTACAGTACAGCGACTGCCAGTCAACCTTGAACACCTCAGAGCCTGACTGGATAGTAAATGTTTTCTGTACTGTACAGTTGGATGAAGTCAGCATGGGTCCTCAGATGTCAACTGTTTCACTGTTCAGATATCATCATCCGTCTGCAGGAGATTACAGTTAATCCCTGATATTCATTCAGTCTGCAGATCAGGGGCCAAGTAATCACAGGCCGTGTATTTCACCTTCAAAGTTGAAAAAAACAAAAAAAAACAAACAAAAAACAATAACAACAACACAACAAACAAAACATTCATTTAATAATGCAGTTATCACTTGCTTTAAAAGCACTAACTTATAAAAGCTTGGTTGGCACTTTACTGCAAGTAAATTAACACCCACTCAGCCAAACTCCCTCTCTCTCCCTCCCTCTCTCTCTCTCTCTCTCTCTCTCTCTCTCTCTCTCTCTCGCTTATTCTCTCCCCCCCTTTCTCTTTCTCCCTCACAAACACGACTGGTCCATCCGAAAAGAAGATGAGATAACATAATAACAGGTTTTCGGAGGACATCCTAATCGGTTTTATTCCAGGCTTTGGAAGAGTACTTTTTTTTTTGCTAAGGGATTCAGGGTGATGTTTATAGGACTAGCGGATTACTTCTCTGAGTCCGAACACAAAATTACAAGAAAGCACAGGGGTGACCCACACGAGCCCTCCATCCTCAACAGCGCTTCATCATCAGAGTGATACTCGATTGCTTTTAAGCGCAATGGGACGAGGACTGTGCCACCACCCAGCCCAAACTATTTCCAGCAGAAGCTTTATTTGTTCTAAGTGACAAAAATGTAAATGTCTTTTCGTCATCTACCTGGAAGACCGAAGAGATTGTTATTGCACTGGAGCCAAGGAGCAGCGTTTATAAACAGAGCGCATTTTCTTCTGCCATATAAGGTGAGTGCCAGATTTGCTTTTTCCATCTTATTTCAGGGCAGATTCTTTTTTAGACAGTGACTTCACACATGTATCATCTTCATAATCCTTAGGTAAGAAATGATGCCAGTTTAGTTGGGCAGTAATGACGGTAGAAACTTGTTTATGACTGAGACAAAGTGGAGGATTAGGACTGATGCCAGTTATGTCCATATACAGTCTACAACGGAGTCCCGTGTAAACAGCACTGCTCATGTTTTGCTGTGGTAATGGGAAAATTATCCCCAAAGGACGTTACTCTTACGTACCAGTCACCTCTCTCTCACAAACACATGCAATACTCATATGTACAAATGCATTGCATTGTGGTGGGACATTACTGTCAAATTGATTATAAGGTAGATATATACAGATGTACATAGATGTACATTTACTTTCCTGTAAGAATATTTCTTAAACTGCAGGATTGTTGTTTAGTTATTAATCTTTAGGCTTATTATGCAGCAACTACTATAAATAACTAAGTAACTAAATGACAGTAATATGTAAGTAACATAGTTAGGTCGAGGAAAGTCTTGGCTTATATATGGGTCCAAGGTTGTAAGGGTTAATCCCTTAAACTAGGCTATTATTTGGTTATTATTAAGCTTATTATCCAGTATTTGTGTTGAATTGATTTGAGCTGTAACTATGACACTACTTTGTAGGATGGAATGGATATCTGGGCCCACCAGTGGATCAATATGTTAATTTTTTTCATTTCTTTTCATTACAGTGCTCCTGTTTTGGCATCTTCCACTGATTCTTATGCTCTGAAAGCACAGACGCCAGCATCTCACTGCAGCGACCGCACTTGCGTGGCCAAATGCCATCATGCCTATCATCAGTAATACCAATGACTTCAGCAATTTCTCAGTCAGCACTGATGACAGCAGCCTTGACCGATTTTTCACAGAGATTCCAGAGACAGAGACCATCAAGGGGGTGTACTTTCAGCGAGCCCAACTATTGCGTGACCCCTCTGCCATCAGGCAGGTCAACCACAATGAACTGGCCCTCATTAACGTAGGAGGTGATCGCTACACCTTCCCCTGGAGTACGCTGGACGAGTTTCCGCTGTCCCGCCTGGGCCGACTGCGGCATTGCAGCCGGCCGGAGGACATTGCAAGCCTCTGTGATGACTACGACGAGGCACGCCGGGAATTTTTCTTTGACCGTAGCTCTGCCGCCTTCCGCGTCATCCTCAACTTCCTTGCAGCAGGAAAACTGCGACTGCTCCGGCACGTCTGTGCCGTGTCCTTGTCAGACGAGCTAGACTACTGGGGCATTGACCCTACCCGCATGGAACGCTGCTGCCGCCGCCGGATGATGACCCGCCTTGAAGAAGTGGCCGAGAGGAAGCGGAAGGACGAGGAGAGGAGGCAGAAGAGGCTGCAGAACAGGCCCACGAAGGAGAAGGGTTACCGTGCCCTCATGAGCCGCCTTAGGGAGGTGGTGGAAAACCCACACTCTGGATGGCTGGGCAGAACCTTCGCCTGCTTTTCTGTGGTCATGATCGCTGTGACTGTGGTCAGCCTGTGCATCAGCACCATGCCTGATCTAAGGGAGGAAGAGAGCCGGGTGGGTGAATGGGATCAGTACCCTGTGGGAAATTCATTTTTCATTGCTATATAGCAGCAGTTCCCACCCCTGTTCCAGTAGAACCTCTGGAGGAGTATTTTAAATAGGAGAAAATCCAATATCATTCAGGGGGCCGAAAGCTTGATAAATTGATTGCATCATGAAATTTAAGAATTTATCATTTTGAAAAATACACTAAATGTGAATGGAGGAAGTACAGGGTACAAGTATAAAACCAATGTTTCCAAATCCTGGTCCGAAAGTACCCCTTTGCTGACATTTTATTGTACTCTCAGCACACCTTTTCCAACTAATCAGCTAAAAACCAAGCCCATCCTGAGTTGAAGTGGGTGTGATAGAGTACAGAAAACCAGGATCAGGGTTAGCAGCTTGTGTATAAGGCTTTTCCAATTGCATAAGACAATCTTAACATGCATCTTTTAATGCAGCGATGAACAGTATTTATTGACAACAAGTTGTCAAAGTATTGAGGTGGTATTCATCACAGGAGCATGCCAGTTTTTAGTGCAGTGCTGTCTGAGGGATCGACAGTCACAGGCATTCAGTTGCCGTTTTCAGCCTTGCCCTTCTTACACAAACATTCCCTGAATCTTTCTATGATATTATTCTCAAATCCTTTCAATTGCTTGTTGAGGAACATTGTTTAACCCATTCCTGCCTTTCCTGGATGCTCCATTCATACCCAATCAAGATTGCATCACCTGTTTGAAATAGTTTTTGAACATTTCACAACATTTCAAACCCAGACACAGATTAACCCCAAGCTTAGACCTCAATAACATTATTAATGGTGAAACACTATTGGAATGGAAGTTTAGTCTACGATTAAGCTTAATCCATGTTGAGAAATTAATATTAGATTTAATAATAATGAATGTTAAGCCCTTAAACACTTAATCTGTGCCTTAGTTCCTTAATCTCATAACTGTAAGTCACATTAGTTTCATTTTAGTCAGAATTTATACAGGTTACTCAATCATAACTCTTAAAGGGCCATATCCCACATTTTCATTACATTTTATATACCACAAAGCAGTATTTCTTCATGTTTATGACTAATTTCCTTCCTGTTTTGTGGTTGTTTTTGTCACTGTGTTTTAAGATTGATATATGTTTAAAACAAACTCTGTTCTGATTGGCTGCCCCATATGCCAACAAACAATCCAGTTTGAAACACTCCTTATAACTTTCAATGTGAGTGGGCGGGGCTAAACTGCTGCAGGTTGAATGAGCTGACAAATGTAATAATGATGTTTTTTGTAATGTTACAAAATCAGTTAATTAAAACTAGGATGTTTTTGCAGATCATATGGAGCAGGGAGTGAATGATAGATTTTGAGACTTTAGCAGTGTTTACATCTACATCCTAAAATCTCAAAAAACAGCACTTGTAAAAGAAAACTTACCTTCAAGATTAATATTTTCTAATTTTATTCATATACAGGGGGAATGCTCACAGAAGTGTCAACACATGTTCATTGTGGAAACTGTGTGCGTGGCTTGGTTTTCTCTGGAGTTAGCCTTGCGCTTTCTGCAGGCACGCAGCAAACTGGAGTTTGCTCGTGGGCCGCTGAACATCATCGACACGGTAGCCATTCTGCCGTACTACATCTCCCTGGTGGTGGACGAGAAAGACAGTAGCACGGGTGATTCCGGGGTAGGCAGAGGGTACCTGGACAAGCTAGGCTTGATCCTGCGGGTCATGCGTGCCCTGCGGATCCTCTATGTGATGCGACTGGCCAGGCACTCCTTGGGACTGCAGACACTAGGGCTGACCATGCAGAGGAGCATGCGGGAGTTTGGCCTGCTGCTCCTTTTCCTCTGCGTGGCCGTGGCTCTCTTCTCCCCCCTTGTCCATCTGGCAGAGAACGAGCTGGCCGCTGGTACAGTTGTGGGGCCACACAGCTTCAGCAGCATCCCAGCCTCCTATTGGTGGGCTGTCATCTCCATGACGACGGTTGGTTACGGCGACATGGTGCCACGCAGCATCCCCGGCCAAGTGGTGGCCTTTAGCAGTATCTTAAGCGGCATCCTCATCATGGCCTTCCCAGCCACCTCCATCTTCCATATGTTCTCCCGCTCCTACAATGAGCTCAAGCAAGAGCATGAGATGTTGTGCAAAGAAGAAAGAGTGGCCTTCCTGGCAGCCAGCGCCGCGCAGGAGGTCAGGAAAGAGGCAGAGAGAAACCCCTACTCCTGGCCACAACTGGACAGCAACAGACCCTATCAGGTTGAGAATGGGACAGGAGTCAACCAACCTGTCTTCACAGCCACAGCATGTTGAGACGTGCTACAGATGACGGGACTACAGTTTATGAGGGGTTGTGACAGCACTTGTTGTGGTTTCTTCTTAGAGACAGCAACAGATTTTTACAATATCACATCCAAGTGTGACTAAAGTTTTTAACACAGCATTTTTGGTCTCTAAGGCTTTGATCAGACAAGCAGCACAAATCCAGTTTTTAATTATATCCAATTTGAGCAGATTTTCACCATTATGAACAGAAAACTCACATGAAATGCAACTTCATTCAATTGTGTGTTTTCGGATCTGCTTTGGATCGGATCTGGACCTGCAAGTTGAATTTCTGGCCAGTCTGTCAGACCTTACAAATCGGGTTTGGTTGCTTGTAATTTGGAGCATCGACCTCCTAAAATCAGATTTAAGCAGGAAATATGATTTGCCCTGCAGTGTGAACAAAGCCTAAAAGCACAAACTCCCACTCACCCCCACCTGCAGTTCATGGGTCTCATCGTCCGACCTAAATTTTGGTTTGTGCACAATAAACACCCATCATAAATGCTGCTGCAATGCAAAAATAATAGCCTAGTGATCAATGTGTGTGGCTGAACCTACCATTTCATTGACCAGCTTTACTGCAGATCTAGTAACTCTGGCGTTAGTATCTAACAATGCTTATCTACCAACATCACGGAATTGATTGTCCCAAAAATGACAATCTGTGCTTAAGCTGTGGAATAGCAATAACAATGTGATTTATTTTTAAAGCATGTACTATTAGCCTAGCTGGACATGTAATTGTATAAAATCTTGTTTGTCTGGTTGACCTTTATTGTATGCAACTGTAATACAACCGCATCTGTCCTTGCCTATATTCGTTTGACAATATAAAGTATGGTTGACTACATCTAAATCAGCCTAATTTTGACTTGCACTATTGTCTGAAATGGCACACATCCCTCACCATGGAGTCAGACTACTGGACACCAATACGCGGTACATCCCAGCTGTCTTGGAGCTGAAGAAATGAAAATGACAATCGTGTAGTCTTCGTTCTGATTTTTTCAGCTGAATATTGTTGCTGTCATAACAAAACCCTCTTCAAAATGGTGACATTATGGGAAAAAGTAAAAACGTGTATGCTATTAAATTAGATTTTAACACAATTCATGTTTGCCCATTTCTATTGGTCCATTATTTATGTTCACAGCATGTAAAGGCTAGCTGGCATTTTAAAATGTTTAATAAGATTATAACCATGATAGAAAAAAAAGTTTTGATATGACAGTGAAGAAACACAGCACTGTGCAAAAGTTGGAGAAAACACTTTTATGTAACTTGTTCATTTAGCTTATAGTCAAAACAGCAATTAAAACAAGTCAATCATTTATAACGAGATTAGATGTTAGATAATCCACTTGCAAAACTGTCAACATCAGATATACAGTAGATAAGAAGCTCCACTCATGCTTCAGATCTCAAAAAATCCATGTGTTTCTGTCCATCCTTCCACTGTGTGAAGAAACTCAACACTATGAGTGAAAGGATGTGTAGCTGTCAAGACGCCCTTACTGAGAAAAGCAAATAGACAAATAAGAGGAACATTTGCAAATCAAACAAAGAGGCTGCTGCTGTTCTCAGAGCAATTAACTGATCACCTCAGAGTCCAGACCTTATACTGACTGTGATTACTAGGAGAAGTAGAAAATGCAACCAACTGCTAAGACTGAACTTTGGAGGAGTGGAAAAATATCCCTGCAGATTTCTTTGAAAAACTGAAAGCAAGAAACTGAATAGAATGGAAGCTGTAATAAAGGCAGAGAGTGGAAAAAAATGTGATATTATTAGAATAGAATAGAATATTTTGTTGTTTTCTGCTTGTTTCCTGGTGCTAGAAAATGAGTAACATGTACTTAATGGCCATTCGGCCTGAAAATGAAATAAATGAAGGGTGGTCTCTGACTTTTGCACAGTACTGTACCTTTGGCACACAACCTTTGGGCAAACTCTCAGGATCAGTTCAGCAGGGAGATATCATACCTGCAATATAGCAGATTGTACACAATTACTACTGATAACCTTTGTTTAATGTATTGCTGTGCATGGTTTACATTGTCTGGGCAAAATGTGCTGCTTAGCATCACCAGTGTACCTTTAATCTGTTGCTTCTGTTTAATTCTGTCATTTTCAAGAATAAAGTGTTGCAAACATTCAGCATTTCTCTGCGTTTTTTAAATATATTTTGCCTCCTAATTCAAAGTTGTTGAGAGTGTCATTTTAACTAACAAAGGCATCATTATTAATGGTATGACATTAAGCAGGTAGTAATGATGCCTTAAAGGGAACTGAAACATTTCTGTGTAGTTCAATGTCTGAAATGGACACAAAGTCATTCCGAGTGGTTTGATGTAAAAGAGTGCATTGTAGAGAAATTAGCCATAACACAAATATTTTATGTAGTGTCCAAAATGACCACTGAACATACTTGTGTCTTCTAAATGATATGAGATATTGCTAAAATAGTGCTAAAATTAGAAAACTAAGCTTTATTTAGGTTCTAATTTGCTTTAAAATGCCCTGCATGCGCCTCTCCACCATAAGCATATTTTAAAAAGAACATTTCAGCCCAAAAACTCATCGCAAAACTAGCGTAAAACAATGTTTCAGGCATCAGGCAGTGAATTTGTAACAATGTCATGTAACAGCTTCAAGTAAACCCTTCAGATGTCTGGTTCCTTTTACCACCACTGTGAACAACTCTGTCTTGGCATACCACATTTCATATCAAACCACTCTAAATAGCCTCACTGCAACTTTACAGCAGGCTGCCCCTCCAGTGGTGGTTCCTGAGGCTCTCCCAGGTTGCTGAGGAAGCTGCTGCCACCAGAGCGTTACTCTGGGGATCCTGGAGGATCCTGGGGTTTCCTTCGTCAGTGTTCCCTGGCTATAGTGTAGTGGTAGCGCACCGGTTTGTCAACGCAGCACCGTGGGTTCGAACCCTGGTCTTTGCGGTTTTATGTATTATTTCAATCGTACCTTCCACTCACACAGAAGCTTAGCGTTTGGGTCCTGCCTTCCAAATCCCTGTGGTGGCTCACCCAGTTGGCCTCTGAAACACCACCCAGACGGCCTGAGTTTAAACCCCACCTCTGACAAGGCACCCATTACAGTTATTGAGCTTCTCTGTTCACTCTTACTCACACTCCTTCCTTTAGCTGCTTCATACAGTGTTTTTTCTTGTATATAGCACTAATATTCTGTCATACAGTGATATTATTCCTTACATATGGTGCTAATATTCTGTCATATAGTGATATTATTCCTTACATATAGTCCTAATATTCTGCCATATAGTAATATTATTCCTTACATATAGCACCAATATTTTGCCATATAGTGATATTATTCTTTGCAACTAGTGCTAATATTCTGCCATATAGTGATATTACTACTTACATACAGTGCAAATATTTTGCCATATAGTGATATTATTCCTTACATATAGTGCTAATATTTTGCCATATAGTGATATTATTACTAACATATAGCGCTAATATTCTGCCATATAGTGATATTATTCTTTGCAATTAGTGCAAATATTTTGCCATATAGTGATATTATTACTTACATATAGTGCTAATATTTTGCCACATAGTGATATTATACTTTGCAACTAGCACTAATATTCTGCCATATAGTGATATTATTCCTTACATATAGTGCTAATATTCTGCCATATAGTGATATTATTACTTACATATAGCGCTAATATTCTGCCATATTGTGATATTATTACTTACATATAGCATTAATATTCTGCCATACAGTGATATTATTCTTTGCAACTAGTGCTAATATTTTGCCATATAGTGATATCATTCCTTAAATATATTATATTTTATTCCTTACATATATTGATATTATCCCTAAGCAATAACATTTCTTGATTTGTTGATATTATTCCTTATATACAGTAATAACATTCTTTTAAGTAGTGAAATACATCATGTTACAACAGCCTGTCCTGAAAATATGTGTTAAGGGTGTGGGTGAGGGATCATTTTATAGTGCTGGGCAATCCCCCTGGTCAAAGTCTATTCAGTGGCTCTTCAGCTGAATGGCTTATCTACTCTACTTAATAATCTCATCTGTTCCAGCCTTTGTTTGACTTTTTCAGTTGTCTGTATCAAGTTACCTCAACATTCAGTGAAAATGAAAAGAATCCCCTTTAGCTGTTTTGAGGAACGTAATCTTATTTATTATGACATTTTTATTTTCAACTGTTGACCCTTGGGAAAGGCATATAATAAATACATCAATAAATAAAATAAAAATAAACCTTTCCTTACGACAAAAAATTAAGCTCTGGCCTTTTCAAAACCCCTGTAGCTGTAACTATAGCTACATACGGCAAAAAAATAACCTCGGTCTCTGAAGTCTGTGCTATGGTTACCAGAGCCTCAGCACAATTAAGCCTGTTTTGCGTGTATGTACCTGTAACGTATGGAGTGCTTCAATCTTTTTTGTCCCTCCCTTTTGCCAGGTGTTTGACTCCGGAACAGCAGTCAGCCAATCAAATCTGTCACTTTTGTTTGCCCCCCCCCTTCTCTCAACACACAAAAGGAATATAGGGAGGAGCTGGAAGCACACGTATGAGGTGTCGGCATGAGGTAAGAGGGAAGTATGTCTACCTTCCACCTCTAAGTCCGATTGGCTCTCCATTTATTCTCTACCCCATATGCTAATGTTAGTTTGAGGAACAGAGGGGTGAAGGAAGATACAGGACGTTCCTGCCCTGCAGACACGACAGAAACATGGTGGAGGACACCAGCAAAAGTGGAGAAATAAGGTACCACATATATAGTTAATCCACCTGCTATCAACTAGCATTACTTCAGTTCATACCTGTATTGTGAAGACTTGTTTTCTTAAGTCATAATTGGCTACAAAATATACTCTAGATTGGTAACAGTGCACTGAGTTGAGTCAGGTAGTGTTTACTATAGAGCTGTGCTGCTGAGTAGGGCATTACTACATTAATACAAGTACTGATTCTAGTTTCTTATTAATCATTATGCATTGATCATCACTGTCATATCAAAGCCATTTTACACCATTGGAACATTTTTAAATATGTAATTGTTTCATTACAGATGGGCAATAGGAATAGTCTCATTACATTTAATGGAAAATTCATTTGAAACCAACATGAAAAACAGAATGGATTCATTCTAGTCTGTATTCTATATTCTGTTTTCAGTCTGGACCTTCAGCCAGTTGTATCTGAGTGCCGACGTTTCCGCCTTCGTGCTATCTTCTTCGTTTTACTCATCTTGTCCTTCCTGATCTACTATAACGTGAACTTCTCAGAAGTCTCGGATATCTGGACAACAATACACGCAACATACAACAAAACCTATTCGAGAGCGGCCTTGGCTGCGAACTTATTAATCGCGAAGGCAAATTCTGCCTCTGTCCAAGTGAAAGACACACCTGTCTCACAAACTGGATCCCCTGTAGAACAATGCAAGGCTGAGACACCATATCATGTGGCTTATCCTTGTAACTACAACTACATTTTAAACGAACCAGAAAGGTGTCAGAAAGAAAAGCCTTTCCTGATTCTGATGGTACCAGTGGCTCCGAGCAACAGGGAAGCCCGTGAAGCGGTCCGCAGCACCTGGGGGTCCGAAAAGATGGTCATGGATAAGGTGATCAGTCTTATTTTCATGCTCGGTCTCCCCAGCCCTGAAGGTAGGGAGGAGCAACAGCAGAAGGTGTTGCAAGAGAGTGAGGAATACCATGACATTGTGCAGAGTGATTTCTTGGACAGCTACAAAAACCTTACCATCAAAACCATGATCATGATGGAATGGCTAGCATCTCACTGCAAAAATGCCTTGTACGCCATGAAGATCGACTCTGATATGTTCCTTAATACGAACAGTTTAGTCAACATGCTTCTCAACGCCCCCAGGCAGAACTACATGACGGGGCTTGTTGCCATAGACGCCACAGTGCTCCGAGATCCTAATTCCAAATGGTATTTTCCAAAAGAAGTTTACCAGGACGACTACTATCCACCCTATGCTCTTGGCTTAGGCTACGTCCTTTCCTTAGATATAGCGGAAAAGCTTGTAGAAGGATCCAAGCACGTCAAAGCTGTCTATATTGAAGACGTGAATTTAGGACGGATCATGAAGTACCTGGGAATAGAGTACACCAGTCAGTCAGACTCCAGCCTGTTCAATGTCTTTCCTGTTCCTTACGATCGCTGTCAATATTCAAAACTCATTGCTACAACGACCAATAACCTACAAGAACAAGTGAACTCTTGGAAAGACCTTAGGAAACCAGGACCACCTTGTTAGCAGCGGATAAAAAGACTGATAACATGTCTTAACTGGATGCATCATAGGAAAGTCAAACGTGTTACAAATGAAGACAACGTTCAGTCTAAAGGACATTGAGTGAACTAGACTTCAGGGTTCCCACTTATAGAAAAAACAAATGGCAAGAAAGTATTTCTTGAGGTTTTAAATTAAGATCTTAAGATCTGAATGTGAAATATTGTTTACAAATACTAATTATAAGGAACTTTATATACATTTTAAAAGCAGAACTAGTATTTTTATAAAAGTGAAATACAGATTTGGGTTTTGTAAATGCTTTGTTTAAAGTTTCTTTATATAATCCAAGTTGTCAACAAGAGGGGATCTTTATATAATCCAAGTAATGGATTACTGCAGACGTTCAGATGGGAACAAAGAGTTTCTCCTGTATGTTAGTTTGTCTGTGTTTATTATGTGTGTTAGTCATTCAAATAAGACAAAACAAATTAGGGGCTGTGACAGAAGGTGAATTGTTTTTGCTTTGGCTCTCCGTCAGCACACTGAAATGAAACAGTGGCTATGAGGTTAAGGAGAAGACTGTTAGCTGTAATGGGAGGTTACTATAAATCTATACTAGGTGAATTTTATGTGAACCATAGCACTTTTATACCTACATACAGTACTGTAAGTCATTTCAATCAATCAACCTTTATTTAAACTGTGGGTACACTGAGGGAGACCCTTATTTACAAAGTAGCCAAGCCTACAGAAATCAGGGATTGGAAAAAAATGGATTGTAAAAACAGATCAAATAGAGATAAAATAAAAAAAAAACATAGCTAATGAAATAAACAGGAGTAGAAGGTGTAAAACAAAAGCTTGGCACTAGCTAAGAAGTAAAAGTTGATTATAAAATAAAGAAAAGAATAATAAAAGTGACACAATAACTACAACACACCAACATCATATTTAAAGGTGAACTTTAGAGTTTCCTGTAATGAATTCCAGCTGGCTGGTGCACCTGTAGCTAAAAGCAGGTTTTACTAGTTCAACAAACACTCTCAGCACCTGAGGGGTTATCCATTCACTGGAACGAGTCTGATAAACTGTATTATTTACACTGAGCATTTCTGTGATGTGCGATCACATAGGGCCAGTGAGCACTTCATGGATAAACAGAAGCTAATGTGTCTCCCGATGCACAGCCAGAGATGACCAGCCATCCTTTTCATACAGTATGCGGTGATGGGTATTGTAGGGGTCACCAGTAATGAATCTCAAAGCAGAGTAGTTGTGGATTCATATCTGTATATCTGTATATACATCAGGACTCACAATGGTGTTGCTTCAACAGTCTTTTTTGTGCACTGGGAAAAGTACTTTGCTTCAATGCAGGAAGCCGAGTTTTTGCCTCAGTTTACATGTAAACTTGTTAACATAGTATTTGCATCTGAAGTGTAACCATGTGCCAAGGTGTTTGTACTCACTAACTCTTTCAATGTCAGATCCCTTCAAGGTCATCGTTTTATTAGTGTTAAAATCAATGTTAGAGGCTCTGGAAAACAGCATAAATTTAGTTTATCTCTACTTTTAAGTCTAGTTTATGATTCTAAAAAGCCGAGTGTAGGGTACAGGATGGTGTCACTGGCATATAAATGTACTTTACAATCGACAATTAAGGCTGGCAATGTCATTAATATAAATATCAAACAAAACTGGTCTGAAGATCGAACCTTGAGGGACCCCCTTGGTTACCAGTAGTAGCTCTGATTTACTTCGTCTCAGGGCCACACATTGCTGTCTACCAGAGAGATCATTTCTAATCCAGTTGTTAGCCCTGTGGTCAAAATCAATACTTTGTAGACTTTTTAAAATAGGGAATGATGAATTGTATAAAAAGCGATCTTTAGAGAGATCAATGAATGGCAGCACAATGTTTCTGCGTCTAAGATGAGAGTAGCAGCAGAGATTGTGCTATGCTTTTCTCTAAAACCAGATTGGTTGTCTGACAAGACTGAATTTCCATGCAGAAATGCTTAAGTTGATCATTCACTAAAGTTTCTAAGATTTTGGCTAACCATGACAATTTTGAGATGGGTCTATAGGTCTTAAGACCTGAGGCATCAACTCCTTTAGGAAGTGGAATTACATGTGCTGTTTTCCACATACTGGGAATTCTGCTTGATGAAACAGATGAATTAAAATATATATGTAATGTGTTCTAAAGCCTCAGAAAAAGGGTTTCCAAACTAATCCAAACTGCACCGTTTTAATTGACACATGCTTGTTTACCACCGCCAGGAAAGTTTTGCTAAAATGGCCTAGTGATAAATGGATATCTTGGATTTCAGAAGTGTGGTGGATGCCACTGAGCACCAGGTCATTTAAGAGGTCTTGGTCACTAAAACATTTAAAATTTCTTCTAACCACCATCCGAGCATGACTTTATTATGCTTGTATTTCTAATACATCCAAGCTGTGGTCACTAAAACCAGGGTCAAAAACACCTACAGAAGTAATTTTGTCAGGTCTGTTAGATAAAATTAGGTCTATTAGTGATGACTTGGCAGGGTCATGTAAGTTTGGTCGTGTTGGTTCTGCGTTAGCAACAGATTTCCACACATTTCCTTCAAGTGATTGGATGCATTAGTTAACCAATTCAGATTAAAATCACCTAAGATCAGCATTTCTGAGTTGATGTATGGATATAAAGTTCAGCTAAATCATCTACAGTATGAGAGGGCACAGAAGGAGGTTTATAGATCCCAGTATCCACAAAGCTGTCACTGCGTCCTGCGCATACGTTTAGGGCTAAAAACTCAAAACATTTTCTTTGGATAATGAGTTTTTATTTGAATGATAGATTTGATGTAAATAGCCACTCCACCTCCTCTTGCATTCTATCAACTCTATATAGATTATAACCAGGTAGGGCTGCTTCTGAGTTAGACCCAGATTGCTTTAGCCAGGATTCAGTCAGAACTACAATATCTAGGTCGGCTTGTAAAATCAACATTTTCAGAATGGCTTAATGCTGATAAGGTTAGCTGGGTTCATGAAAAGTTACCTTTCTGCTTTATTCCCATGTCGAGTGGCTGATCTTAGGTTAAGTGCTAATGATTACAGAAATAGATAAAATAAATAAAATTGTGAATCAGTGAGCCAATCCTGCTGGGGTGAAATCCGTCGTTCCTATAAAAGGATGGTTTAACAAGCAGCTAAAATGTGAATGCCGTGAATGGCGTGAATGCCGCCCATTGGCCTTGGCGGCCAGTGGCATGGACTAGCGTGAATGCTGCGTCAAGGAAGGCTGCAGTGGTGGTGAGCGCAGGCACCTCTCAGGAACTGCTGGAGAAGAGCACCCAAGCGCTCTGCGACTCTCTGGATGAAACTGGTGAAATTACTGAAGGTGAGAGGGGAGCAGGGGATCCATGCATATGGGCGTCCTCAAGCTCCTCAAAGGTGGAGAACCTGTTGCTCAGGGGACACAACCCTGCAACACTCTGCTCCACTCTTGCTTCAGATTTGAGAAAAATCATAGCAGCTTTCTGTCTGTGAGAAAACAACTCAACACTATGGGTCTGAAAGGATGTGTAGCTGTCATGAAGCCCTTGCTGAAAAAAGTAAAAAGGAAAACAAAAAGGAGAAAATGTGCAAATCAAAAAGAAGCTGCTGGTGTTCTTAGAACAGCAGACTGACAACCCCAGAGCCCAGACCTCAACACCACTGAATGTGTTTGGAATTACATTGTAACGTAAGGAGCAAACATTGTGGATTGTGAGAAGCAAAAAATGCAACTTCTAAGACTGAACTTTGCAGTTTATTGAAAAAATCCCCACAGATTTCTTTAAAAAACTGAAAACTGTATTAAAGGCAAACGGTGGACACACTAAATATTCAATTTTGTCAATTTTTCTGTTTGTTTTTCTCTGTTTTGTTTAAGGGGGCTGAACTCTTGTCACTTTATGTTAACCACAAGCGGAGCTAAGCTCCGGTACTATAATTTGATGGAAATGTAAATACTTTCCATAATTAATATTCATGAGATCCATTTAAAGCGACGGTTCAAATGGTTCAAATATTTGAACATTGTAATTTGGTAATTGGTAAATGGCTTAACAGAACAAAAAAGACAGCAGAAATGAAAGGTGTTGGTTAAAACATTTTCTTGAAGGGGGGGGTGTGATGGGGGCCTTGCTTACCTGCCATTTGCATGTATTTACATGAACCTACATTTGTTCAAAATGGTAATTACACTAAAAAAAGTGTATTCACTTAAAAAGGTTACTGGACTGCTTTAACGTCTTGAGTTAACTGAATCTTCAGTAAGCTGACAGAGTTTGTTCTTGTTCTGTTAACTTACTATTGTAACTGCATGTTCAATAAACTCACAATTTTAAGGCACTCCTGACTAATTTATTAAAGTTTGAATATGAACATTTTTACAGTGTAGGCTGTTTAGTGGTAAGGATACACTGTGTTCTGACTTTACTCTGATAGTTTCATGGTGCTCTAACTTGCTACATAAATGACAGCATCATGCCTCAACCAAAGCGGGGCTAGATTATTGCTGATTACATCTGATGTAAAAATTCAATGCATTCTGTCACATATTGCATTTACATTTACATACACATGTGGTGGCTTGTGTAATTATGATGTGTATTGTATTTAAGTTCCATGTAGCTGGCACCAATGAAACAAGTAGCACCCCATTAATTACAATTTAACACATCACCAAAAGGTTTTCTTGACCAGCTGTGTGTTGGATCATTAGTTCATGCAAAAAAAAGAGCTATCAGACTGTCTATGGTTGATAGGTTGCTGCTGTCTTTCAAAATAGTCAATGCTAGTTAAGACCAGCCAGAAGAAACCTCACTGTGTTCTTGCTGACAGGCTAAACTGGACTATATACTGTAGAATGAAGGTTTCAAGATAAGGCAGAAACAGTTCACCCAAATGGGGTGTGTCTAAGATTGTGGAGCACTTCTACTTTTTGTTTGCACTTAGTTATTTATGGCACTAATGCTGAAAGCATTTTAGCTCAGCACAACCATCTTTAAGCCCTGCTGTTTGGCATGTGTGGATAAACCACAAGCAATCCGTGTACGTGGAATCAGTTTCTTGGACAAAGATTATTGCCAAGCTTCAATGGAAAACAACACTGGGCCTCGTTCACCAATATCTTCCTAAGTTTCTTCTTAAACTAAGAAAAAGTCGACGTCAGATTCATGACGTGTTCTTAAACCACGGAGTTGTTCACACCCTTGTGCTCTTGAGTGTGTGAAGATTCTGCTCTTACCTAAGAACAAATTAGTAAAGCACTGCTGAATGTCTGAATTTTGAACACTGCGTAGGTGGGTTTTAACCTTTTCAACTCCTTGAGACCACCGGTGGCTCCAAAACGCACTTCGTCATATTCTTCATAACTTTCATATTTCATAAGCTACATTCAGAAGGTGGGGGTCATATGAGAGCTGTAACTGTCTTCCTTCCAGTCAAATAGATGGGTGATGTAATTTTAAACACTTATAATAAAAGAAGCTGAACTCACAATTTTTTTGTCTACTGAAAGTCGACCCATTTTTCCACAAATCTGGGCTGTAAACTATAAACAGATGGCGTCTCTTCAGTGATCTGCTCTGTAAAAATGATTTTTATAAAAAAATACAAAGAGTGTGTAAGATTTTTGGCTTTCAGCAGTAAATTGTAAGCATATAGCAATATGCATATGATCATAAAACACATGTTCTGTTAATTTGAGGGGAGCTTGTACAAAATAAATAAATAAAATAAAAAATGTCATTTATTTTATGCAGTTACTGAATAATTTGCCTTACGATTTGGTCATGTAAATTCAGATGGAACAACCAAAATATACCCTGGTGAATAAAAATATATACTTAAGAACTGTTGGTGAATGAGGCCCGTTGTTCAGTCAAAGACTCTTTGTATGGGGGTGACTCAGAACATTTAAATATTCTAATAGACGAAAAAGTCATTTCATTAATCTGTAATCTACTGCAAACAATGTTACTTTCAGATCTTACACAGTTCCTGACAATCATGCAACGGCTTGGTTTCAGATACTGAGATAACAGGATTTAAACTGACACTGATGAATTTCAGTCCAAATACTGGAGCACTGTGGTCATATATAATGTATTCCAAAAAATAAAAAAAAAAACTGTACATTTGGGCTGTGTTGCGCCAAAGAGTGTGTAAGGGTCAGCAAAGTTTCCAGGATCCCTCAGTAAATGACTGCACAGAGCACACATCATAGCCCGCTGTTGAGTACACATTGGCCAACATTCTTAAATGTAAAGGTGTTGAAATGAGTTCTTTGGAATGATGCCATAAAAGTCAACGGCAGCTTGTGAGCCAATGGCTGTGCATGTAGGCAGAGTATGAGTTGGAACACGTCGGCAGAGTTTGAGTTGGAGCAGTGAGTGCATCCTCCCCCTGTTGATCAAACTTTATAGTGTCAAAATTATGAAGATGTAAAAAAAGTGAAATAAAGAAACGTCTTACTTTTCTAAGACAGTAGATTATTTTCCTTGTTGTATTATTGCAGTGTATGAGATGCTTCTGCACAAGCTGTGTTATTGTTTATTCTTTTTTGGGAGGTGTCAGCTAGATAAAACAAAAGCACAGTGTAATATGTCTTTACATGGAACAAAGAATAGATGCATTTGTTTATATTAATGTGCATATACACCGATCAGGCATAACATTATGACCACCTCCTTGTTTCTACGCTCATTGTCCATTTTATCAGCTCCACTTACTATGTAGGTGCACTTTGTAGTTCTACAATTACAGACTGTAGTCCATCTGTTTCTCTGCATACTTTGTTAGCCCCCTTTTACCCTGTTCTTCAGTGGTCAGGACCCCCATGGACCCTCACAGAGCATGTACTGTTTGGGTGGTGGATCATTCTCAGCACTGCAGTAACACTGACGTGGTGGTGGTGTGTTAGTGTGTGTTGTGCTGGTACGAGTGGATCAGACAAAGCAGTGCTGCTGGAGATTTTAAACACTGTGTCCACTCACTGTCCTACCTTGTAGATGTAAAGTCAGAGACGATAGCTCATCTGCTGCTGCACAGTTTGTGTTGGTCATCCTCTAGTCCTTCATCAGTGGTCACAGGACGCTGCCCACAGGACCCTGTTGGCTGGATATTTTTGGTTGGTGGACTATTCTCAGTCCAGCAGTGACACTGAGGTGTTTAAAAAAAAAGTAGCACTGCTGTGATCTCTGATCCACTCAGACCAGCGCAACACACACTAACACACCACCACCACGTCAGTGTTACTGCAGTGCTGAGAATGATCCACCACCCAAACAGTACATGCTCTGTGAGGGTCCATGGGGGTCCTGACCACTGAAGAACAGGGTAAAAGGGGGCTAACAAAGTATGCAGAGAAACAGATGGACTACAGTCTGTAATTGTAGAACTACAAAGTGCACCTACATAGTAAGTGGAGCTGATAAAATAGACAATGAGCGTAGAAACAAGGAGGTGGTCATAATGTTATGCCTGATTGGTGTAAAATAAGAACATTTACTTTTGTACTGGATTGCAATGTTCACAAATGATCAATATTACTGTTATTTTCTATTTTTATTCTCATTATTGTTAATATAGATTAAATTGAAAGGAGTTTTGGTTAGTTTACCCCAAATCACTTTTGATTAATTTTCTTTTTCAGGTTGTTAAATTATTACACTCAAATTTATACACACTCCAATGAGATGTGAGTTTGATCATACACATGTCAAAAGTCAAACTGATAAATGACAAAAATGTTGGTGAAATTTGTGTGCACTCATTTAATGAGGAGATTTGATCATACACAACTTTGACGAATAAGGGTCGATGTGATTCTGTTGATACAACAAAAAATGTAAATAAATGAGACTTTTTTAGTACTGAAATACTGTGTGGGCTTTTCTGTGATAAGCTGAGAGCTGCAGGACACTGTAGGTCATCAGTTAAATGAACTTCATCTGCCATCTAGTGGTCGAACAGTGAGAAGTTTGCAAGCTTAAAGAGGAATTCCACCAATTTTTCAAAATTTCTGTATAATGCAATCACTGAAATATAAACAAAGTCATTCAGAGTATTATGATGTGAAATGGTTCATTGTAGAGACTATTCAAAATGACCAGTGACCCCAAACGAGTCATCTGAGCTTTTAAAAGCAATGATGATGATAAGCATAATAAATGTGGATCTGAAGTTACAGACAATTTTACATTGTAACACCCAACATGTACATCTCCACCATGAATGGCTCCTAAAAATATGTTACAGGCCAAAACCTGATCAAAACAATCATTAAACAATATCTCAGGCATTGATTGTAACCATTTCATGTAATGTAACTTTATGAGAGGGAGCTTTTATGGGCATTAAACTAGTTAAATAGTCTGCTTCCTATTAAATAGTCTGCATCCTATCACCATCACTGTGAGCACATCTAACGCTGCTATTGAGTATTTCACACCAAACTGCTCTGAATAACTTTGTTTGCATCTTTAGTTTTAGCGGCACAGAATTGTTAAAACAGTGGCTCCCAACAATCATGCATTTGTATCTTTTTAAGATGTTAAAATTACGGGACACTTAAAATGACAGCAATGAGTCCAAAAAACAGAGCACTACTGTTTTATATTATATATTTTTACAAAAAAGCAGCGTAACTCCTCAAACCTCTTATATCGACATCCTCCCTAAACTCCTACTTCAGATATTTTTCACTAGGATACTTCACTTGTTTAAATTAAATTTATTTAAATTAATATCCAGAATCTTTTTCATTTCAGAAATGGAGCTCAAATCTAAAAGGCAGATAACTTGACAAACAATGTAAACAGGTGATTACAGTACATTACTTATCATTAATTCACTCCTTGTTTACAGATTACTTGAATTTTGAATGAAAGCTCTAAAAAACCTTTTGGCGAATAGTTTGTATTATTTAAATTCCACACTGAATAAACTGTTATTGTATTTAAAATATTGCATTTTATTACTTTTGAGCTTAAATTGCTATCAAGAACCAACTCATAGATGTTTTTTAAGTGGCAGGTCAAAATTACTAAGACTTCACATCTTACATCACAATATGTCTCACAATTACACTTTTATTTCATGTAATTACAAGTAATAGCTTTTAATATTGTGAAAATATTAATACTGCTGCCATCTAGTGGCAAAATAAGATAGTGATTTTGGTTTAGAACTTATGTCACCTTCACAGTTACAGTACCGCAGCTCTGGTAAACATGAGCAAAATGGGCTGTAAAAAAGATTTTTTATTGCTTATTATTTTATTGCAAAGTCTGTGGGCAGAGACTGTCCAGCTACATATAACCATGGCTAGGCTTTCATTTTACAGCTGTTTTTTTAACTAATAGAAAGTTCAGCTTGTATCAGGCCCAGAGTAATCTGATCTGAACAGTAAAGATAAGCACACTGCCTTATTAGTACATACGCAAACAAACGTAGAGCCAGCGGCCTAGTAACCTAGTCTTTTTACATCTGTAGAAAGAAACACACTGGAGCGATTTGTTTATTCAAGCTATCATAATGTGTTTATTTAGAAAAAAATAGCAGCTTTTATTGACATCCACTGTGCCGTAATCGATCTAGTCTATCCCAGATAACACTGTAAATCATTTACAACATTGGTATACAGTGAGTTAGGCTTACCAGATTTACTAGATTGATACTGTGAAGCTAAACTCTTCAAAAGGATCTTGAGCTTTTGTGACAGACTGACAGACTAACCTGATATATATATATATATATATATATATATATATATATATATATATATATATATATATATATATATATACATATTAGCAACAGCTAGCTAGAGAGCTATGTTAGCATTCTAATGATGTGTGTATGGTGTGTGGCCGATACAGCTAAATAAAGCACCCGACTTGTACATAGTATAGTACCTCTGCTTACTTATGTATCTTACTTATAGAGTACATGGTTATGGAATATATATATATATATATATATATATATATATATATATATATCTGTACATATATTCCATAACCATGTACTCTATAAGTAAGATACTCTATAAGCAAGTAAAATATATAGATATATACATATATATATCATATACAATGCGTTCTCCATCAGTCCTTCACCAAAAAATCCTTGAAGAACCATATTTTTAAGGCTAAAACAAAATGCAAATGAGATCAACACTAACACCAGCACAACACAAACTACCTTGCCATTTACCAGTCAGACCATTATAGGTGATGGGCCTAGTTTCCCTCGTCCTTGAAGAGGAAACATGTTATATATTTGTATTTCTTCCGAAAAACGGACAATCGTGCAAAAAGTCAGACAAAGTCAGATCTTTCAGGTAAGGAAGAGCTAAGGCAACTGCACACAATAAGCAGCGACAATGGTCAATAGGAGAATCTGATTCAGACAGTGAGGACACAGTAGAGCAGGCAGAGACAGATGGACATTCTGGGAGTGAGGCTGAAGGTGAGGTTTAAGCTGAGTGTGAGACAGAGAAAAAAGCCATTTGTGTTCACTACCACATCACCATCATGTTTGCTACAATACCCACCTCTGGCTTGAATATAAAAAAAATTGACTCAGTGTACTGCTTTGCATGCTGACATTTTAGTTCTCCCAAAAGCTCACAGAACATAGTGAAAATGTAACTGTAAACTGCATAAATAAAATGTTGAATGATATTGAACATTGACTTTTGCCTCTTAATGCCTGCGCTGCAAAATAAGGTAAAAAGTAATTGGCCCCTCTATCATAGCCATTGGCCCCAGCCTAAGACCACCCCAGTTCAAATTGTCTAGAACCGCCACTTAAGTGTCACTTTTGTGCTGACAATGATCTGACACCCAAATTGTATCTACACATCAGCCGTCATAGAATAGTGCCTTTTCATTGATCAGCAGGGTAGATAGGGGGCTGATGGGCTACACTCTGTAAATGTAAACCTACAAAGTACCCCTCTGTGGTATATGTTTCTTATAATATGGTCCAAAAGTGTAGGTACAAGGTAGATTGCCCTAATACACTCAAGTGCATACAGACCAGTAAAAACCTCAAACTGATACAATCACACTTTACTCTCAGATATTATCTCCTCCATCCAGATTTAACCTTACCTGCACAGCACAAAAACGTTATTACAGCGGATCTGGAACGATCTTTTCACATTCTGAACCTCAATATATGATACTGTAATCTACATAAACGACGTGGGCTGGGGTAAACAGGTAACAGGAGATACAAAAACATTTTTAATCTATTATTAAATCTTTATTATGTGAGGTGGATTTTAGCATTTCCCTGACAGCAAGAGAATCCTGGGCCACTTTTGGCGGTCCACTGGTGTTTAGCTCAGCGTTTTCCGGGCGGCCCAGCGGTGGTTAGACAAAATTCCACTTATCATCGCTCATTTTCCACTCACAGTCCAATTTACTGATTTTTCCTTTCTTTTCTTCTTTAGTTATACTTTATAAATTAGGTAAATAATTTTAATCTAGCACAGTGTCAGCAACAACATTTTCTATATTTTTTATATTAGGCCTAGTCATTAATTGTTTTCTCTCAGTTGTTTGTTTGTAATATTTGTCTTAGCCTTTTATTTTAGAAAGTAAACTATGTGGATTTTAAATCTGTGTGAGGAGATTAAAAACTATTAGAGCTTCTATGCAGGACAGTAATCTGGGTGGTCCGAGGGTGGACCAGCAATGGCAAACGGTCACTGGCAACGGTGCTGACCTTATCAAGCCAGCGGACCATATATGCTTGCTCTCTGGGTTCATACACCGTTTGGAACGCTAATAAAAAGGAAATAAAGTGTCAAACTAGCGTATAAAATAGTTGGATGACACACAAATGGAAAATAAAGAAATATATGAATTCATTATTAGATATATTCTGTGAGGAAGGACGTAGGTTTTGCTTTATTTACAGTGCAATGAAAATTCGAAAGATTTCGAGAAATGCGCTAAAGTTCCTGAACGGACGTGCAGTAAAGCAGCAGCAGCTCGTTTTCACAAACAGAGAAATTCTATGGTTTCCGCCTTTCTTTAAAAACTCTATGTTGACCCAGAGACCGCCCACTAGCTGGTATCCACCCACTTGCAGTGTAAGCCCCGCCCACCCATCGGTCTCCTGTCTGCAGAGAGACGCAGTCGGGGATCCGGTGTCAAAGTTTGGCTGGTTGTTAATCACCGTCGCGGGCTGCACGTGAGTAATAACAGTCGTCGTTTGGGGCTGTTTGTGCCCGTGTATCACTCAGACTGGGCGGACGTGCTTAGATATTAAGAATTCAAGCAGAGCGCATGTGAAGCGTGCGAGCGCAGCGTTCACGAGCCTCAGCTCCTTTAAACGGGAACCGGGCTCTGTACGTCGTGACGTCAGAGACAACGACCGGTGCTTCTGAACCGAGTCGCTGACCGAAGGGCGTTTCCGTCCAGTTCCCTACCCTGACCGGACCGCAGAGGGACCTCTCCGCCTGGCACTCCGGGACATGGGTGAGATGTCTTTACCCGCTCGGTTCAGCAGATGACTGTTTTCGTCTTGTTGTAAATAGACTTATCAAAGTAGGTCCTCTGATTAAGTTTACAGTGTTTCAGTGTTTCTTTCTTAAGAAAAAAAAAGTTATTCTTCAAATAACTTATTAAGATTGATTTTATTTCTTTTCTTAACTAGTTTCTTAAGAATAGTTCTAAGAACGAGTGGTTTTCTTGAAAATATTATGTTCTTAAATGTTTTCTTTACCTTGGTGATCACGCGTGTCTTAGGCTGTAAGAGTTGACAAGTTAAGCATCTGAATTTATCAGTTTATCTGCTCCTGACCATCCTCGTCTCCTGCTTTCCGCTGTCACCCCACAATTATTGTATTTTCCATGGAGGATTTTTTCTGTTGGCTATTTCTTCCACCGTAATCCTTCGGTCTCATTTGCTATTTTTTTATTTAAACATTTGGTTTAATGTTTTTCCCCCATTGTGCTCCTCTGAGAGGATTAACCTAATAACAGAACGGAGTATTGAAATAACAGTTAATACAAATTCTAAAAGTATCGTGCATCATTTGTGGTACGGGGTAAAATGCAGCGTGGCCTACAAGGGAAAACAATAAAGATTTTCTTAAGAAAATCTTAAGATTATTTTTAAAGAGAATATTTGAAAACGTCTTTTTCTCAGGAGTTGCATTTAAGAACTTTCTTATGAACTTTTTAGTGTTTGTCTTAAAAACCTTAAGTTTTTTCTTAAGAAAGTTTTCATGAATCCGTCCCTGATTATTTGATTATTTCACTTACACTTTTTTCAGTTTTCTTCCATCTCTGGTCTTTTTTGTCCTTAATCGTGTTTTTTCCTCAGCTGATATGGTCTTATTAAATTCACTAGGATGTTTCTTCTCATTTCTCCATTTTCTCCCCAAAATATATCTGAGCTATGTTTCTTATGCTCACCAGTTATCACAAAGTTTTCTGGCTCAAAAAAGATAACTAAAAAAAAAAATTCAGTTTACAGGCTAAATCAGTTGTGGGCTGGAGGTTAGGGAACCAGCCTTGTGATCGGAAGGTTGCTGGTTTGATCCTCTGAACCCACAAGACATTACTGAAGTGCCCTTGTTTCACTGCACAGATGGGTTACATGGGGAGGTCAGATTCCTCTGTGTGCAAACACGGTTGGCCAAATGCTTCCAAATTCTAAATTTAGTCAAAAACCTGTGTTTCTGCATTGACTCACTCTCTCTTGGAACATCTCAGGTGGGCCTGTATTTCTCATTATGTCTGAGGGTCAAAGTTACAGTGTTTGAGACATAATGACATTTGAGAGAGTCTGACAGGTCTGTCCAGTTTGGATGGCAGGTGATAGATGATTTGGACTGTAGAGGATCTGTTACAGGCATGCAGCTCCAGTACTGGAGGGCCAGGTTCCAGCACAGCTTGGAGGTTTCCCTGCTTCCCTTCACAGCTACTAAACCTGGTAATTAACAGATGAGTGAAATCATGTATGTTTGAGCAGGTAAATCACCAAACTGTACTGGACGCCGGCCCTCCAGGACCGGAGTTGTGCACCCCTATTTTAGGAGAATGAAATATGTTTAAACTTTGGGGGGAAAAACCCTTTGTTTGATGGGGCGGTTCTCAAAAGATGGTTTCTATACTCTTGATGCTATTGCTGTAACCCTGTTACTGTACATTATTAATTCAGTATGTAATGTAGACCGTTCCATACTGTCAAATGAAATTGCCTTTTAATATTGATAATAGTCTACATTTCGGTCCAAAGGCCTAATATCTATAACTACACTGGAAATGTAGTCTCTCTGTGCTGTGCATTGAGTGATGCAGTATTTTCTCTTTTATTTAATGCTTTATGCATTGACAGACCTCGACCAGAACTGATAAACCGAATGTACACGTCCGTGCTATTTTAAGCATTAGAGCAATTGCTGTGGGTTGCAAGTGGAGAGCAATGATGATACCATGTTAAAATAGTTGTTATTTTTAGCACTACAGTCTTATAAAAATGTTTTTTTAAGGTTCTTTAGTAAAGACAGTGGTTCTGTATAGAACCATGAACACTCAAAGAACCATTTGCATGACAAAATGTTTTTTTTGCATGCTCAAAACATTCTTCAGATTGATGGAGAATGTGGTGTGTTTGGTTCTATATAGAATTCTTTTTAAAGTGGTTCTATATAGCACCAAAAAGGGTTCTGCTATTGTTGCGATATCAAGCTTGTGACAGTATATAGAACCCTTTTTGGTGCTATATAGAACCATATACAACCATCAATGGCAAAGGAAAAGAACGCAAGTATGAAGGGCAAAAGCATAGGAGTACCTTATCTCTGATCTCTATGTGTTTCCTATGTTGCAGCGCCGAAGACCGTGCTGATCGTTTATGCCCATCAGAGCCCAAGCTCGTTTAACGCCGCTGCGAGAGATGTGGCTGTGCAGACGCTCACTGCACAGGGCTGTAAAGTCATTGTGACTGACCTCTATACCATGAACTTCCGCTCCGCAGCAACAGCGGCGGATATCAAAGGTCTGTATGATGGTGCAGTACTGTGTCAGTAAATTCAAGCGCCAGCAGTTATCCGTGTACTGAAATGACCATAACCAGTGCAGGGAATCATCTTTGCAAGTACAAGATGTGCTCAGCTTATGTTATTCATACAGTACTGTTCAAAAGTCTCTGACCACTGTTATTCAATTTCCGGTCAAAATGGCCCGTAAGTCATTAATTTTTCAACAGAGGCTTTAGATGTTTCTGTCCATCCTTCTACTGTGAGAAAACAACTCAACGCTTTGAGTCTGAAAGAATGTGAAGCTGTCAAGAAGACCTTTCTGAGAAAAAGAAGTTCGTAAATCAAACCAAGAAGATGCTGGTGGACTGACCAGCCCAAAGTCCAGACCTCAACATCATTGAATGTGTTTGAATTTACTTGGATCGAGAGAAACAGAAAATACAACCAAATTCTAAGACTGAACTTTGGAGGTGTGGAAAAATATCCCTGCAGATTTTTTTGAAAAACTGACCAAAACAACAATGTAGGATTTGAACATACAGGCATAACATCAGACTACAGGACCTCATACTTCTGTCTCACTTGAAATGTTCATATATTTCTATTCCAGTAATAAGACCACCCTCTCAGATGAAAAGGCATATATAGATACAGCAAAGAGAGAGCTAAAAATGAGCTTAATTTTTGTGCAACTACAGACTAACCCTATTGAAAATATGAGGGAGGGTCTGAGAGTGACCCTTTCCAAGCTAGAGCACAATGTGCAACTACAGGCTAACCCTATTGAAAATATGAGGGAGGGTCTGAGGGTGACACATCTGGTTTTCTACTGAGTGAAACTCAAGGGTGACATTTTCATATGGTGCCAAAAGTACATAAGAACTTAGGGCATCCTAAACAGAGATCCGTTATCTCTGGCAATGGACCTCTAACAGAATCCTGCTTTCAGATTAAAGGCTTTTTTAAACGACTTGTCAGAGCTCTCCTCTTTCATTTTGGACACTATGTTATGTTATGTAAACCTTTGGACACTGGGTGTATTGCAGACTGCTGTCTTGTTACATTAGATGATGCTTTTTTTAATGTACCAACATAAATCATCATGAAGGCCAAAGAGCTCTGAAATGCTAAAGGCCATATGCTTCTCCTCCTAATGAGATTTTGTTGACTCTTGCAAAATGGCCACTAAATTATAATGTATGTTTTACAGACAAGTGAAAGTCACAGCAATGTAGCTAACTATGCCAACTTATTTCTTGGTTACTGGGCAAAAGAATTTCGTTGTTGTCGGAAGAAAACCGTGTATCTCCAGTTTTGTTGTTTTTCAGTTTTTGACATAATTTGAAAAGGCCTGTTACTCTTTACATGGTATGTAAATTTTATGATGAATAGACTAAAAGAAACGGCCCAAAATGACTTGGAAAAAAGTCTGGTTCCATTGACTTTATTATTATTAAAAATTAAAAGTAAAGTATGTTTTTCCTTCTCCTGTAAAGTTCTCATTTTGGAGATGCAAGGTTTTGTTCTGACAACAGCGATATGTCTATTTGGTCTAAAAACTCTTATCATGATAAAATCTTGGATTGGGGCCAATATGGGTGACATTTCTAGAACATCAAATCTAGATTATATGAACATGGCTATTCATCTGCTGTGATTAATGAGGCAGCAACAAAAGCTTCAAAAATAACAAACCTTTTTTTAAAAAGTCTTTAAATGTACTGATTTGTTGAAGAAGGAAATGTAAACCCTTCAAGCACAGAAAATTAAGCAAATTAGGAAACCTAATTGGACATTAGTCCATAGTGATCCAGTCTTGACTGAGATATTTCCCAGTGTCCCAGTTGTTTTCAAGCGAGCTCCTACAATGAAAGCTGGAATAGTAAAAAGCTAGTTAGCAGACAGCTTTTGGCACATGCAGATGTGGTTCATGTAGCCATTGTGAGGGTGTAATTCGAAGCAAAATATTTTATGATTTGAAGACTCAAATAGAATATAGGACAAATGTTTTTTCATAAAATGTATTTCAGAACGTGTTGTGTATCACAGAATGGACTCTCCGATAGCGAAACATTATAAGCAAAGGCATCAGAGTAACCTCTACCTTTAAGAGTTCAAGATCTAGAGATTGTTAAAAATAAAGAAATATTTGTGAGGATTGACTGAAGCTCTTATTGCAATGTGAAACATTGTGGATTTGGAAGCTTATGGCTACTGAGTTCCCCGGGTTGAATGAGGAAATAGATTGTGGGCCTTTACTGTAAACCCTATAGAATTGTATGTTAATCCTGATAATTTGTAGTGTTTTTTCCTTTTGCTTTATTTTCTTTTTTGGGTCTCTTATTTTGACAAGCTACATTTGTGGGTGTGTCTGTAGGTCAGCTGTGTAGGCAAGTTGAATGATTGTCACCTGCTGGCCAAAAAGCTGAAATACACCTTTTTTTGTTTTTTGTTTGAGAGATAGCACACTTACGAAGGCGGTAGATGCTACACGTGGGTCACTTTTGCTCTTGACTGAATTTGCCCAAAAAATAAAGAGAATTTCAATCTTTATTAATAATATCTAAAAGTGATTTGGTGTGAAGTTGACCATAAATATTGGGATATACAACCTTGTTACCAAAATGCACCTTACTGATTCCCCATGATATACCTGGAGTAAGTTATTTGAGCGCCAATAAGCTTCATTGAGCAAAAAAGTGAAGTTGGTCCAGTTCCAAATTTCCTTCAAGTGTCAAAGTGATAAAACCAATTGGGGAGTTTTCTACAACAAAAACGTAAAGCATGGCAGGTCACATCATGGATTTACCTGAAAAAAAATCATGCAAGACCTTTCATTCATACATGCAAAAGGTTGGTACAATAGAAGTGAATAGTAATAATAATAATCATTGCCAGAGTCCTGCATATCCACTTTGTTATACCTGTCTAGGTAACTTGAAGAACCCTGAACACTTTCTGTACAGTGATGAGACCTTTATTGCCTGGAAGGAGGACAGGTTGAGTGATGACATCAAAGAAGAGCAACGCAAGGTGACTGAGGCTGATATCATCATCTTTCAGGTTAGATGTTTTGATAGTTCTCTCCATCTTTTTATATATGCTCTTATTGCTGTTTATTTACTGTCATACTATCCCATCCACATTTCTTAGATCGTTGCTTAACGTCGGCTAACGTAGCTTTAGAAACCATTTCTATTGGTCCTTTCCATAAACAATTCCTAACCAGAAAATGTTCACACAATATAAAGGATGCTTGGCATTTCCAAATAGTGAAAAAAAATGAAATACAAATATTATGAGGATTGTTTCTAACAGCGAAGATTTGCATGTAAACTCATTTCACCGTCTTTATAGAACAAGAAAAATGTATATATTTCTGGTATGAGAATAATGGATGTATTGTGACGTCAGAAAAGTAATGCATATATTTATTTTTATTGTATTTTGCAGTTCCCACTCTACTGGTTCACTGTTCCCGCTATAATGAAAGGCTGGATGGAGCGAGTGCTAACTCAAGGGTTCGCCTACACTCCTGAGAGCATATATGACAATGGCATTTTTAAGGTCTGAAACATGAAACAGAAAAGTCAGATAGCTGAAGAAATATTAGGATTTTTGGAATGTGTGCTGTATCCTGTCTGTTCTATAGAGCAGTGTTTCTTACTGGCTTGCAGAGTTCCAACTATTGCCTGCTGCAACACACCTGTTTCAGCTGAGGAAATGCTCGATGATGGTTGTTGAGCTGGAACAGGAGTGTTGGGGCAGGAAATAGTTGGAACCGTGCAGTGCTGTGGATCTCCAGGGGCAGGATTTGGAAACATGTATATCATTATACTGGGATGAGACCCTGGGTTCGACTAATCATCTTGTGATCTCACAATTACAAAGTTGTTGTCTTGACATCATAAGATAAGTCATGATCACAAGATAATGAAGTCATAATCTCAAGATAACAATCCAGAAATTTATAGCTACAGCCCATGGACTTGGGTAAATAAGTGGTGATTGTCTTCATGAATGACAGTTGCTGTTTTTGCTTTACACCATCCTCTATGAGCTCTCAAAAGAGTTGTGCGTGAAAAGCACAGGGTGACTGACACACCGTGTACCAACTACATTCACCAAGGTCACCTTTTTTGCCTATTCCAATGCTCAAATGAACCCTAACTGAGGCTACAATTGCCATCACATGATGTATGGCTTATGTGAAAGTGGGTAGGTGTATCTAAAAACTGTGCAACTCTGTATCTTAAAGACAAAAAACTCAAATAGCTAAAATAATGTTAAGGTTCTTGGTGTGTTTATCCTCCTGAACACTGAGTATTTTACAGGATTACTTAAAAAAATTCATGCTCAGTTTGCTCTGTAGGATAAAAAGACTGTGCTGTCATTCACTACTGGAGGAGTGGAGTCTATGTACCTCCCTGATGGCCTCTATGGAGACATCAATGTTGTGCTATGGCCCTTACAGGTGAAATGAACCATTTTCTATAGTTCAATAGTTGCATTAATCTATTAGTTGCCAAAACGGAACAGCTTTAAAAAATAACAATCTGTGTCTTGATGCAGAACGGAGTTCTGCGCTTCTGTGGTTTTCAGGTTCTGGCCCCGCAAATCTTCTGGTGTGTTGCAGATGCACCTCCCTCTGAGAGAACAGCAATGTTAGAGGCATGGCGAGCCAGACTGAAAGGATTGCTGGACGAACAGCCTCTGTCGTTTGCTCCCACTAAGCTCTTTGACCTCAGCCTCCAGGCAGGGTTCCGACTGCGTTCAGATATGAAAGAGGCGTATGCCTCTCAACCCTACGGCCTCACCACAGGGCAGCACCTTGGTAAACTGCTCCCTCCAAACAACCAGACGAAGGCTTCTCCAAATGAAAACCATTAGAGACACCCTCACAAAAGAATGCCTAGCAACCGAATCAAGCCTGAAGTTATGAGTTTGTAGCCGAGTCATTATGCGCTAATGTCATTATTGCACTAATGCTGAAATGTGAGAATATGTCTAAGTTTACTTAAATTTAAATCCAGGTTTAACATACTCAAATCTAAGTTTAGCCTCTTTCTGTATCTAAAATATTTCAACCCTTGGCAGACCTGTATGTTTTCCATAGCATTAACTTGTCTGTCAATTCTTTCATCATTGAAGATGTGTAAGATGTTGTTATCTGTTACAAAACTATTCAAACTAACATCGACATAATTCTTCAATAAAGCATTGCCTGCCCTAAAATATATTTGTTTATTAAGTCATTGCTTATTGTAAAGTCTTCTTATAATCGGTCAGTTAAACACCATACTGTGAAGTGTTATTTATGCAGAGCTTCATTTAGTGGAGTTATGTAATAAATGTAGAGAGGCCATCTTCTACTTGATTCCTATCCTCCACTCTTGGATTATCAGCATGAGAGAGTTGGCACCCTCTAGGCCGGGGTCGGCAACATGCGACTTTTTTACTGCCCTGTTGCAACTCCACAGCAGAATTAGATATTTAGGTAAAAATAAAATAATTCTCCTTTGCAGTAAAAGAAAGCTCTGCTGATCGTTCAACACAGTTTTAAAAATAAATGGTCTTAAATGCTGGAGTTAATGTATGACTTCTAATTCACCCTTTCATCCTGAAGGTTAGCGCGCAGACTGCTGGTCGCACGGCGACACAGACAACAATCTTGCCTAGCCAGTAGCTAACGAAATATCAAAGAGAAAGATTTAAGCTGAACAGCGATAATTTGGAGATGATATTATGTTCATTCCTGCTGGTTTCCTGATACATTTAATCTGTAAGTCAGAAAGTCAGCATCTCGTTCCAATTTTCAAGTTCCACCTTAAATGGTGCAACAGTTAGCTACATAGTTAGCATTCATATAAAGTGGAACGGAAAAATTCAAACAAGAAGCTTGCAAATGAGAAGCAACTTCATCCTCGTAAAAAGTGAAACGTTGCGAAAAATTTTACAAGAAGTTGTTCTACTTTTGTTGAAAAGTTTCCTGCCGGAGATGCGAGAAAAGCGGCTATAGCTGAGCTAAAGCTTGAAGTGTGAAACTTTACTTCAGTACATTGGATATGAAATGCTGTGGCTTCCAAGGTGGTTAGATTTTTGTTGAAACTTGACAAAATGGCTCTTCTTAACGTTTGAGTTGCGACCACTGCTATAGGCCAAAGCAGAAGCCTCTTATAACTGCAGCCCAAGCTCTCTAGGCTCTTTTCTCTTTCTATGTTTTTGCTTTCACTTCTCAAATTGCACCAGTTCATGCATTTATTTAGCAGAAAAGGAAAAAAATGATGCATAGGCCATCCTACTATTCACCAGTAGTAACTAGTTGATCTGCCAGGCATTACGCTACTGTGAAAATATAAAGCCCGAAATAATAATTTAAAAGTTAGAGGTGTCAGGTCAGATTTCCTTTTTTCAGACCGCATCATACATACCATAGAAGGTCCGGCTCAATGTTTAGATCTCAAATGCAAAATTAATATTGTACTGATATGATGACAATATGATAAATCATTACTTACATCTTTGGAGGACATGTCTTAACCAAGTTTTGACTGAGTTATCTTTGATTTATCTTTCAATGTGCTTACTATCATCAGGTTCATCTGCTCAAAGAAGGGGTTCAGAGCACAACCGACATTACAAAAGGTTTTCCACACATTGTGTGCAATTACACATTTCCACCAGAGAGGTCTCCAAATCCCCAAATATTAGTTAATGTAGCTTCAATAAAGAGAGAGAAGGATGGGAGAGCCAGGCATTGTTTGTGTTTTTCCTCCATTCAAAGAGGTGTGTGCCTCAACCCTGGCCTCACCACATGGTAGCACCTGTGTAAACCCGCCCCCGCCAAACAATTAAACCAAAGCTCCTAAACGTGACCACTCAACATCGGAACAAAAGAAACCCTAGCAACTGAATCAGTCCTAAGAATATCAGCATTTTTATCTGAGTTATAATGATAATGGGTATTTGCACATGTTCTGAAACGCGAAGATAAACTTCAATTAATGTAATCGGTCTACTCTGTACCTGATAGCTAATGCCGATCCCCTTTAGGTAGACCTGTATCCACAAACATGCTCTTCTAAAAATACCATGTGCTCCGTAGAGATGTAATAAAATCTGTACAAAATGTATTAATGTGCTGTGAGTGAACTGGTGGATCTGTATGCCAGGTATTCTAGCTTGAAAGTTATGTGTTATCAAGTTGGTGAGCTTCTATAGGATGATGGACAGAAGAACGAAAGCGTAGCAGGGGCTATGGAATTGTAGAATAACTGAAATTTGAGGGAAGGACCATACCTGGAACCTTGTCTCCTTTCAGACTAACACCCTATAATTTCCCATTTCTGCCATCCATTTCCTATGACGAAGTTTATGCAATCCCCACCACCACTCCATCCCCCTGCCCCCATTCCTCAGTCCTACCACAGTTAAAAAGAGAGTCCGGCGTCCTACTTCCAAGCAGAAGCTGCCCAGAACTCCAGCCATAAAGTTTCCCTTCATACTACCACCATGTGCTAAAGGCATGGTCCAAACTCGCACACATTTGAAAAATGTAGAAATGGGGACTAGATCCACCTGGACTAGCATTATAGAGAAATATTCTATATAACAGAAGCCCAGAATCACCTAAACATTCTGCTCTTCTGATGTCAAATAAATACATCATCAAATTGTAATACTGGCCAGATCTAAACATCAGTCTGAAGTCGTTTTTTTCTAAGAAAATATCTGCCGATACCTGTATTTGCATTTCGACCATTTATGGTTTTCTGTGAGACAAACGAGGGGTAAAGGAAAGGACACTTAGTTCAGACAGACAAGTTCCATTTGTCTAAAGTTATATTCTTTGAGTCATCATTTCAATCTGTTCACCAAGTTTCATAGCTCATGACTATGAAAATCAGCAGGTTTCTATGGGATGATGGAAGGATGTAAGAAAGCATAGCAGGATTAGATAACTTGAGTGTTTTCATAGTGAAATGCAGTCCAGTGCTTTGGGCCATCAGTTAAAACTATATAGCCAATTATTTGATGGTATCAAAATCAATGCCACTGTGACCAGTCCTGACTCAAGTTTCTCCAAAATGCCACATTTTACACCAAACTACTCTGAATTACTTTACATTTGTTTAATTTTGCATATTCTTTTTTAAAAATGGTGGAATTCCCTCTTTTACAGGAACTGGACACAGGCCCTGGATAAAATCCAGCTCCACCCTCTGGTCATGTGCTTCAGCTGCATGGACTGAGTCCAAGTTTCGCCTGGTTGTTGACCACTATTGTTGAGTGCACACGTGCAGCAGCAGCACATGGTTTAATCTCTTTATTTGTTCCTGTGCAGTAACCAGATGTGTTGCATGTGCCAGAGGTTAAGGGTGCAGCCAAAGCGGGTGGAAAGGTGTGTTAAAAGTTAATGTGAGTGAGTCTCGTTCCAGTTGTGACAGAGACTGGCAGCCGTGCGTTCAGTGCCGTCCAGTGACTTAAGAGGCAGGTGAAACCAACCGGTGCTTCTCAGCCACGTCAAGGCAAGAAACTCTTCTCAAAGCATTTTACTCCTGTTCTCCACTGCGGAAAGACTGCTTAAGAAGGAGGAGGGCCCTCTCAGCCTGGCACACTAGGAAATGGGTGAGATTACAAAGCGACTCAGATAACATTTGCTTTAGAAGCAGGGTGTGATTTTTTGTTTTGATTTGAATGGGCCTACAGTTGTATGCAAGCTAAGGGCACCCTTGGAAAATGATACTGATGAACAATTACTTTTTTATTTATTTACTAAATACATCTAAAAAAAACATAAAATGTGGCCTGTGCAACAGTTATAGTTCATTTATACACATGGTAAACCGCTCTTTTATGGTTTTCTCACAGCTGTCTCATTTTCTTTTTTGTGTCCTTAACTGTATTTTTTCCTTTGCAATTAGAGTAATTTTTAAACACTATATTTCTTAATAACTGGAAAATCTGTATCCTTTTTCAGAGGTAAAATTGTGACGACCCTGAGCCCTGCATGGTTGCAGCTCATTCAAATGTCCCAGGAGCCCGCCGTGGCTGCCAGTAGTGGTTCCGTTAACCGTCTGGCGGCTCCTCTAGCTTTCTAGTCCTTTGGCTAACCACCAAGCATTAGCACCTTGTGCTGTAAGTGTGAGTTCTTAAGAAAGAGCATTCCGTTGGTTTAATCAAGGGTATCTAATCTCATCCGCGAAGGTCTGGTGTGGCTGCAGGTTTTCATTCCAAACAAGCTGGAACACATCTGATTCCTCTTGTTTATTCAGTTTGTCTCAGTTGTCAAACTACTGATCATGTGCGCTCCTGTTCTGTTGGAATGAAAACCTGCAGCCACACAGGCCTTTTGCGGATGTGATTGGATTCCTCTGGGTTAAATGATGTTTCTGGTCTTGCCTCGTCCTTGTCGAGGTGACAATATATTCTTCCATTTCTTTGAGGGATTTATCATGCACAGCATCTCTTGCGTCCTATAAGCATTCTATCTTTCTGGTCATAAAAAATGTTTCCAGAACGGATCCTAGCCACCATTCCCTATCACACACACAGGCAAAGTACATCCCTAGAACACACCACCTCAAGCTGATCTCACCTGAATTACAAAGTGTCATTGATGTCTTCTGAATTAAAGTGAAATATCCTGATATCTCAAACCATTCTAGGACTTTCCTGCAGCAGGAATGTAGGAAAACCATTTTGATGGCCAGCAAGATGCTTGTTTGATGTTTCCTCCCCCAGCAACAAATGGAAATGAAAGAATTGATGGTGCCCGTCAAAGTTTGGGCACATCATAGAAGGGTTTTCCTTCTTTTTACTATTTTCTACATTTTAAAACAAAAACGGAGACATAAGAACTGTGGAATAACACATATGCAACCAAAAGACCAAAAACTGCCCAAACTGTCCAAACTGTCTTCTATTTTAGATTATTTTAGAAATTAGCCCCACGTTGACTCGATGCAGCTTTGAACACTCTTTATCATTTTCTTAAGCAGTTTCATGAGGAGCCACCTGAGGTGCCTTTACAGTACGACTGAAGAAGATAAACATACGCTGGCCTTGTTGATGCTGCAAAACAATATATATTTTCTGATGATTTCATGCATAGGAATAACAGTCACTATTTGTTTGTGTCTTAAAGCAAATTTATCCTGCATTTAAGCACAAGCCTTTAGATCTTGTCCAAATTCTGTTAGGTGTGTCCAAACTTTTGACTGGTAGTGTGTTACATCTTTAATGAGAATACCGACTACCTTGAGCATTATAAAGGTTTATTTGGAAATCTAGTGAGTATTTTTTGTTGGTGTTTGTTTTGTTTTCTTTCCTTTCTGTTTATTTCTGTGCTTCAGTTCACAATTAATCATTTTCTTTCAGCATTCAATTAATAGGCTTTTCAGCATTCACATCGCCAAACCCTCTTTCATACAAAAATGGAAAAAATGGAACGTGAACAAGAGGAACACTGGTTTGAATAAGGCTGCAATCGTTACTCTGCTTGCTGCTGCGAACTCAAAGTGCTTTCTTATCTCTGGGTATGATCTCTATGTGCTTCTTATGTTGCAGCGCCGAAGACCGTGCTGATCGTTTATGCCCATCACAGTCCAAGCTCGTTTAACGCTGCTGCGAAGGATGTGGCTGTGCAGACACTCACTGCACAGGGATGTAAAGTCATTGTGTCTGACCTCTACGCCATGAACTTCCATGCTATTGCAACAGCGGCGGATATCAAAGGTCTGTATGGTGGCGTCTGTAAATTTAAGGGGAATTTTTAAACTGTGTATGTGACCAAAACCAGTGCAGGGAAGCGTATTTCTACAAGAGCAAATATTACCCATAGACAAGTGCAGCAGAGCAAGATGTAGTTTTACGTGGTTTTTATTGGTACAAATTGTGGGACCTTATTTACTCAGTCTTTACATAAATAAATGTAAACAGCAAGCTGCAAATGCAGTGATGGCACTGTTACACAGTGGCTGAACGATTCTTGTCTTTACCATAATGTAAAGGGAAAAGTCTGTATGTTTTTTACTAAGAGATCGACAGATAATACCACAGCAAATGTCTATGTATCAGAAGAAAAGCTTAAAGTAGTATCAGAATGCAAACATCTTAGTATTGAAATTGATCTAAAAATATTCAAATTTAAAAAAGCAAATCAAAAAGCTAGTAAATGTTGTAACGTTTAATTTATGTTATTTTAGAAATTGTTTGACCACTACTCTATTTTAATGCAGCGATTGTTCCACTTTGACTCACTGTCTGAATAACTGGGCAGTCGGTTTATCATCAGGCTGTTAAAGTGCTTGATAGAAAGTCCAATAGTTACAGTCCCTGCTGTTGTATAAGAAAACGTAGACTCATTAAGCTGAAATAACTTTTTGAAGATGTGTGTCTTGTATAAGACCCTGCTTGGCTTGGTTCATTTTCCAACTGCTTTCATTAAGCAGAAAACAACTGAAGATATGTCCACTAGATCAGTGACCAGAGGAGATGTTGTGATACCTGTGAGGAAGACAGTCAGCTTTTTCTCTAAGAGCAGCTCAATTGAGTGTGAATTTCACTGTCATTTTCAGCTAATTTAAAACTACGGCTAAAAAAAACAACCAAGAATGTCACCGTAGTATATAAATCAGTTTAACAGCTGGCATTGTGGTTTATTTTATTTTATTTTCTACATTCTATACAGTTTTTTTATTGTATACAGTTTATACATTGTGTACAGTGCCCTCCAAAAATATTGGTGCCCCTGGTAAACCTGAGCAGGACAGGCTAAAAAAACGTTCTTTATTGCTCATCCTTTTGATTTTCCATTATAAATATTAACAAAAGTCTAACCTGTAATTGAAGTACAATGTTTAAAAGAAAAAACCTACAATTTGTCATGAAATAAATATTTTTCTCAAATAAGTCTATATGTGCCACAATTCTTGGCACCCTTAGAAATTCTCATTAGTGAAATCTAACTGAATTATATTCCCATTCATACTTTATGCTTTAAAGTTCAACTGAGCAATTAGGAACAATTAAATGGTCAGCCATTACTTCTTGTTTCACTGGAGTATAAATATGAGGTGACGCACAGGCCAAATTCCCTCAGTCACCCATAGCTAGGACTAGAGAACGGCTACAAGAAAATAGCTAAACAGTTAATTTCCATCCTCAAAATCTTAATTAAGAAGTTTTAAGTAATTGGAGATGTTAAGAATCTGCCTGTAAGAGGGTGTATATCTATATCGATCCCACGCACAGTGAGGAGGATGGTTCTAAAGGCAAAAATATCTCCAAGGATCACAGCTGGGGAATTGCAGACATTAGTTAGGTCTTGAGGTCAGAACGTCTTTCAAATCAGATGCCACCTATATAAACACAAGTTGTTTGGGAGGGTTACCAGAAGAAGGACCAACAAACTCCAGCACCTACAGTTTGCCAGATGTTACTGGAACTTTCAGTAGGACTGTGTTCAGTGAGGTTAGATGAGACCAAAATAGAGATTTTTTGGCAACAAACCCAGAGATGGGTTTGGTGTAGACACAAAGATAACCAACAGAAAAGTACCCCATCCTCAATGTAAAGTATGGTGGTGGATCTGTGATGTTGTAGGGCTGTTTTTCTTCTACAGGCCCTGGACAACTTGTTCAGATACACGTGTGCTGTCACTGTAAATCTAAATCGAATAAACTAAACTACAGTATTAGGTTAAAACTATAGGAGAACATGGCTATCCAGGACATACATTCCCATTCCAAATTTCCTTTAAACTTTAAATGATAAAAGTATGTAAGGGTTATTCTTTGCCAACTCATCTAGGCCAGAGGTTCCCAACCCTGGTCTTAAAATACCCAACACATCTGATTCAATGAAGGCGCATTAACACCTCTTCCATGACTCGAGGTGTGGGTGTTGGGAGCAGTAAAAACACTAAAATCTACAGGACAGGGGGGCTTCCAGGACTAAGGTTGGGAACCTGTAATCTAGGGTATGGCAGGTCAGGTCATGGACATGCATGAAGAAAATATCACATATAATCTTCTATTTAATTTGTGCAATCATGCAAATTTTCAACTCTGTGCCCCAAATACTTTTTTAGTTATGATCTTATGAAAGTTTGTCCTATTGGTACTAAATCACAAATATCAAGTGTGCACGTTTACACAATAACTGAACTGAACTGTGCTGTGGTGGCACAGAGGGTAGCACTGTCGCCTCACAGCAAGAAGGGGCTGGGTTCGGTTTCCTGGCACACTTTCTGTGCATGTTCTCCTTGTGTCTGCTCTGGTTTCCTCCCACAGCCCAAAGACATGCAGTCAGGCCAATTGGACACACTAAATTACCCCTAGGTATGAGTGTATATGTCTGTCTGTCTGCCCTGCAATGGACTGGTGACCTGTCCAGGGTGTATCCTGCCTTCTGCCCAATGACTGCTGGGATAGGCTCCAGCACCCCCGTGACCCAGAAGGATAAGCAATTTAGAAAATGTGTGTGTGAACTGTGCTGAAATATTAAATGGGTATAAATACAACACTAAAAGTATTATTTCATTTTAAATCAGCTGGTTTCCTGTTTATAATTGCCCACAGCGGGATACTTGATTGAAGGAATGTGGACTGTTTGCCTTTAAAATGTCATCTTTCAGTCTATTTTCAAATTTATTATTGCACAATTAAGGTTTTATATAGTGCTCATGCTTTTCTAACAAACATGTAAATGAATAATTTTTTGTAAATGAATGCTTTTTTCACAGCAGCCATAAAATGCAGCCCGTTTTGCAGGTATATCAGCCAGCATTTTTGAATAAATTTGGATTTTTAAGAATATTTGAATAACATTCTAATTATATCTTGAGTTAACATATTTTATTTGATTATATAAATAAAAATATCCAACAAGTCGGTTCCCATAATGCCTATCTGGAGCACAGTTTTGAAATTTGGCATTTTTGCTTGAATTAAATATTCTCACAGAAATAGATTAACCCATATCAAAAAGCAATTTGAAATAATATGATATGGACATTTCTGGTCCTGTATAGTCCTATATATGCACTATGTTTTGCATGTCCAGGCAAATTGAAGAGCCCCGAACACTTTCTCTATGCTGAAGAGACCTTTATTGCCTACAAGGAGGATCGACTGAGTGATGACATCAAAGAAGAGCACCGCAAGGTGGCGCAGGCTGATCTCATCATCTTTCAGGTTTGAGATTTAAATTCTCCCGTTCTCATTATTTCTCAAGATTTTTAATTAACTCATGCTATAACATCTAATTCCCTCATGTACATGTACATTATGTATGTATTTTATCCATCTTACTGGCATGAGAATAATAAATGTAGTCTGCCGTTAGAAAATTAATTAAAATATTCTGAATGTTTTATGCAGTTCCCACTCTACTGGTTCTCTTACCCTGCTATAATGAAAGGCTGGATGGAGCGAGTGCTAACTCGAGGATTTGCCTACACTCTGCAGAACACGTATGACAATGGCTTGTGCAAGGTCTGAAATGTTAAGGTCCTTGGTCCACTATATGTTATATTAAAGAGATTAGCCTTAAAAATAATCATAAGTAAAGCATACAGAAACAGTTTAAAATTATGCTTGAATTACTCTGTAGGATAAAAAGGCTGTCCTGTCGTTCACTACTGGAGCACCGGAAACCAAGTTCCAACCTGATGGCATCAACGGAGATGTCAATGTTCTGCTATGGCCCTTACAGGTGAGATGACCTATTTGGTATTAAAGTCATTTTTTCTTTATTAGAATTAATCGGGGACAAAATAACAAACTGTTTGTGCCCTGGCGCAGAACGGCGTTCTGCACTTCTGTGGTTTTCAGGTTCTCGCTCCTCAGATCTTTTGGGGTCCTGCACGCGCTTCTCCCTCTGAGAGAAAAGCTATGTTGGAGACATGGCAGGCCAGGCTGAAAGGTGTGCTGGAAGAGCGACCACTGTCCTTCGCTTCTTCTGAGCTTTTTGACCTCAGCGTTCAGGCAGGGGCCCGACTGCGGCCTGAGGTGAAAGAGGCATATGCCTCTCAACCGTACGGCCTCACCACGGGGCAACACCTTGATAAACCACTCCCTCCAAACAACCAGACCAAGGCTCCTCCATATGACAAACATTAGACACACCCTCACAAAAGTAAGCCTAGCTTGGAGATATGAGGGAGTGCACATGTTCTGAAATGTGAAGGCTTTAAATTTCAGTTTACCTGAACCCTTTGAACCCTCGGCTTATCATTCTCTCATTAATCTTAGGACTTATTATTCAGTAACTACTTTGGTTTATATAGTAACTACTATAAAACTAATATGTAAGTTATGCACATATGAGAGTGAGGAATTGAGGTGTGGGCCTACATATGGGTCCTTTGGAGTTTCAGGGGGTTAAATTACTCCACATCTCACCCGTATTACTAGTCTACTTTGATTAAACTTGTTACCACAAAACATTAATTTCTAAAAAAAAATGATATGTGCTCCAAAGTGGTGGTATGCAGATTTTTATTTTTAGTACTTGTAATACTTTAGTGCCTTTTTTTCTTTCTTTTTATCTTATTGATCATTTCTTACAAATCTAACTCTCAGCTAACTGTAACTCTAAGCTAATCCACAGACACATGATTCTGAAAATATTAATAAAGCAAGTCAATCTCTGACAATTTTGTGGTCTGAGGAACTATTTATTGTAAATTCCTCTGGAAATATACTGAATTAAATACCATCATGTCAAGTATTATGTATGGAAAGTTTAATTTGGTGGAGTCATGCAACAACTCAAGTTTGGGTCTCCATGATTCTTAAACTCCTTTCTTGGATCTTCACCAAGAGGCAGCCCAAAAGTTCAACCTCTCTCTGGACTGTTTTATCTTTCTACAGTTTTGCATTGTGATTTACTGAAGGCCTGCCCTCACACAAAAACTTGGTATTCACTAGTATTAGCTCTAATAACTAATATTGTGTATCCATGCTCTTATTACTGAGCATGAAATGTGGTTATATCCTTTCCACCAGCAAAAGAATTTATATCAAATTTGATCTACTGTGAAATTTAAATGATAATCTATCAAAATAAATTATTCTTGATAGGGGTGGAAGGATCAAAGAAAGTAGAGCAGGGTTAGGTAGACTCAGCCTGTATCAGCCTGAAATGGTGTTATATGTTTTGGGTCATCAGTTGTTTTGCTCTACCAAGTTTGATGGTTGTAACTAAAAAAATCAAAGAGTATCAAAATCAAAGAGAAGACGAAGGATGAAAGAAAGAATAACAAGGTAAATGAATGCTGGATATGAGGATAAAGGGATCAATGAAAGCATGAACCAGTGCTGTATCTGGAGAAACTTTCTTTTATAAAGATGAGAAAGGAGAGACTGAAAAAGTAAGAGATATTACCAGCCAATCCTAGCACAGTAGCGGACATGGTACCCGCCAATCCTAGCACAGGTGAAGAGATATTAACAGCCAATCCTAGCACAGGAGAGGAGATATTACCAGCTAATCCTATCACAGGAGAGGAGATATTACCAGCCAATCCTAGCACAAGAAAGGAAATATTACCAGCCAATCGTAGCACAGGAGAGGAGATATCACCAGCCAATCCTAGCACAGAAAAGGAAATATTACCAGCCAATCCTAGCACAGGAGAGGACACAGTGCCAGCCAATCCCTACACAGGAGAGGAGATATTACCAGCCAATCCTAGCACAGGAGAGAACACAGTACCAGCCAATCCTAGCACAGGAGAGGAGATATTACCAGCCAATCCCAACACAGGAGTGGAGATATTACCAGCCAATCCCAACACAGGAGGTGTGTTCACTACCAGCCATCCCAGCACAGCCCTGACCACAAAGCTCTACGGTGACGCTTTAAGATTTCCATAGTGCTGTATAATATTTTTACAATAATCTACAATGTTCATATAATACTGTATTATAGTCATCAAACATACTTGTGCAGTATCCTGTAAGATGTGATAGTACTTGTCCAAATTTACAGGAATCCTGTAGAGATTCATGTAGTATTCCTGTAGATATTTTTCCTGAGGGACAGTTGATTGGACAATACCAGCCAATCCTAGCACAGGATGTGCGATACAATGAGCCAATCATAGCACAACCCTAACCAAAGGAGCTATATTGATATTATAAAAAAGGTTCTGTAGCGCTGTATAATACGTCTATCAAATCTATAATAATTGTGCCTCATAATGTTCCTGTATTACTGTCTTAGCAGCTGTAAGAAAAATTATAATAGATTTTATAGACATATTATACAAGCTGCAGAGCCTTTTTTATAATACCAATATAGCTCCTTTGGTCAGTGATGTGCTATGATTGGCTCACTGTATATAAAGTCTGTAATACTTGGTCAGTGTTCTGTAGTAAATTGACTGTAATATTCTGTTTCTTTAGAGAGGAGAAAATCACAGCACAGGAGGCGCTGCCAACCAATCGCAGAGTACGGGTTGGGAAAAAAATCAGGAAAACATAAGGTGGGCGGAGGGGTCCGTGCGTGCTCACGCAGGATGCACGCGCCGTCCGTACGCGCTTGTGTCATGGCTGCGCCAGCGCGTCATTTGTTCCAGCGCAGTCACCGGCGCGCGCGGGGCTCGGTGCTCAATGCGCTCCTCCCAAATCCCGGACTGCTCCGTTATCTGCCCCGTTAGAGTCCTCCATACCGGAACTTCAGCCGCTGCTACCGAGAGCGTTCCCGGAATGTGACCACCTACTAAACAAAGCCCGAAAGCCCGTTCAGACCGTTCAGTCCGTTCATTCGCCGCAGCAAGAAAAGCCTGAATGGTATGTTGTGTAGCGACTCTACAGTACCGAGAATTCAGTCTCACTGTTGTTCTGCTTTCTTTCTTTCTTTTATTCCTCTGTTCAGTCAGTGAGCCACTGCATGCAAACCGAGAGCACGTACGCGCCATTAGTCTCGTGAATTCTGGAAGCGTATCTTTGTTGTTGTTTACTGTACCGACTATTAAAAGCGTTGGCCTGTTTATTTGGTGCTTTATCCTACTGGAAACTCACTCAGTAGTCTGGACCGATGGAGACTCTCGTGCTGTATCTCCTACTTGTAGAAATAAGCACACATGTATTGTTAACAGTAACTTTGGGCTTTTTAATTTTGCCCAGAAGTCAAAATCACTTATTAAAAATGTTTTTCATGCTCTGTTTGGCTGCCCCTTAGTATTTAGTCCTTAGATGCTTGGAGCATCATGAAAACCTGTACTTAACCATTGTTAGATTAAATATGGCATTTTAAATCCTTACTGAGGAAGTGAGGCGAGAATGTGAGTTTCAGTTTCATGGCAGATCTCTCTGCATGCCGTTTTTGTCCACAAGTTTGGTAAAAAAAAAAAAAAAAGCCACAAATTCCTTGAATTCTTTCACACTGACCAATTTATTAGGGATTAGGGTTGATCGGTATCAGTTACATCACAGTACGCCTTTCTGACAAACTGCATGTTTCATTACAAAGAGATATAATTGGGTCTGTCTAAGTGGATTCATTGTAACCCAGTGCATGAAACGCCATACAATCACTGTGCACACTTAAAAACGGTTCTTCAAGGGTTCTTTCCTAAAGACATTGGTTCTTTGTAGAACCATGAGTTCTATGCAGAACCATTTCATGCTTGCATGGTTCTTTGCATGGTGACTTGGTTCTTCACGTTGATGGAGAATGTGTTGTATATGATTCTATATAGAAGCTTTTTGAAAATGGTTCTATGTACCATTTTCACACAAAAAGAGGTTCTGTTATTGGTACAGTGTCAAGCTTGGAACAACAGAAGAATCTTTTTTGGTGCTATATAGAACCAGTATCAAAAATGTTCTTTGTAGAATCATATTCAGCACATTCTCTATCAAACTGAGGAGCCATTTCACCATGCAAAGAACCTTTAAGCATGAATATCTGAACAGAACCATAATAGAATTGCCTTACTGAAGAACCCTTGAAGAACTATCCTTTTTTAAGTGTGTAGTTTTTAATTGTAATTTTTAAAGGTGGCTCTAATGTAGAGGTGGGCAATATGACAATATTTTGTTATCGTGATATGTCATAATATGCTTTCCTGAGCATATCATGGATATTATCAATACTGACTAAGTACATGTTTCATTAAAAAATGTAATTTAGAAGTGTTTAATTAGATTTAGTGCAGTGCAGTTTGTAAAACTGAATAAATCACTGGTTGTAGATTAATTATTATTATAATATTTTTTAAACGTGGCACTACAGGTTCTATTTTGTCTGTTCTAACTTATAATGTTTTTGGAAAACTGAATATATAATGCCTGTCCTGTATCATGAAAACGTCTTGAAGTATCGCAAAATGATATTTTTGCCGTATCGTTTTTCTGTTCCACCTTATCAAACGTCAGAAAAATGAAATATTGTGATACAAAACATGCATCATATAAACGTTTGGAAAGTATCATGATATGTTTTTGCCCACCTCTATTAGGGCTACACGATGATATCGCAGTCATGTCAGGAGGAATTTTACTGCATTTGTAACCATACATGTTATATTTCTCTACAGTGACAATCCAGGTGGATCTACACACAGTTTCCACATTTTTTGACATTGGCAGATTTGTTCACAAAATATAATGGACATCATCATCGGCTCGATTGTTTCCATATCGGTGCATCCCTAAAATTTATGACTCAAGTAAAGTTTCGGACTTAGTCATGAAATGTGACCGGAACATTAGAAGAAGACTCCATAAGATTCCGTCCTCAGAAACCACATGGTTAACATAACTCATCAGTAGCTGTAGAAAGTTGGGATGCATTAATTATGAATATTTATGGAAGATTCGGATTTCTTTACAACCAAATCAGCCGATGACCGGTTGTTTTTGACTGAGTTTAATAAGCCTGTTTAACACACACTATGTGAGCTACATGAACATGTGAAACACACCAGCACAGTTCCAGTTTTATTAGTCTTAGTCGCTAATGTAAATAACTTCACAATCCTTTTAAGGAAAAATATATAACAATTATATAATAAATAACATGAATCAAATAAAGTCTTCCACTGAAAGTACAACTTGCTCTTTAGCAGAATGAGTCATGCATAACCTGCCTTATGTTATTTATGTCATAAAATTGCAACATGGGTCAACAGAACAAATTAAAAATAATATATATGCGGATTGCTGTGATTGGAGCAAAAGTCTGCTTATTTCCAGGTTTCCAATCGGAATTGTGCGTCCCTAATATAAAGCTCTCATGAATCAAATCCAGTGATTTAGAACAAGAAACTTAACACTGGAACACTCAGTGATAAGCCTTTAGGCTCCATGCTAAAAACAAAAAAAATAGTACAGTGCTTAACCATTCGCTTAAAGCTCTGTAGAAGACTCAAATGTAGATTGTGCAGCATAAACTATGCTTGGTTTCTAACAGTTCTCAAAGATAAAAACAACATAAGAAAGTCAATGTAGACGATATGTGTGTGCCGAATTGTAGATAGCAGTTGATTAATTTATATCTTCAGGTGTATATTTGTCCCGGATGTGCTTTTTAGCCAAAGAATATGTTTTCTTTGACAATAAAACACATCAACCTGCATAAATTCCAAGTATCCACTAATACAGATACTGATCTGTTATTTTTTTTTAAAACTAATAAGCTTTAAAATTAGCTATTTTTAATTGAAGCACTTCACTTTAGATGGCCATCCACAAGTAGGCTTTCATGCTCAAACTACTTTACTCCCCCCACAGGAAGAAATACACAGCTAAAAATATGTGAGTGTGCACTATTTCAGGTTAGATTTGTTACAGGAATTGTTGTTACAGGATTGGATTAGATTCATTCCTTTTTTTCCCCTCCAACATCCAGTCCAGCGTTTCCTGCTGATATTAGCCTGATACCTGATACCCATTGATACAAGGGTTGCAAATTTTGGCAAATTCTTTTAACCGATAACCAACCATCATGAGTTGGTGATTAACCACTAGCCTAAAATCAAGGATGTGATGCGCACCTATCAAAATATCAGTTATAAAATGGATAGTTACGGTTCTGAAATCTGATTCACTGAGCTGTGTTTAAAGCCAATGTAAAATATGTGATACGGTCACAGTTATGAGCACACACATCAAATGAATTCTGTATTAATGCGCTGAACTGTTAAAAAGTGATAGGTGGGGCCGAGCATGAGCGTGTATATGAAGTAAATGGCCCAAAAACATGTTAAACATACCCTACATAAGGGCCTGGGTTGTTTTAACTGAAGGGCTAACAACTACAGGGAGATTCACTCGAAAGAGGCCCTGAATATTCTGTTGTAACTCCCGTTAGGACGAAGCAATCTGAACCAAAAAAATACACTACATACCTTGACGCGCTGCTCAGTACTGTACACCACTATCCTGATGAGATATTGAGTGACTGAGTGAAGGGGTACGGGGGTCTGCACCTGGAAGCTGCAACTGGAGGTTAAATGTTGCAACAGCTGTCCGGCACCTACCCCATCGCTCTGACGAAGGGGCATCCCAGCTTGTTAGAAGCTCCATATACTGAGGAGCACATTGCACGTTGTTTTGTTTAGATTGCTTTGTCCTACCGAGAGTTATTACAGAATATTCGGGGCCTCTTTCGAGTGAATCTCCCTGTATAACATGTCCATGATTATGTGACCAAAAACTAAAAAGTTGACAAAATCACTGGAGTGTATAATGATGGGCTGCTGAAAGTTCTATATTCCTAAGTTCTAAAGATATATATTTTGTGCTTGTTTCTAGTTAGTGAACATAAATGCTATGACCAGGCCTAGCTTTGGCTCAGTGTACCTCAGTGGCTCTCCATTGTTGTCCATCACGTCCTTCTTTATCATTTTTCACACCCATGGATGAATTTCTTTCATCACTATACATCGTGTTTTCTCTCTGATAACATGAGTGAAAAAGTTGTCTGTTCTATTACTTGCAGGTTGCTTTCATTGTGGTACATTGTGGTAGTTGTGCGCTCATTATCTCAAAAAGTGCTCCCCGACATCAGTCTGCATCCTTCATTTTTATAGGCCTTTTTAGTGGAACCGGAAACCTATTGCGCTGTCATACATTCAGAAACATTCCTCTCTGCTTGATTTCCATGAATTGTCAAATTCTGCGATGGGGAACTCTAGTAATGGAGGGATTCTTGCACAATATGGTGATTTTCCAGCTCAAGAACACTTGACTCAACTCATCAGTGAATAACCATGGATAGTTAAGGTGCTACAGCAGGGAAATCACCAAACTGTGTGGCCCTCAGTTCCCACTTGGTCTCACCGATGCATACTAATTAGTTCTTATTAAATAATTTTGGTTTTTAATCCGTGTCTCATTTTTTTCTATCAGCTCTCAAAGTGGTGCAGCATCTGTTCTTTAGCTGACAGATGTGCAGCGTGGCTTGACTGAGGTGTGCTTGCTGCGATGGTGCTGGATCTGGGGGAGAACTGTATGGAGCGGGCTGATGGGGAGGGCATGGCCACTACTGGCGCAGACGTTCAGGAGTCAGAGCCCATTTTGGAAAAACCCAAACCTGTCCGGGCCAGAGCCAGAACCAGCAGCATCACCCAGAGGGACAGACTGCTGCACAATGGGCCTCAAGCACAGACTTGTACATCCGCCCTTGGTAATACACAGTCGGAGCAAAGGGCTAAGTGTGGGGTGGGGGGAAGCAGCAGAGGAGCTGAGCCATCAGGTGGACCCCGAAGGCCCCTGAGCCTGGAGATCAAACCCCAGCGCCTTAGAGCCAATCATCATCAGCCTGACAGGAAGGTTGTGCAGCCACCATGGCGTTGTGGTGCGCCCTCTCCTCCAGTACGAAGCCTGACAAGCCCCAGCCTGGGCCCTGGAGGCTGGATGCGCCGCAGCGAGAGCACCTGCACCATGAATGCCACAGCGCCCCCTAGAGCAGGAAGAGGACGAATGCGACCAGCGACTTCCTTGCCGCACATCGCCAGGGGTATCGGGGCCACACCACTTCCCACACCTTCTACTCCACGTGGACCCTGCCTGCTGGTAGCTCTGCGCCCCACAAATCTCGAGCAGGAGCGCCAGACCTTTTTCCAGTCGGACTATAAGTACGAGCCTCAGTTTGAGTACACTTCCCCAGAACCCAGCAGCGTACTGGAGAAGTATAAGGAAGGCTCAGGTCTCTTTCTTTCCCAGGTATGTTTATGTAGTAATACACGTAAGACTCTGCTGTTATTTACAGCATCATTTAAAACTGTGGTGACACCATTGAAAAAAATTTTAGTATTTAAAATGATTCTAAAATGATTGACGTGCAACTTCACAGGTTCCAAGTAATAAGTAGAAAAAAAAAATGAGATGTGTCCCGACTGATGATCGGGGCTGTAGGTGACTGTAGAATGACTGAGACATGCTGTACAGTATCAAGAATGGTTTGATAATGAAATTAATAATATCCAGAAGGTTATTTATTAGATATTAGATTATTTTATTAAGGGAGAAACTTCATTGTAGACAACATATTATGAATAGATAAAAACTGCATGTTATATAAAATACCTGCTGGTTTCTTGTTTATATTGTTTAAATCTACAGTACTGAGCAAATGTCAGAGACCACCCTTCATTTTTTTTTGTTTCCAGTCAAAATGGCCCATTAAGTGCAAGTTATTCATTCTGCAGCGTCATGAAAAAGCAGAAAACATAAATTTAACAGAAAAATCTGTGGATTTTTTCAGATCTGAAGTAAGAGTGGGGCTCAATTTTCTCCTCTCTCTCTCAAAGATTTAAGTACTTCAGTTTTGGCGGTCACCAGGTCTTGCAGGCGTTTGTTAGGAGTCCAGTTTTTTCATTTTTTTTTCCCACTTATGTTCCTTTGACTTTCCTGTTCATTATGCAGGTTGATTGTTTTTTTTATCTATACTTCTCAGAAATATCTCCTGAAAAATATATAACTTGTACTTAGTGTTTTGAATAAATAAATTTAGACTGGTCTCTGGCTTTCGTGCAGTACAGCATATTGTAGATGCAGTTATTGTATAGAAAACAACAATTTTTAATATGACAAGTGATTCTAAACTTTTGAATAATGGTGTACCCTCTAAATTATGTACCCATCACTTCATCCAGGCAGTTGGTATAATGGAGTGTGTCTTGAGGAAGTTTGGCACTTATGAGAACTTTGAAGAAGTTACAGGAGGAAGTGTTCTGCCAAAAAGCAGAGTGTGGTCAACAGCGCGCAAGTACTTACAGAAAGAGGGCTGTGTGGGAGAGGTATGTGTGCTTCTGCTTCTGTTTTGTGTATTCATGCATGACTTTTTTTTCAGTGTTGTAGGTTTCAATTCAGCTTTGGGGGTGGGACGCACTGCTCATAGCACCTGACCCATCATATGAGTGTTTTTAACTTATTATTGGTGTTAAGGATGGGTTGCATTAGGAATGTGTCACTATAATGAAGGAGGATAAAGAAATAATAACTGATGTGTATAGAACCTATTTATGAGAGACGTATTAAACAGAAACGCATGCAGTATGTATAAACTGTACACACTGTACACTGTTTTGACTTGTATATTCAAGTCAGTTGAGATGCTGAGTTGGTTAATCAAGAACTGGTTTTCTGTGTGTTAAACTCCTCTTTACACTCACATTTTGACTTTAATACTCTAAAAAGTTAGAGGGCTGAGAGAGAGAGAAGTGGAACAACAAGGCTAAAATCTACCTAAACAAATCTAATGGTTTTAGACTAGGGCTGGGCAATATGACAATATTTATTGTTATTGTGATAAATTATGTTACAATATCTGATGGTGTATATTGTGGATATCATCAATACTTAAAAAGAACATGTCCCAGCTTTTTTTATCACAAAGATTTGATAGTTAATTGGATTCAGTGTAGCACTGTATATGAAATGTTGAGTACAAATCATTAAGTAAATGTTTTTACTAGTGTTTTTTCCTACTTATCAGATTTCAGAAAAAATAAAAATCATTTTTTGAAGTATCGTAATATTACATGTTTGTTATATCACCCACCTCTATGTTAGAGTGAGACTCAACTAGGCATTTTAATGTGTAGTCTGTTGCACCAACCAGACTCCAGATAATGGAGCTCAAAAGCAAACTCTCCGCCCCAAACCTGGATGCTTTTTAACCTAGTTAGATATACACAGACATAGAACTGCACCTTTAGGTGTAGAAACTTAGGTAAATAGAGGTAAATAAATCTACCAGACCCACTAAACTATCCAACTAGTCATTGCTAACCAACTAGCATTAGTCTTTTTAATCCAGGGGAGCTAAAACCTGCGGTAGAGAACAAGCTGGCAGTATTGTACATCACCACAGGAGGTCTGCTTAGTTTACCTGACTTTTAAACATCCTCGACAGTCTTAAACATTAAACAGAAAGTGAAGCTGCTCCATCTGCTACAGTAAAGAAACATGAAAGATGCTGACTGTGTATGGATCGCATTTCCCATGAGATGTAAAGATGTGATGAAAAACATGGATTTAAATCAAAGATCCTCTTTGTTTGAGCCATAGTTATTTAAAAACTATATAATTAAAAAAAATATTGCATTTGGTCAAATTTAAACCAAAAGCAATGCAGATTATACCCCACCACACACACACAGATCTATGCCTATGTTTATTTCAAATAAATTAATTTACAGGTGGTGGTGTGTCTGTCTGACGAGCTGCTGTCCCAGGCTGTGATGATGGTGGAGAGCTGTAGGCCAACGCTAACAATCAACTTGTCCGGAGCAAGGCAACACTGGCTAGAAGGGATGCTGAGACATGAGATTGGTATGACCCAAACCTTTTCCACTACTACTTGGAGTACATGTTCTAAAGTAACGCTTCCCAATTCCAGGACTGAGGACCTAAGACTGAACACATTTTTGTGTTTTTCCTCATGTAGCACTCTTAATTCAACTCGTTAACTAATTTAACAAGCCTGTCATGTACTATGAATTATGAATACAATAAACAATTCTTATGCTAAGCAATGTGCTATGTTAACTATAGGTTATGGTTCCAAGCATCCTAACAGTTAATATACCATGAACAGCGTAAATTGCATTTATATATGTTTGTACTGAGATTTATACTGAGTTCAGATTTCACAACCTAAAATGTAAATTTTTTTTAAGGTAATGCTTTTACAGCTCATTGGTTGTGCATTTCTGCACCTTATGTGTTTCAAAACAACAGATGGCTAAGAAAAACTCCCTGGACGAAGATTAAAAGCTCAGCATTGGACTAATCACTTTCTCTGTTGCAGTTGACTCTTAGTTTAGAGCTTACACAAATTAGCTTAATCTTATTTTGCTTAAAGTAAGTTTGTCTTGACAGTTTGTGTAAAGTGCCTTTATGACCATGTAATTAGCATTTGACTATATGACTTTCTACCAGTGTATTTGTTTATGGGAGGATACTAACTAGATAGGAAGATGGCAGGAATGGTCTTCAGGCATGGTCTTTTTTCTGAATGTCATGTATTCCTTATTTCATATTTCTTTTTTTGTGAACTGCAATTTGTACAATTTTGTTATAAACAGTTTTGAAATTATATATTAATTAATTAGCCATATTGCAAGTAAAATACTGAAAAATAACTGCAGGGAGCATCACATAAAGGACAAGGCTCAGGTAGATTTTAACTTTAATAAGTTCTAGAAGCAAAGCATCTATATTCAGCCTTAAAGCTAGACTATGTAAGATTTGGGGATTTGGAGACATCTCTGGTGGAAATGTGTAATTGCACAAACAGAAGAACATTTTGTAACATGGGTTGTGCTTCAGACCCCTTCCCCGATCGAATGAGTCTCAGTCAAAACTTGGTGTACGAACTGTTTTCTGAGGATGTTAATTATCTACAAACCCAATTCCAAAAAAGTTATGCAAAGAATAACAGAAAGCAGCAATTTTTAAATCCACTTTGACCTGTATTCAAACAACAGCAGTACAAAGACACGGTATTAAAGTATATTTAAGTATATGTAAGTACAGAAAACATTTTAACAGCAGTGATGTAATCATGCTTGGGTGTAAAAGAAGCATCCAGGAAAGGCCTAGCCCTTTATGAGCAAGGATGGCTTGATGCATTGCCAAAAAATGCATCAGCAAATAGTCCAGCTGTTTAAAAACAACATTCCTCAATGAGCGTTTTCAAGGGTTTCTCACCCTCTATGGTGAATGATATTATCAAAGCATTCAGGAATCTGGAAAAGTCTCTGTGTGTGTAAAGCAAGCCCGAAAACCACAAATGAATGCCTGTGACTCTCGATCCCTCAGATGGCACTGCATTAAAAACTGGCATGCTTCTGTAATGGATATCACCGCTTGGGCTTGGGAATACTTTGACAAACTGTTGTCAGTAAACACTGTTTGTCAGGCATCCACAAGACTGTACTGTGCAACACAAAAGTCACACGTCAACAACGTCCAGAAAAACTGATCACTTCTGTGGGCTTGAGCTTATCTTAAATGGACTGATGCACAGTTTGAAACATGTTTTGTGGTCTACTGAGGCAACTTTTCAGATTGTTTATTAAAATAAGGGACGTTGTGTTCTCCAGGCCAAAGAGGTAAAGAACCACTGAGACTGTCACCAGCATAAATAAGGGTCAAAAAGCAAGAGTCTGTCATGGTATGTTGGTTTATTAGTGAGTCACTTGCACATCTGTAAAAGCACCATTAACGCTGTAAGATATATATACTTTTTGGAGCATCATATGCTGCTTTTTAGATGCCGTCCATGACACATTTTGCATTGTTATAACACATATAGAGTGTGGGTGGTAAACTGGCCTGCCTGTCTCCTGTTGAAAACGTGTGGCGCATTATAAAGTGCAAAATACAACAAAGGCCCTGTACAGTTGCGCAGCTGAAGACTTGAAATTACACTTTCAAAACTGGACCAATTGAGGTCTTCAGTCCCCAAACAATTATTAAGTGTTGCTAAAAGGAAAGGTGATGTGGTGTAGTAAAAATGTCCCTGTCCCAACTTTTTTGGAACGTGTTGTAGGCATCATATTTGAAATGAGCATATATTTACAAAAACATCATGAGGTTCATAAGGTAAAACATTACATGTGTTTTTGTACTGTTTTCAATTTAATATGGGTCAAACAGAATTTACAGATTACTTGTTTCTGTTTTTTTTTTAATTAATTATTTCAAATACTGTCCCAGCTTTTTTGTATTTGAGACCTAACTTGTGCCAGACCTTCTTTTTGAGGCTGTGTGGCGTATGACGCGGTCTGAAAACTCCCATGAAATCAGTTATGATACTTCTTTCAATTCAAACAAAAAATCTTACATAGTGCAGCTTTAAATGTACAGGTGTGGTACAAAATGTATCATGTTGTTAAAGTCCTGAGGCAATTTGCATGTTTCTTGCTGATCTGTTATAACTCCCACTCTCAGGTACACATTACTTACGGGGTGTGAATAACAGTATGCAGCCATGGGCCACTGCTGTTGGAAGGAAGCAATTTGGACTAAAGCCAGCCAATCCTACAGAGGAGGGACTGGCCAGCCTTCACAGTGTGTTGTTGCGGAAACAGCCATTCTTGTGGCGAGCTGCTCTTCTGTACTACACTGTGCACCATGCAGCCAACATGAGCTTCAGCCAGCTTTTCAGCCATATTGCTCGCTTTGTCCAGGATCCTGCTGTACGCTGGGAGTACTGCCTCCGTGCCAAACGGGGACAAACAGATACCTCTAAACCAGGTATACAGACACAGAACATGGTCCGCGTTCTATAAAACTGCACCATTGTTCCAGTGTTGTGTCTAAGGCTGTCACTATCAATGATGGGTAATTGAGTCCATACAATAAATACCAAACAAGGGAAATTAACCTAGAGGGCAATTAAATCATTAAGATTTAAACAAAGTCATTCAGAGTGGTTTGATATATAACGTACCCATGTTCTATGTGATGGGAACCAGACGTCTGAATTGTCCAATGCCTCTAAAAGCTTCCTCACAGAAAGTTATTACCTTAGCGGTTGCAAATACACTGCCCAATGCCTGAGACATGTTTTTCATGACAGTTTTGAGATAAAGTTTTGGCATAAAACATACTTTTTAAAATATATTCATGGTGTAATGATGCATGGAGGGTGTTTTAAGGTAGAATAGCTCCCAAAGAAAGCTTTTTTTTTCAGATTTACCACTATTTTACCATTACCAACATTACCTATAAGAACTCGCATATCGCTGCTGTCGAAAGAAACTTTGTATCTCAGTTTTTGACATAATTTGAAAATACCTGTTGCCCTTTACATTGTGTGTACATTTCATGTTAAATGGACCAAAAGAAACAGCCCAGAATGACTTGGGGAAAAAAGTCTGGTTCCATTGACTTCTGACAACAGCGAGATAAGGTTCTACATATAAGCTTCACTGGTTGTTTTGGACAGTAAATAAATTGGCTATATTTGCGTTTTTGACCCCTGGTTCCTGTCATTACCACTGTAGAGAAATCAGAATTGTTAAGTTTCCCTACAATGAACCATTTTACATCAGACCACTCTGAGTGTCTTTGTTTACATCTTAACAACTAAATTATGCAGCAATTTTTAAAACATTTGTATTTATATTATGTGTTATTATTATATATCACGTTATATCTGTGGAATTCACTTTTAACTGAATTACAACAAACCATCCATAGCCTTTTAAAGAATACTTAAATGGAAAATGATAAAGAGAAAAGCCTTTATAATAAAATCTATATATAAAACACCATGTGGAAAAAATGTTTAGAAATTGGTGTCCATCAGCCCCTGTTTCTTATTGTAAGAGACCAGTTAAAGTTAAAAATCAGCATTTTCATTGTACAATTTACCAAATAATCATTGCTGACTCATTGAGAAGGTACATTTCGATGGATTTTTGTTTCTATTGTTAATTGTTATTATTACTATTGTTAATTATTATAGTTTATTGTAATTGGCAGCCCTGGTTGTGTCCTAATCATGCCATTATGTCCTGTAGGCTGCTTCAGTAAAGATCAGGTTTACCTTGATGGAATCCTTAGGATTTTACGCCACAGGAGAAACATAGATTTCAAGATGTTAACCTCACTGGGAAAGGTAGGTCCAATTTATGTTGATGCAAAGTGTTATCTGTTCATGAAATACAAAAATAATTAACACAACAGAAATCTCATGTGTAGGTGTCCTATGAAGATGTGGAGAGACTTCGTCCTTTTGCAGTTCTCCACAAAACGAAGATTCCTCACTTCATGCGAGACCAAGAACGTTACCTGCAGCAACTCGACCACATTGTTACAGTGAACGAACTGAACGACGCTGAGCTGCAAGAACTGATCCCATGAATCTTCAGGTAGCTGGTTGTTCTGGAGAAAGGAGTCAGATTTGAACATCTGTTCCATCGCTTTTATAAACACACTAATCACATCAAAACCGAATTGTTCTGGGCAAAAAAAACCATTGTTTTGTGCCTGGATTATAATTAGCGGTCGAATATCATATATAAAAGTATCATGCCAGTACCATATCAACACATCTGACAGTTATGTTGAATGGAAGGTCATTTTATCGTTTTATGGTAGTTTTATCATGTTAATATCACTTACGTGTTAACAGTCTTTGTTAAAGCTTTTTAAGTGCCAGTAGAACTAAGTATAACACTTTGATATATATTTGATGGCTGCCTACGTAAAGACTTCAAAACAGATGCATAAGCATTAATTAATGTATTTACAAAGCAGTGCTTGAATACTTATGAACGGTTTTCGCCAGTTATTGCGAGATGACATAAGGCATAAGGGTCCTTCAGCTAAAATTATGTGTATTTTTTGCATTTGTTACACTGTTATGAAGCATCATTCACAAGCAATGGAACTTCAAGGCAAAGGCCAGGTTAAAAGCACCATATATCACTTTTGTGGAAGATTTTGACGCCCTCCAAATTAAGTCCAAATGAATTTTTATACGTTTTCTCATATGTGTGAACATACACCGACACCAAAACATTATGACCACCTACCTAATACACTTTTGAGCCTCCATGTGCCACCAAAACAGCTCTAACCCACCATACACTCTGTATGACCTCTGATGGTTCCCTGTGGTATCTGTACCAAGACAAGTCTTGCAAGTCCTGTTTGTTGCGAGATGCAGCCGCTGTGGATTGGACTTCTTGTTCAAACACATCCCACAGATGCTCGATTAGACTTAGATCTGGGGAATTCGGAGGCCAGGGCAACACCCTGAACTTTTCGCCATGGTTCCTCAAACCATTCCTGAACAATGTGAGTAATCTGGTGGGATGCACTGACCTGCTGAAAGATATGGAATACTATTGATATGAAGGGGTGTAACTAGTCCACAGTGATGTTTGGGTAGGTGGCACCGTGTCAAATTGACATCCACGTGAATGCCCAGACCCAGCAGAACATTGCCCAAAGCATCACAGTCCCTCTACCGTCTTGTCTTCCTCCCACAGTGCATCCTGGTGCCATCACTTCCTCAGGTAAACAGCGCACACGCACCTGGCCGTCCACATGATGTAAAAGAAAATGGGACTCATCAGACCAGATGGCCTTCTTCCATTGCATCAAGGTCCAGTTCCGATGCACACCCATTGTAGGCGCTTTCGACAGTGGACAGGGGTCAGCACGGGCACTCTGACCAGTCTGCGAGTACACAGCCTCATTCGGTGTTGACACATTCCGCTCGAAGCCATCATTGAAAGTTTCTGTGACTGGTGCCACAGTAGCCCATGTCTCGGTTCACACCGGACAGGATGGCCTTGTTGTTCAACACCCTGTTGCCAATTCATGTTTTGTCCCTCCTCGGTACGCATTCAACATAGCTGACTGGGAGCATCCCACAAACCTTGCCATTTCAGAGATGTTCTGAACCAGACGTCTAGCTATAATAACGTGTCCCTTGTCAAACTCAGGCTTTCATACCTACTCATTTGTCCCACATCCAACACATCCACTGTGAGAACCAGCTGTTCACTTACTGTGTGATATATCCCAGAACTTCACTTCCGCCACAAGATAAAGTTATTCGCTTCATCTGTGACTGGTAATGTTTTTGCTCTTCGGACATATTCCTATACAGGAATATATAGAACTGATATATGGTGTAACTAGGCCTTTGTCTTATGTGTTACATTACTTGACGCCACAAATTGGTGATATTAGTTTAAGGCACTTTGTTTATACACTCATCTTGTGGTTACTGGCATAAGCTGCTCATAAATACTCTAGTATTGATTTATAAATATGTTATTCAGTGCATGTGTCTGTATGTAGGTAGCCTTCAAATAAAGTGTTACCAAATATGTTTACAATTAGGGAAATCATCACCAATTTCTCAGAACCCTATACTTTTATCAAGTGTTTGGATCCTCATACGGTTTGAAACCGTATTTGCATAAACAGACAAATTATATGCATATAATAGCCTGATTATTAGAGGCTAAAGGAGGGTCAAAGGTATCTTAACTGCTTTGGCAAGGCTTTACTTTTTATCTTTCGGTTCTCATAACATTTAAGTGAAAATTGCCACTGACAAGCCAGAAGTATTTAAGCACTGATTCACATATCTCTGGCCAAAATGTATTTGTAAACACTTCTTTCCCCTTGTGTTCACCACCAACAGAGCACTGCATTTAGTGTAGTTCCTGTGATGCTGTTTTAGAACACTGCTAGTGCTTTTTAAACCACTGTAAGTATATAGGTATTTATGCAAGTATTTATTCTTATTTATTTACCTCTTGTATTCATAATGAAAACTGAATGTTCTTGGTTTTAGCTTTATAAAACTCCATTAGCGGAGTATGTCGTTGTACGCCTTAGTATTACAAAAGGACACCAAGGATGTTCAACAAAAAGCCCCAAGGAAAGTGTCCAGATGGCCACATGAACTACGATTGTTCAAATAGTATATAAAAAAAAAACAACACCATCACCAAGTGCAATTGACTTTTGACCGTATTGAGGCACTATTTTATATTCTCTAAGGACCTAGAGAAGTCCATTAGATATAGTTAAATAAGGAAAGACGACAAGACTGTTCTTTTTGGAGCACCCTTGGTGGACTTCATTACCCGCTCTAATGTGACGTGACCGCCCGTGTAGGCCAGTTACCACTGCAACCTCTGCTCTCTATGCCTGTACAGAACAGCCAAAACTGGCCGGTCGCCTGCAGCTCCCTAAGTGTTGTACATTTCTAACGGGAGAATGATGGACTCAGGAAGAGATATGGGGAGGTGATGTGGATGTGCCTTAGATGGGTTGAGAACTCATCTGTAGTGGCTGTTTGTAAAATGCTTGAATTTACATATTCAATTCTGTAGTAGTCATCTATACTGCACGGATATTGCACAGTTCATGTTCCTCAAATAATTGAAAATCTTCAGTTATTAAAAGTGGCATACTGAAATCACCACTGTTGTCTTTTATTTGTTTAATGAGGTAAGGATAGTAATATTGGAGTTGAACACACAACTTCACAAAGACGATTCAGATCGTGAATTGGGAATGTTAAAACCAATTATAGTTGTTTTCTATAACATACAGTACCATGAAAAAGTAAGAGACCACCTTTCATTTACTTTCCAGTCAAAACAGCTAGTACATACAGGTTATGCATTTTTCAGCCTGAGGAAAAAGCTTAAAACATTGAACAGCAATACATATATATTAATAAATATATATATATATATATATATATAAATACATATATATATATATATATATATATAAATACACATATATATATATATAATGTGTGTGTATATATATATATATATATATATATATATATATATATATATATTTCAGTATTTACTTTGCATGTTTTATAGATGCTCTTATTTTTCAGGAGACTTGCTTTAGAGCATTTCAAAAAAATCTGCACGGATATTTTTCCACACCTCCAAAGGTCAGTTTTAGAAGTTGGTTATATTTTCTGTTTCTCAGCTCTATGTAATCCCAAACACATTCAGTGATGTTGAGGTCTGGACTCTGGGGTGGTCAGCCCACCATTCTGAAAACACCAATATGTTTGTTTGATTTGCAAAATGGAGCTTGATTTGCCACTATTTCTCAAAGATGAAAGCTTTAAGTACTGCTTATCTGATGGTGCCACTTTTGGGATCTATCAGGTCTTGCATAGTTGTTAAGAGTCCCATGAACACCTGTTTTATTCCCATTGATTTTCCTTCTCTTTTCCCCTTACTTATGCAACTGGATTATCTTGTATCTAATGTCCTCAGAAACATATCCTGAATAATGAACAACTCGTACTTGATTGCCATTCTGACTGGAAATTTTACAAATGAAGGGTGTTCTTTGACTTTTGCACAGTTCTGTTTGTGTCATTTTTTGGCCCAAAAATTATTGGTCTATTTTCAGACATGTTTATTTTTGTCTAAATATTTCACTACTAAATAGTTCCTCCAGTCACATTTGTGTATTCAGCATATTTCTAAAAACAAATTTGAATCATGCTAAATCATAGTGAATCTAGGTGAAATTTTGATATTTTATGATGCACGGAATCGTTTCTTTGAGAATCAATCAAATCAAATAGTTGGGAGGTCAGAGATTTACACTCCTGCTTCACATGAATCACCTTGCTTATATGAAATTATCTTCAAACTTACCAATGTAAGCAGCATTACTGACTGTAATACTGTCTAGCCAGGCAGTACGCTAACTTTGGCTTCTGCATCGAAAATTCCTTTTAGATCAAGGACTAAGCTTAATTTAGGTCCCAGAAAGCAGTCAGGTTTATCAGTGGTAGCACAGCTGTCCTTTATATTTAAAGCATCCACAACACCACCAGTGATGGAGGAGGATAAAAATACACACTCACATACCAAACTGGTTAAAAATTATTATCTCTTGTTTAATATATCATATTTTCAATAGACTGCAGAAAAGCCGCCATACCCAATAATACTTATAATTTAGAATCTGCGCTCGTTACAGCAGGGCAAGTCACTGACCAACATAATCTTCCACATAACGCAACCTGGATCCTGAGCCCACATCAGTCATATAGAGCCTGAGAGTCACAGGGAAAGAGCAGGCATTCTTTCCCAACCACAATATTGTTTAACTTATATTTCAATTTTTTCTTTTTTTTCTTTTTTTTTTTTAAAGAGAGATGTTCAACTTAAAACAAGTAGAGAAGGGGGACATACAGAATACCAGTTTTTGGTATCTGGGTAACTGTGGCAAGCAGCACTAATACAAAGTGAATGAAGGAGAGGGAATTGGCCAGCCCATTGTGTGTCCATTCTGTACATATCTTGTGTTGTTTAATGACTTCTTGCTCCAGTAAAGTGAAGCTTTACACCTGAAACGCAGGGTCTCTGCCAAACACTGAGGTAAAAAGGTTTTCCTGGGAAAAACAAAAACACAAGGCAGAATTTAAAACATTAATGTTTCTTCATCAAACATTATTGCGGTGGGTTGTAGACAGCTTATTACCTGCTTTTAGCTCATCATGTTGCAGTTGAGCTACTTATTGCCAGAGTGCCATCTGAGTTAGAGAGAGACTGTCCCTTCAGCACAGGATCTGCAGAGAAACATATGCAACTGCCATGAGACTAGGCTTATGCTGATTTTTGGGAAAATGAGTAAAAGGAGAACTGCACATTATTAATACTGACAAAAGGCTACATAATACACCACAAACAGACGACATACTAGGCTATATTTACATTATGCTAAAAGATGCTAATGCTGGAATTCATTACCTACATTCTTGATTCATAGAATGTTTGAGAGGATGTAATCCAGTTAAGCATAAGATGGTAAAAAAACTCCTCTAACTCACAGAAGTAGGGGTGTTCCATGGCCTCCTGGGCAGTCAGTCTCTGCTGATGGTCATAACGCAGCAGCTTATCCAGCAGGTCTAGAGCCTCAGGGCTGACCAAGTGTTGATTCTCCGGCTGAACAAAGTGCTCCCATCGCTTTCGCGTTTGTCTGAAGGGTTTGACGAATGAAAAACGAGAGATGAACCAGTACTGCTTGGTGATAAATGTTCAAACACAACACCAGTTGTAATTCAAAACTTGTATCCCATACAAGCGAATTACATATAGAACATCTGACTAGTTGACTAAAACTCACTGTCCAAGCAGGTCTTTGAAGCGTGTGTCCAGTTCAATGTGGTATTTATTAAGGTAGCTGTAAAGCTCTTCGGTCCCAAGAACCTTAGCAATACGAACAAGCTGCAACAACATTTTCAGTCATTACACACTTATAAATTCCATAAAAAACAATCATTCTTTAGAAACATTAGGGCAAGCAGCCATTATCTTATGATATTACCTGGTCATAATTGTCCTGGCCATGGAAAAAGGGCTCCTTCTGGAAAATCATACTGGCCAGCATGCAGCCCAAGCTCCACATGTCTAAACTATAATCATACATCTGCAAAGCAAGTGGGAAATTCAACTGGTAAGACAACAAGTAACAGGTGCAATACAACTAAATAAATGTAGTATTTTTGTGCAGTACTGAAGAAACACTACACCTGATAATCAACCAGCAGCTCTGGTCCCTTGTACGATCTTGAAGCCACCCTTACATTATATTCCTGTGCAGGATGATAGAACTCAGCAAGGCCCCAGTCTATCAGACGCAACTAAAGGAAGGCACCAGACACAAAGAAAATGTGTTACCATTTTACTACCAGTTGAAAATACACCTGAAAATATTAAAATTCAAATTATCAGTTACCTTTCTCATTTGGTGATCTATCATGACATTATGTGGCTTCACATCCCGATGCATGATCCCCATGCTATGAGAGTAATCCAGAGCCTGTAGAGGAATCATATACAAGCATGTAATAGAGAAAGCAACACCGGTGATCTTGAGACTCAAACGGTAGTGTAATACTCTTACCTTTAGAAGTTCATACAAGTAGAAACGAATATCAAAATCTGTTAATCTCTGGTAGAGATCCTACAGAAAAATAATGTATAGTAAGTCAAATGCATCCTCGCCCAACAAACTGTATAGTAAAACATAGTATCTGTATATTGTTAATGGAACATTGGTGCAACAAAACAGGCTCTAGCCTCTAGGAATCTTACAGAATATTATGATTTTCCTTACACCTTCAACATATACTGAACTGAAGTTCTCAGTTTATACATTTCAAATGCTAAATATGATGACAACTGTCTAGTGGTAATACTCATACCTTGAAATCTGTGTTGTTGATGCACTCAAAGACAAGGGCTGGTGTTCTAGACTGCATAAAGTATAGACAACATTCATTAACATACAATCAAAACACCAACTGAAAAGTAAAAACAGATGGGGCACTGTTTTGCTCAAAACATGTTTGTCTGCATCTGGCATTGCACCATCATTTGATCTGAGCCTTGCAAGACACACAGAGAACTGTGCACTGTGTCACAACCTACCACAGGATCCTTCACTGTGTCCACAAGGCGAATTATGTTGGTTCCTCCCCTTAGGTTTTCCAGGATCTTGATCTCACGCTTGATCTTCTTTTTCTTTACAGGCTGCAGAAGCAAGGGCATGGTAAAAAATGAAGCTATACACACTAAACATCCCTTGTTTATGTGCTGTAAAAACTCACACCTCACCTTGAGTATTTTGACTACAACCCTGTCGTTGCTGTTGATGTTGATGGCTTCGAACACTTCGCTGTACTTGCCTCTTCCAAGCTTACGAACAAGCTGATAGTCATCCTGATTGCTGAATGAGAAAAAGGAGGGAGAGAGAGAGAGAGAGAGAGAGAGAGAGAGAGAAAGAATGAGACAACTGGACACTGCATACCAAATGGTTCAAATACATAATAAATAAAAAATATATAGATGTATGTATATGAATACGTATATATAGAATGAACACATATATACCTCCAACTAGGCACATGTGCTTCATAATCCCAGTAATCCTTGCTCTTCAAAGTGTTGACATCAGCATACACCCGTGCTTTGCTGGCCGCCGGACCAGGCATGGCGGGCATGGGCGGTAGAGCTGCTTTCCCCCCACCGACCACAGCACTCCCAACGCAAACCTGCAAAGCTGAGCGTTTCTTCTCGGAGGTTTTGCAGCAGCAGCAGGCTGGTTCAGAGCAAGAATTCACCACAGATTTGTCCAGTAAAAGCCGGCTGCAGTGCAGCGGGGACCATGACCTCTCTTTAACGCTCGCAACGGTGAAGCGGTGCACGAATCTGATCAAAAACAACCTGTTTGTCCGCTGACAGAGCGCCAGTTTATTAACGTCCGGTCGGTAACGTTAGGGTTTTGCTGTAAGGCGACGTAGCATGGCTTGCGAACCAACCAGCTACGCAGAGCGACGCGGTAAACAGACGTTAACAGCTAGCTGACTGACATGAATATGGGCAAACGCAGCATCTGCGAAGCTACCTGCTCAGCCTAAAACACAGCCAGCTAGCTGGTTAATACAGTGAGTTAGAGCTTACCGTAATACGGTGAGTGGATTCAGATTCGCCCCGTCTAGTTAGCGAGTGAGTAACGTAAACGTTAACGCAGCCAGCTAAGAAAAACTGTAATGGCGCTTGCCTACTACATACGCAAAGGGACACTGGCTAGCCGAGCAGGTTGGTCTGGTTTTCCGATGTACGGCTGCTAACTACATCTAATATCGATGGCTGTGATCATGGTAACAGTTCGGACCTCACTAGCTAAATAACCCCGCCACTTTAACGAACACCTCCAATAGCCTGCTGCAGGTTCGCTCTATTCGTCTCGTCAGCGACGTCTATCGTCTACTAGCTACCCTAACTGACTGACTGACGACGATTCTGAGGTGTTATTTTCGCAGAGGGCCTCCACTTTTTACGCTCCAGTTTGCCCCCACTATTTCGAAATACACCCAGTTTGTCCCGAGTCAAAATATTAGCCCCCACGGCTGGGGGAATAACCCCAATATTCCACCTCAAGGGACATACGGCTCCCCTGAGCTAACTAACTTAGCCTCGTCTGTTTCACCTGCACAAGCAAAGGCTCTGCTGATGGACAAGCTGGGCAGCGGAAGCGCTCGATGCATTTCCAGAGCGTTAGCTTTCCAAAGGAAAAGCCTGAGTAAAGCAGAGAGGTTATCAGAAGCCGGTTTTAGCTTTTAATACACAACTTCATCCCCTTTGAGCGATAAAATGTTATTAATACTAGTTAAAATGGTCAAATTCACTTGTGATTAAGTTTTTAGCTCCCATTAATAAATTGTATGGTCAACTCGTTTTAATGGTAATTTTTTTACTAGGATAATTTTAGCATGTTGTGGTAACTCATTTTGCACAAGTACTAATACAATTTTGACATGCTCAGATTCTCATTAGATGTTAAAAATCTTACTAGTGAAAACTGAAGTGTTATACATTTATTTTTTTCACTAGTAAATAAAGTTAATCAATCTGGAATTTCAACCTTGGCATAAAATTTCACTCAGGCTAATAAAAATCGCTGTCAGAAAAAGCGACTATTTTAACCGGAATCTTCATATGTTCAGTTTGACGTTAGATTTCAATTTTACATGTTAAATGTTATTTTTACTAATAATTTCTCGAATTTTTTACGAATTTCTCATATAAACATTGTGGGTTCAACACTTAAATTGCTCTCCATACAAAATTCTCTGAAGGTGTTCAGTTATTGAAGTCCAATAATTATGGGTGGCCCTTAAATTGTCAGTATTCATAATAAAAAAGTGACAGATTCACAGATTCATCATGTCTTTACAAACATTTATTGGTTAATGCCATGTAGCCTAAGGTCATAATACACTTGTGTGAAGACTTGTGCATGGATAGGGATTTTTTTTTTTGACATATAGGGTATTTACAAACTTCAGTCCTTCCACCATCTTCAAAACAGGTACGTCTTAAGGTCTTAAGGAGTGGGTAAGCAAAGAATGGGGAGGGTTGTACCGAGGGGAGGGTCAGAGGCTGTGTCCCCTTTGGTTATCCATTACATTCAAAGTTACTGAAACTAGCAATGGACTCTGTGAGCTTTAATGAAGAGGTTTGTCCTAAGAAATTAAAATAATTGTGGGAGTCAACAAATTTGCATTTCATACATACTCACGTTCAACAGATTATGTCTATACAGACTGCTTGTCTACTTTTGGTGTGTAGTTAGTCCAAACAATTATGGTCAACAACCAACTATATTAAGGTGCAATTCTGTCTAAATTGAGGCCCTTCCTAACAAACTACTCTGTAGTATTATTTAATACCAACAAGGTGCATTTGAATATTTGTTGACCAAAATTTTTAGTAACGGGATGCAAATTCAACTTTAATGGAATGTTACCCACCCACCACTCTTCCAAGGCATGGTGATTCATAGGATGAGGTTCATTAACTCAATCTCAAGTAGGATGCAAACAAAGAAAATAAATGGTGTTGCTTATAAAAGGGAAATAATCATACTAGCTTCACTGTAACAGAGTAATACCTGTCCTCAGAGAGGAATGATCACTAACACACAGTTTACAGTATGGTGCAGATACACAGACACTAAATTCTACCACTGTACTCAAGTCATAGCATTACAAAACATCCATTTCTGAACAATATTGCAGGTAGTAGAGCATTGATGAGCAGTAACACCACCTTCTGTTTGTTTTTCTTCTTCTCCAAACAGGACTACTTAATGATTGTGACGGACATGCCGTTACTGGGCCGCTTAAAAGCAAATGTGTTACTGTAAACTGTATGCATACCAGTGCATTAGTGTTACTGGTAATTGTTTAAACTCCCATGATAGCTACAGGGATGAAATCACCACTTATGCTGATCACATACAATTCCAACACTTCCAGAGTAACGAACTGCTTGTTACGTTGCCTAAAAGAGAACATACAATTATGCACCAGTGACAGTTTACAACATAAAATATTAACATACAAATATTAGGTTATTCATGCATGCACGTACCCTGTTACATCATGGGTTAGGCGTTGGGAGTTATACGTTACAGATACATAGTCACTATACTGAGAAGATTGCCTTATTTACAAGAACTATGGCTGGTAAGAAGCATGAGGTTGTTCAGGATCAAAAGGCAACCAGTTTGTCCATAACAGGCCCCCTGATAAATTGTTCCAGCCAGTGAAATCCAATTTGAAAAAGTGTCTCATGTACTTTTAGTCAGCCTTGGAGATGACAGCACTGGGCCAAAGTCTAACAGACTGATGGAATTAAGTTCAGTGATATTGCAATAGTGAAAAATAGAATGCGTCACAAACACTTGCAACAGCACAAACAGAAATTTAGATATATTTGTGTTTCTTATTCCGAAGATTGGACTTAAAATATAATCAAGTCATTTTGACCTATTTAATTCCATGACCTAGAATCATCTTCTACTTAACACCTTCCACAAACTTTTTTTTTTTGTTTTCTTTTGTTATTTTACTGTATATTCCACCTAAGTGTGCCATGTGTAGTTACAATGACAGGCAGGATTCCTTACGATGTAAGGATGTGTCACAAATGTAGAAAAGAAGTTGTTCAAACCATTTACATGACCTGAACATTAATGTGCTGCAGCTCTGTGATTATTGTCCTATCCAGGTTAAGCTTTTTAAGGCCTGGCTGGAAGAGGGAATACTGGTCGTATTGTGAAATGGATACACTGGGAGCTATCACCAGTCTTGTACTTTGTACTTGTGTCAAATGAAACTCAATACATTATAGCAGAATTAGCATACTAGCAAGTGTCATATTTCTAAGGTAAGCACTATCTATACGTGGCTTCATTAACAGGGTGAGAAGCTAGTTGTACGCAGGGTTTTGAGGTACTACTGTATGCAAGGGGCTACTGGATAGCCCCCTCCTTCTGCAGTGTGTTGAACCGTGTGCTCCTGTAGAGCCCCCAGCTCCCCAAAACACTCGCCACACCAGACACACTTAAACTGGGCTTCGCGTGAATGGACGATGCCGTGTTTGGCCAGGTGCTCTCGCTGCTTGAACCCCTTGTCACAGGTAGGACACTTAAAAGGTTTCTCCCCTGTGTGGACGCGCCGGTGTCTCTGGAGCTCAGAAGAATACTTAAAGCGCCTCTCGCAGTCCGAGCACTTCATCGGCTTCTCGCGGGCTGGATCGCAGCGATGCTGCACGAAATCAGACGAGGACTGAAAGCGGCGGCCACATAAAGAGCATTTGAGTGGCTTCTCGGTGCAGTGGGAGTTCTGGTGCCTCTGGAGCGTCGACGACTTTTTATAGCCCTTCCCACACACGTCACATTTGTACGGCTTCTCGACAGCATTGGAGCTGGAGCTGGACTCTCCGCACTTGTGCCTCAGAAGCTCACCCGACTGTCGGAATCCCTTCTGGCAAGCGGCGCACTTGAACAAGCTCTCAATGCCATGGACATGCTGGTGGTACAGAAGGTGAGAAGGCTGAAGGAAGCCCTTGTCACATTGGTTACACTTGAAGGGCCGGTCGGCAGGGTTTTTGTGCGTGCGACGATGGCGCACAAGTGCGTACTGCTGCTTGAAACTCATCTGGCACTCCTCGCATTGGAAGGGCCGGTCCTCTGAGTGGGTGCGCTCATGCTGCCGTAGGTCCGACGGACGTTTGAAGCTCTTGCCGCACGTGGCACAGCGGAATGGCCGCTCGCCCGCTGGCTGGCACTGGTGGTGCAGTAGTTCAGATGACTCCTTGAAGTGAAGCTCGCAAAGGTTGCACTTGAACAGGTGCTCACCGGAGTGAGCGTACATGTGCCGCACAAGGTGCTGCCGATGCTTGAAGGTCTTCTCGCAGACTGCACATTTGTAAGGACGGTCGGCACTGTGCGTACGCTGGTGGTGTGCCAGGTGAGACGCCTGGCTGAAACTCTTCTCACAGGTGTTGCACTTGTAGGGTTTCTCGCCCGTGTGCACCCGCTCGTGGCGAGAGAGTTCGGACAGGTGGCGGAAAGCTTTGGAGCAGACTGAACACTTGTAGGGCCTGTCAGAGCCCTGGAAAGCAGTGGAGGAAGAGGAGCCCATAGCTGCTCCGCTACTTGAGGACTCTCCAGTGGACGCCTGTTGCGGGTTAGATGAGGATGAACCAGGCCTGTAGGTTTTCTCGCAAATGGAGCATTTCATAGGGTTGTTTCCATTCGTGTGCTCGTTGTGATGTTGCGCCAAAGAGGTGAGAAGCGAGAATCCCATTTTGCACACCCCGCAGACGAAGGGTTTCTGCTCTACCTGGACGCACTGATGCTCTAGCAGGTCAGTGGCCTGATTGAATATCTTCATGCACTGGGTGCACTGAAAAGAGCGGTCCTGGCTCACCATGCACTGATGCTCATGCGGGTTTGCCAGGTGAGATATATCATGGCCACAGGCTCCACACTTGTGTCCCCCCTCACTCCCGACTTGCAGGGAGGGCTGTTGGGCTGGCACAGGATGCTGCTGGGCATGCTGACCATGCTGGGACTGCTGTAAGGCAGGGTCAGCGGGCAGGACGATGCCATACACAGCACTACCCAGAGGATTTTCAGCCCCTTGGAGGAGGGGATGAGCAACAGGAGGGGGGGCCACTGCATGCTGCTGCTGCCATGCCTCGGTCATCCTTCCGCTGTACATGTATGGATTCACAACAGGTACACAATGGGACTGTGGGCAGCTGTTGTAGGCAGTTCACAAGAAACGTAAAGAACTGTCCTGTGGGCGTGGCGTTGTTTTTTGTAATAGAGTATCACTCCAGTTACATTATATTAAGTCCCACAGAAGCTCACACCATGTGTATTGCAGTTGTGTGCCTGCCAAGACAGAGATAGCAGAAGTTTACTTCAAAGTGCCATATTTCCTCTACATTTTGGAGTTTCGTGCATTTGTTTGTATCATTTGTTGCAGATATATTGATCTAACTTACATCTTATGCACAACACTGCCAAGTGGGTCAGTGAAATATTTCCACAAAAAAAATGTAAAAAAAATAAAAAAGACACACCTGGCATTTGCAAATACACTGCACATAATAGTCTGGTCAGAAACATCACACATAATGTCAATACCACTGCACATAATGGGACATTAGTTCAGGTAATGGAAATATAGGGTTAAACGTTGTCTTAAATAGCCTGTTAGCCACTGTAGCCTACAGGAAAATAGGTGAAATCAGTTTTTTTTGTTTGCTCCTCCTAGCCTTAGCCTCAGCATTGGCCAAAATAACGAAAACAACGACAATACAGCCAAAAGTGGGATACATATCTGCACAATCCTGCAAAGTACTGATTAAACTCATAAATTAGCATTTTTCGCAGTTTCTAAACGCCAACTTCAGCTAACCTAACCTAGCTGCCTAGCAATGTTCACCAGCGGCTAGCTTTTCTACTAACTAGCTCGGCTAATGCCCTTCCTCTCGCCGTCTGGACAACGACTCGCGTCGGCAAACTGCACGAATTGAGGGAGGAAGAAGCAGAAAATAGCGAAGTCTAGCTCGAAGGATTCACAAAGCCTCGGCACAATGGCATCCCGATAACAGAAATGGCCAGAGCCATGGCAGCTCCGTCCCTCCACTGTGTGGCTACACCGCAGCTAAGTACACCCATAGCAGGCAACCCTCTCACAACATGTCGTTAGCTGGTTTTTCTCCGTCGCGCCTCGACTCAGTACCTTATTTTTCGGCGTGGTCCAACAAAATTAGGACAGCGTTGCTTGAGGGGAGAAAAGAATCGGACGATACCCTGCCGGTGGGGTACAGAAGGCCCAAATAAATGTGACGCATCGGACCTCTGTGTGCAGCCCCCCCGAGCAAGGCTGCCACCCAAATCATATGGGCGGATTCAAAGCGAAGGGGGAAAATAACTGGATCCGATTTCCCAAAAAATAACACCGACCGTTCTTTTGATACTGGCTTTCCTCAGGCATCTAGTCGAAGACCGCGTTACGAATAGCTGCACATACGCACAGTCAGTATTTAATGTAATTAAGCCAGCGCAATAAAAATAGGAAACGTCCGAAACTCGTAAACTGACCAGGTTTTAATAGCTAACGTGCCCACAACGGGAGAACTGCAGGGCCGTTCTTTGAATGCACGAATGAAACAACTTGCAGTTTAATGCAGTTTAAAATACATGCAGTTAAACATTTGGCACTCAGCTGAAATCTGACTCTGGCTGCGGTGTCGCAGAGTAAGACACCCTCTTTCCTTTTTCTTTTTTCTTCTTCTTTTTTTATTAAATAAACCCCAGATTTCGCTAGTTGCTATTGATATTCTAGTTTAAAGTTGCAGAGACATAGAGGGAACTGTAGAAAGTTACATGTAATTCACGATAATATTTTTTTCAGTGTTAAAAACATTAACTATTTTAAAACATGATTTGCAATGCACAGCCAGTGAAATGCAAGTCTGTTTAATAGTGATAGTACAGGCTGCTTGTATGATCACTTTGAGAAAACTATGGTAATATACAGGGATCAGCCATAACATTAAAACCACCTCCGTTGTTTTTACACTAACCGTCCATTGTATCAGCTACACTTACCATGTAGGAGCACTTTGTAGTCTGTCTGTTTCTCTTCACCCTGTTTTTCAATGATCAGGACCACCACAGAGCAGGTATTATTTAGGAGGTGGATCATTCTCAGCACTGCGCTGACACTGAAGTGGTGGTAGCATGTTAGTGTGTGTTGCACTGGTAAGAGTGGATCAGACACAGCAGTGCTGCTGGAGATGTAAAGCCAGAGACAGTGGCTCATCTGTCACTGCACAGTTTGTGTTAGTCATTCTCTAGTCCTTCATCAGTGGTCACAGGACGCTGTTGGCTGGATATTTTTGGTTGGTGGACTATTCTCAGTCCAGCAGTGACACTGAGGTGTTTAAAAACTCCAGCAGCACTGCTGTGTCTGATCCACTCAGACCAGCGCAACACACACTACACACCACCACCACGTCAGTGTCACAGCAGTGTTGAGAATGATCCACTGCCCAAATAATACCTGACCTGTGTCCTGTGGGGGCCCAGACCACCGAACAACAGGGGATAACATACAGATACAGACAAAAATATGGATCACAGTCTGCAATTGTTACCTATATGGTAAGTTGAGCTAATAAAATAGACAATGAGTGTAGATACAAGGAGGTGGTTTTAATGTAATGGCTGATCGGTGTATATTGTGATAAGCCCAAAATGTAACTGAAGATTCAATTTTGGAGGGGTGGAGAAATATTCCTGCAAAAAAACTGAAAGGAAGTCTCCTGAAAATAAGGGAATACGTAATAAGAGCAAAGGGTGGGCAAAATAACCCAAAAGAAAATGATTTTGTTGAGGCTTCTGTGTAATCTTCTGTAACATGCATATTGTCGCTGTCCAAGGAAAAACAATAGAACAAGTAAATAGAAACTTTACAGGAGAAGGCAACGACATTCTGTACTTTTAATGTAAGTCAATTTGAAGAGATTTTATTCCGAGTCATTTTGGAGCATTTCTATTGGTCCATTCATCATGGAATTTTCACTCGATGTAAAGGACAGCCACTATGTTCAAATAATGCAGAAAACTAAAAATCGACAAAAATGGAGATACATATTTTTCTTTGGACGGCGACAATATGTGTTTTGTGCTTTTTTTTAATGACGCTAAAAAAATAAAAACAATAGCTTGTGTTTAATGGTCATTTTGCCTGGAGGTTAAATAATGAAAGGTGGTTTCACTGCTGCATATTTAGGGACATATATTGGTAAACTCTGATGTAGGTGAGAGCTCGATCTTGAAAACATATTTATCTGCAACATTCCTCTCGTTCTTCTTGAATTCCATTGGTTTAATGACACATGTTCACAAATTCTTGTGCAATGAAGACTGCAAAGAATATTATAACCTCAAACATTTTATTAATTTTCCACATAACTTGGAAACAATCTCATAAATCATTGCGTAAGAAAGGGCATGCTTGGGCATGCAATGATTTCACAACATGATGATGTCACTGGATGAGTAGTATAAAATATACAGTAGCAGTTTATCATTCATTAATTTAGATGATTTTTCAGTCAGGTCCCACTGAGAAACATAAGCTGGCATTTTTTTTACACTGCTTTCAGTCCCTATTGTCACCTAAAGTTGCTGGACAGAGAGACAGGCAGAAGTTCACACAGAATAACAGCAGAAGAAAACAGGCCAACAAACATGCTGTAAAAATCTCCACAGGCTCAGTGTTCTAAAGCCAACTCATTCAGTTCAGACGTGGGTTGGGATAGACACAGACTGTTCCATGCCTCTGTATGTGTCGTCACCTATACAAAGCCTGCTTGCTGGGATGATTTTTCAATTAAAAAGGCACTCAGCATTATCAATGATATCTTGCAAACTGTTAAAAGATACTAACTGTTCAGTAATATAGAATATATATATATTTATATATATATATGTAAATATCGAAAGCAGTGGTCAAAAGGTAACAGTCTCAAACTTTACAGAGCATGAGCCGGAATACTCAACCACTGATGCACCTCTGTTGTGGTTCATGTCGTATAGCAAGTAATGATGTGTTTTACAAAGAAACAACTTATTTTCTTTAGTAGCGAGTTCAGCATAGTAGAGTATAGCTAGTGAACATGTGTGCGGCGTGAAATAAAATGAACTAAGCGACTGACTGAATTGTGCTGACATTCAGTGACGATGCTAAAGGGGGATTGTATCGGTGAAGGAAGAACGCTGCAGGCTTACCCCATTCACTATGCATGAGTGTATTTGGATACGGATGAAAAAGTATCATGATGAAGCCCTTTAAGATAGCTCTTACCTCAGACTTACAGAGAATGCAAAATCTGGGTATGGAGATGAATAAACGTATGAGCGGTTGCAGCGGTCCAATAGGGCTGTACCCTGGGAAATCAGTGGGGTTGTGTAGTCTTAGACTGGCTAGTTACATATCGGTGCCTTCTGCACTTGACCACCTCACATGCGCTACAACATCTTTGTACATGAAACCACAAGACCGTCTCACGAAACTACACAGTCTTACTGCTCAGAAAAGAAATCGGGCCTTAAAAAAGAAAGAAACAACTTTGTAAAAGAGCTGATAGGCATGATAAATTATATCAGGCAATATTGTATCTTCAAAACCTAAAGGTGTGCAATACTTGTAGTCCTAAAGAATACTGTGAATGGGCTTTTATCATGGATAAGGAAAAAAGTAAGCAAATATACCTAATGGATAACAATGGAAATATATCATTAATGGAACCACAAAATAAACTTACAATTTACATGGACTTGTCCAACATACATGGACTTGACTAATGTAAATTCTGGGTTCCTTACATAAAGAAGTGGTGCTAAGTGTGCATCATGTGCATATCTTACTTTTTCGATAATAGTAAGTGCTGTTATTAACATTCTCTAGGCCATTATGTTTAAATAAAGAAATGAATGAACAAAATGGCTACACCAATGTTGAGTAAAATCACCATGACCACCAGGACAGAGCTGGAGCCCTGTGGAAAGAAACAAGAAAAGAAACATAGAATTAGTTTTCCATTAGCCATCCACTCAATATGATAACAGTGCTAATCAGTGTTTGCTAGCAACTGTTACTAATCAATTTTGATAATATGTACCTCAGATAAGGGCCTACATTGCAAATGCAAAATGAAAACTTCAATCCTTTCATGACCATGTACTTACTGAGTTTGCTTTGATCAGGTTCAGATGCTCTCCGTCATGTTCCAGTGTGATTGGAGAGGATGTTAAAGGGGGAGACAGGGTGACATCTCTGTGCAACGGCCATTCCTCCAGATCCACCCCGACATTCAGGCTGTCCAGCATCTGCACAGAGTCCATGGACCCTTCCCTGGCCACAAGGCTCCACTCCTTGCCTTCGTGGTTCCGCTGTCGCAGTTTCTGCGAATTGTGCCCTTGGAGACTCGGACATTCCGTGCCTGAGCCAAAGTGCTGCTGGGGGATGGAGTCTAAGGGCTGGAACCTCATTTCCACCCGATAGTCATCCAGCTTTTCTTCCTCTTTTTCTGGCAGCTGTGAGTGGCACGGGATCCACTGGGAAGAGTTCTCAACAGTCCATCCCAGAGAGGAGCTATTGGCTCCACGCTCTGGTGGCTGGTAGTCATTCAAGCTAGATTCACCAACCATATGGTTGGTAAAGGACTGGCTTGGTTTGTGATTGGAGTGGACATGCTCGTGTGATTTGCGATAGGAAGATACATGCTCTCGAGGGTTGTAATGGGAGGATACACGGTCTTGGGGTTTTGCATGTGTGGAGACATACTCCTTTGGCTTGTGATTGGAAGAAGAATGCTCATGGGTTTTGTGATTGGACAAGGTATGACCCAAGGTCTTGTGATTGGAGTATGTGTGCACCTGTGGTTTGAGCTTGGAAGATTTGTTGTGGTCCATAGAGTTGTGACTGGGTGGAATATGCTCCCATTCTCTATGATTGGACATTGCATATTCCCTGGACTTGTGGTTGGAGGATGCATGCTTCCAGGGCTTTTGATTGGAGGACATGTGATCCCATACTTTATCTGAGGAGACATGCTCAATGGACTTGTGATTGGAAGAGCCATTCTCCCATGCGTGATGAGTCGAGTGTTGAGAGTTTTGCTCGTGTCCATTGATGTGACCAATCTCCTCCTCCAGCAAGGATGGGGTAGTGGAGCGGCTGCTTTCTCCCTTGCTGCCCCTCCGGTTGGGATACATGTCGGCAGTCCAACTGTTGGTGCCACCTGTTCCATTGTCCATGCCTCTTCCTTCCACCAGAACCTGAATTTCAGCCCCTCCCTGTTCATCTACAGCGCTCTGACGCATGAAGCAGGCGCTCCTGGCACGGTGGGATGGTGGGGTACAGGGGGGTGAGGAGGGGCTGCTGAGGGCTGGGCTCAGGTCTGGGGTCTGGGCTGGGGGAGTTGTGTCTGGTGTGCAGAGCTCAGGGCTGTCTGTCCCAGTTGAGATCACTTCCATGTCTTTCTCTTTTCTGTCTTGACGCTTTGGTCTCTGGCACTCCAGTCCTGGAGGATGGGAAGGATTACTTGTTAGTCGTTTTGACTTATGCATGATGAAAACTTTGTATACTTTAAGATAGTGTTTTTCAACTGTGGTCTTGGAGTATTCCTGCCTTGCATAGTTTAATATTTTCCTATACACTGGGGTTTTTTGAGAAGGGAAAACTCTAAAATGTGTAAGGCAGGGTGTACCAAGATTGAGAACCCATCCAAGATCAAAAGGCTGAAAAATGAAGATTTGTTTCTTGAATTAAATTACATGCTCTCCTGAACAATCGTTAAAAATCCTTTATCAAGAAGAGACCTTTCTCTCAACTTACCATTTCCATAATGATGGAAGGAAGGGGAGAGTTCTTTGGCAATAATCCGGGCCAGACGACACTCCTCCAGGGCCCTCTGTGCAACTCCCTCAGCAGCCTCAGCTTTTCCTCGGGCATGACTCGTCCTGCAACAGATGGCATTTTCCATATAACGTTGCTTTTTCCATATGATGTGTGACATCTCTAACTGGAAAATACAAGCATTCAACAGACATGTGTCACTGCTGCACTCTTAAAATAAAAGGCTCCTGAATGGTTTTGGGTGTATGCTATGAGGTAAAACCTTTACATTATGTGAACTGTTGCTTGAACTTCTAAAAGATTCTTCATACTTGCACACCTCATTTACAAAATGGTTGCATCAAAAGTTCTTTAAGGAACCAAAAGTTGTTCTTCTATGGCATAGCTCCAGGGGAGCCTTTTGGTACCTAAATTCCACTGTGCAGGATGGTACACCACCAGACGGTTACAAGTCCAAACCCAGAACTATCTGGCCCCTGTCCATTTCCCATAGTATAACATAACCATGAAAGTAGGCAAAGTTCTCTTTAGCCTTGGTCACAATAATTTTTTACGCAAATCTACCAATAACAGTAAGAAAACACAAACAACAGTAGTAACAGTGGTGGAGCTTCAAGTGCATTTGGTTTTATGTGAGAGTCCCAGGCCGCGATTCTGGCTAGCTAATGTTCAATGGTTTGCACCATTATTAACTACACCCACTTGGCACACCAGCAAGAAGTGTAGCCAAATTGACCATGGCTACTCCGGTACTCTGGCTTACTTGGCAGTGGAGATGACAACAAAATGCATGATCACAGATTTCTAACTATACCGTACCACACTGCCCAGTGGAAAAATGCCCTTAGTGTAATGTGTCTTTAGAGGGTGCATAGTAGGTCAAGGATTTCAGGGGTTAACAGTGGTTCATAAATTGGACCCTACTGAGTCTACCTTGACAGTGCAATCTCTGCCTTCTGTTTGGCAATTTCTGCAGCCTTCTCAGCAGCTTCCACAGCACGGTCCACCTTCTCCCGGATTTTGCTGGTGCGCAGTGGTATTAGGTTCTTCCGCTTGCCACTCACCAGAATGTTCTGCTTGTACTTGCCTTCTTCCTTGGTCCCATCAGGGAAAGTGGTGCAGCCATAGCCATGCCGCTTGTTCCCAAACCACTCACCCTCATAGCGCAGGCCATCTGATCGGTGGCTGATGCCCCAACCTGTTCGCATGTCATTCCGCCATTCACCTACATATGTCTCGGTGACAGTGGCGTCCACGCTGCATCCCATCTCCACGTCACCCAGGCTGACGTTAGAGTTGATGTCTGATGCGGCCGAGCTGACCGTGCTCATGCCAGCCTCACTGCAGAAGGAGCTCTGCTTGCTTAGCTGGCTTGCTAGAGAGCTCTTGGACTCGGACCGCCGCAACTTCAAGCCACTCAGAATGGACTGCCGGAAGCGCCCTTTCCTTTTCCGCTGCCTGTCTGCATCGCTTTGGGCGCAAAGCACGAAACCTCCACGGCCCACTGGAATCCCAGCCACACCACTCACAGCAGAGCCATCATCAGGTGTTGGGGCTCCCTCACTGTGTTCTGAGCGCAAGGAGTTTATGGAAGTGCGCAGAGGGGAAAAGATGACGGCGGCCATGCCATAAGGCACACTCTGCCGCACCCCATAGCCATGGCGCATGCCACTCAACCACTGTCCCTGGTACGTACCTTGCAGAAAGACAGAATAAAGTGAATCAGACAGTGTCACAAGAGGATAATTCATATGTGCACCTGTGTCTACTTAATTTATAATTATTCATGTACACCCACATACGGAAACCCTAAAGGGCCATGGGTTTGCATGTTTTTCTGCGATAGGTTATTTGCATTTGTTCAAGTTATTTATACCATCACGACACAACGAATGTTGTTTTCTCAAGATCTCAGTGTATTTATTCCATTATCACAACATGAAGAATGTTATTTCGATAAAACAATTTCTGTAAGGTCATGATAATGATAGAAATACCTTAAGATCTTGAGAAAATACCATTAATTTTGCCGTAATAACGAAACAAATTTCATAAGATCTTGAGAAAACAAATAAAAATATCACAGACAAAAGTAAAAACCATGCAAATCCATGACTTTTTACCGTTTCTGCACCTACAGTTCTTATTTTTACATTTTTATACATTTTTTAGCACATGGGATAAAACGTTTTCCTTTGCTTGAACAATGAATGAATTTCAGTCAAACCTCTGCATGTTTTTCTGCATGTCATCATAGACACATTTCATGAATGAGAGTGTTAAAAATATATAAACTAATATAAAAACTAATTCAGTTCAAGCAGGTCAGTCTGTTTAAAGTTTGTATATTTTTAAAGTAAAATTTTGTGGAAAGGTGGTATCGCTGATTTGTTTAGTTTCTGATAAAATATAATTATTTGATGTATTGTTTATACAGGCAATATATTTATTAAAAAGTCAATGTAATGTAGAAAAATGCAGATCTTTTTGTCTATAGTAGCAAATTGACGTGGCTAAGTGATGTATTTAGCTCTGGATTCAGGTTTATATGAGTAAAAAAAGATCAACAGGACCGTAAAGCTAAAGTGAAACTGCCTTGCTGAAACCATTAAATGTTTTTAATGGTTCTTAGTGGAGTCCAATAGTCTGTAATGGTATTTTGTGTTTTCCTGCCCAGCTAGAACCAGCAGCACCAACATATCGCTGCTGTCGGAACAAAACCTCGTATCTCCATTTTTATCGTTTTTCAGTTTTTGATGTAATTTGAAAATACCTCTTGCCACATTGTGTGTAAATTTCATGAAGAACAGTCCAAAAGAAATAGCCCTAAATTACTTGGACAACAAATCTGGTTCCATTGACTTACATTAAAAGTAAAGTAGTTTTTTTCCTTCTCCTGTAAAGTTACTATTTTGAAGATATGAAGTTTTGTTTGAGGTTTTGTTTCGACAGCAGCATATGTTACGCTTTGGATGCTGGTATGCTGGTCAACCAGCATGACCATGCTGGGTGACCAGCTAAACCAGCAACAGACAAGTACTAGACCAACATAAACTAGCTTACACCAGCATGGAGTTCATCCAAGTCTAAACTGTTGTTTATTTATTTTTTTTTTTGTTTGTTTGTTTGTTTTTTTTCTTTTTCAGAGGATGATGGGTTGATTTCACAGTGTAAATGATTCTAGTGGTTTAACAGGTGTTCTTGGAGTGATACCAGATGCATACTATGGCATGCATTTCTTGCTGGTCTAAGCTGGTCTAGTGCTGGTCTGGTTCTGGTTTAGCTGGTCACCCCAGCATAGTCATGCTGGTTGACCAGCATACCAGCATCCAAAACACAGAATGTGCTAGTTTTGCTGGTACCCAATGCTATTTGTTCTAGCAGAGGAAACTAGTGGTCTCTAATAGTAACTTTTGAGCCAATTCGCTTCAGAAAACAAAACGTTAAGGTTTTAATCTTAATGGTTCTAATGCTTTTTTCAGCAGGGTGACAAAGGGCAAAATGAACCGTAGGAATCGATGCCATGCATTTCAACGTATTGATTTTTTTTCACGCCGTTGCTTTAGTTCTTCATCCGTCGTCAGTCGATAAATAAGCACTGAGAGCCACCCAATCAAATTACGCTCTTTATGAAACAAAGGCGAACTCGCTCTGGCTCTTTTTCACCGAGTGACGTAGAATCACGGCGTGAACGCCAGTCACTGTCCAGGGTGCTGAAGCGACACAATAACAACACGCGACATTCTCGCAACAGCAGAACGCTGAGGGGAGACAATACATGCGTTTGGTACACAGTCATCACCTTTATTTCACCATTGCGTTCTGTAATTCCAGTCGATCGAGTGCCTGATGTTGTCTTGGGATTTGTAAACATAACGCGTTGTACATATAGGGATTCATTTTAGTGAGAAGATTTTTAAAGCCCCACGCGTGTCCTAATGTAACCCGGGCTGTAGTATTAGGGCTATTTCTGCGTCTTTGTATACGAGCACATGAATCACAAAGAACGTCCAATCAGGTTTGAGAACATTAGAGTCTCTGGTGACACAATGACCCGCTGTCTTTGGGTTTCCATGGCGATTTACTGTACAGAGGCGTGAGTGGGGTAGATGGAGAAATGGGCTGAGATGGTGGAGTGGTGATGCACTTCAGGCATCAACTACCAGGCCATCATTGCTGTTTTGTGTAAACAGAGTCGGTGTATAGAGAAAAGAGAAGATTCGGTTCACATTAGGAAATCAAATCCAGTGAGCATATAGAGTAACAGTTCACACTGCAGTGTTACATAATTGCCAAGAGCATCTTTTACTACCTTACTACTCACGTAATATAGGCCCACACAGCATAAAATAATCCACTGACTGTTGGCCTAGTCCTCCTTAGTTCAGTTCAGCTACATATGCATGAAGATAATGTCAAAAAATCCCAAAAGCAATAGCCTTTGGGTTTGAGGAGTATGAAAAAATGTCAATATTAATACCAACTGCATTGTACAACGACATATGTCCATATCTGCTAAGTTTACTCTACTTGACTGAATGGAAACATGTGGTTTACAACCATTACCTCCATCAGAGTAGGTCTCAGACCCATATCCATCCTGTAGGCCATTACTCCAGGTGCCTTCATAACGTGCCCCACTGCTGGTGCTCTCCAGCCGCCCATAGCGCCCTTTGAACCCTTGCGTCCACTCCCCCTTGTACTCCCACCTGCCTTTGGTCTCCACGCCGATGCCGTGCCTCTTGCCCTGCGCCCATGTTCCTTGGTAACTGTTCCCACTGGGCCAGGTGTACACTCCAAGAACCTCAAATCCATGGCTCCAGGCCCCTGCATATTCCCCCTGGCCCTGGGGGCCTGTGCAGACCCCTCGGCCATGGGCCTTGCCCTGTTCCCACCCTCCACAGTACGACCCCCCATCATCAAAGTCAAACCTGCCTCCAGTGGACATGCATGAAACAGGTTTTGGCAAATCCAAGAATGTCAAGGAAACCAAGAAAGGAAGACTGTGATAAACAGAACAGCAAATGTTAAAGCAATTGTTTTATCTCCCGGCCTTCAAGTTTAGCTTGTCGGTGCAATGAGAAAAGAGGGAAGGGAGCTTTACAGGTAATGTAACGGGATTTTACCTCCCAGCCTTTAAGTTTAGCTTGTCGGTGTAATAATAAAGAGGAAAAAAAGGCCCATTAGAAAATGGTGAAGCAATGTTACCTCCCAGCCTTGAAGTGTAATAAGAAAGGCCCATTAAAGTCCATTGAAAATAGCCAAAATAACAAACTTATTAGGTTCTCGTCCCAGTGTTATAGCTCCTCTGTGCCGGGCCTGGGGTAATGGACGCCTTTATTATGCCTGCTTCTTCCCATGGGCATGCAGATGGTGTGCTTCTTCTTCGTTCCCGGCACGGCCCCGCTGGCCATAAGCTCCCACCCGCGCGCCGTTTTCCTCTGCGTGGAGATCAGGGCGCAAACGAGGCCTGTTTTTTTTCTCCCACGGATCCACACAGCAGCATTGATACGCTCAATCAGACATTACATCGCTGCCCCCCCCTTTACAAATGTGCCGCACCGGCACACAAAAATGGATGGACAGTAATAGTAGACCATCAGGAGCCTTAAACTGTGGAACAGATCAAGGCCTCCCCTCTAAATCATGCTCTAAATACAAAAATACAGCATTCCTCCAGTCATGCACCTAATAAGACCTATCTGGCACAGCATTTCTCCCATTGCTCCTGCTCCTGCTTCTCTCTCTGTTCCCTTTCCGTGCTCCTGCTGTGATGTAGAGGTGAAGCTCCTTCCCTGGAAGACTGGTAAAAAGATCAAAAAGAAAAATCCAAATAATCCTGCTCCCTCCCCAACCCCCTCTTCTTTCTGATTTAAATACAACGTCCAAAGAAATTGATCTTATATTGTCTTAAGCCATATGATGCTCAGAATGTGCTCATTACTGGACTGTTCCACCCCAGCCAGTACCCCTCCCCCATCTCATGCTCCTCTTGTCCTTGTTCTTAAAGGGATAGAGGCTGAGAAAACACTCAGCATCTACACAAGTGGCGTAACTAGGATCTTACGGCCCCCCTGTGCAAAAAAGAAAACAAATTACTTTGTATTAATAAACAGTGACAATTTTACTTGCTATTGCTGTGTGTCAACCAAGTAGGTACTCTAATCTTGGCCAGTGGTTGAAGAATATTATTGTTATCATAGCTACTCATGAGACATGGGTGTGAAGCTGTGTAATTAGTGAATTTTACTCTTAAAATATTCAAATTACAGAAGCAATTTGATAAGAGGATGGTAACTATCGAAGTGGGTTTTACACAGTTTTACTCTTGTAAATAGGTCCAGTTGGTCCATAAGAGAAAAATACAACTGCAATATGGATACAGATATTTAGACAATTTATAATAAACATGATTTTCAGAATTTCTTAGTATTTGATATATCTCTCTTTCATTTTAAAGATCTCCTCTGATGAGTAGATCAATTCCACCTGATAGTCGTCTGAACACAGGATTCAGTGGAAGAGATAAGACTAAAAATTCACCAATTCACACTTATAGTTCAGTAGTGACCTAGAAATAGTGCTGAATCTGAATATTTCATTTCATTTTCAAAAAAATTCTTACATGTTCTCTTTTTTATTTTTAGCACACACACACAGATAGATAGATAGATAGATAGATAGATAGATAGATAGATAGATAGATAGATATTACAACACATCAATATTACATACAGTGCAAAAGTCAGAGATACTGGACTATTTCAACAATTATTTTTAGTTTTATTGACAGAGATCTGCCTCTGATGTCACATTTCATGTACTGTCATTCAATTAAGACCTTCATAGTAGTACAGAAACACCTTTCCTTGCAATATAATACTGTTCAGGAATGTGTAATGCCTTTAATTTCGCACTGTGAAACTGGAAAAAACAACTCTCACTAGAGGTCACTGAATCAAACAAAGAGGTCATACTGGTCTTATAAATAACAGTTCAGCCACAATCAGTTTCGTTAAGACAGCATTCAAGCACTGTTTCCAACAACCAGAACCACAACCAGAATAAATCAATAAATAAATAAATAATGTTATTTTACTGCGTATGAGACAATTATCTAATAGCACAGCAGAAATACTGTCTTGTAACATGTTAAATATCAGTATCAAAATACAAAGGCATTCGACCAGTGATAGGCTACATATTAGAGGCAAACCACTGCAACTCTTTCTACGTTATTGTTTTTCTAGTACATTCCAGTATATTCCATGATGATTCTAACACATTTTCACAGTAGCCATAAACAGCAATTTGCACCTGTTTTAGAGAAGGTCCCTCAGTTGAACTATGCATGTTTTTTTTTCTTCAATACTGTTAATGGAATATATTTTTATGTGTATGATTTACAAAACTGGAAGCAAACTGGATTCTCGTATGTAACTGTATGGTGTGTGTATGTATATATATATATATATATATATATATATCTCGCTGTTGTCGGGAACAAAACATTGTATCTCCAAAATGGTAACTTTTCAAGAGAGGGAAAAAAGCTACTTTACTTTTAATGTAAGTCAATGGAACCAGACTTTTTTCCAAGTAATGCTGTTTCTTTTGGTCCATTCATTATGAAATTTACACACAATTTAAAGGGTATCAAATTATGTCAAAATGATAATAATGGAAATACAAGGTTTTCTTCCGACAGCAGTGATATATAAATATATATATATATATATATATATATATATATATATATATATATATATATATATATCCCGTCAATGTCTTTGTGGAGAGGCATGAACACCAGCCGGTTCTCACCCCTCCCCTTGCAACCTTCCTTGCTCGCTAGCAGCTCAACACAGAGTCACAACATTTCACACACAGAGAGCCAACAGTGTTAACAGTGTTTACAGTGATAACAGACTTACAGGGACAATATTTTGAGTATATTGGTTAAAAATATCCATGTTGATTTCCACTTCACCAGTGAATGGCCACTAAGGGGCTGCAGAAAGAGGTTAATGCTGCCTATCTCAGATGTGTCAGAAATATAGCCCTGCGTTTAATATTTAAGTAGGTAAATGTGGATCTATAGCTTTTTTGTAACACATTTTGTTATAGATAATTCTCAGTGTATTATAACAAATCATATAAGTACCGCCAGTCTAGGAAGGCAGTTAAGCTCATTTTCTCCAAATTGAGGTTTGACAGACAGACTACATTAACAATCATTGCTATACATTCTCTCAATGCATTCAGTACAGATCACTCTGTAGCAAATGAGTGGCTTTCTACTAAGCCAATTCAATGATTTTATAACTTTTTTCTAACTTATTCTTTTCATCTGCTATACATAACTATAGTAACTAGAGCTATGTTGCTAACTGCTAGCTAGAATTAGACTGCACAAGCCAGGTAAAAAAGGAATACAAATCAGAAAAGAGGAATCTATTAAAACATCATTTCATTACTTGCAACATGGACACATAAGTCATTTTACAGTTAAAATTAGTTAGTGTAACAGTTCACTTAGCAGCCCTGTGACACACATTCACAGTTGGAGCTCTTACCTTCATTTTCAAATCACCACACAAACATCTGTGCAGTGCATCAGTGTAGAGATGATACGGCAAAAGTATATAACCAGATGAATATATATATATATATATATATATATATATATATATATATATATATATATTTATATTTACAATGCACATTACCAATATCTCATTTTTTAACATTTTGTTCCCTAAACCAAACCAACTGGCAAGTATCGATTCACCCGGCCCCTTCCTTTAAAAGACAGATTGGGAGGACACTGGGAGGACAATGTTGTGACCATATGTTAATACCTACTTTGGCCAACTAACACCCTTTAGTCAATTCTTGACCAACAACTTTAAATCCTATCTCTATAATTCAAACAGCGGTTTAAACAGTAACATACAGTGCTGTGCAAAAGTCAGAAACCACCTTTCCATTTATTTAATTTCCAATCAAATTGGCTGTTAAGTAGAGGTTATTCATTTTTCACTGTCAGGAAAAAAATATAAAATATATTTCACAGAAAATTACACAGCAACCTCAACAACAAACTATACATTTCTCAATATTTACCAGCCTTTGCTTTTATTACAGCTTCCATTCTTTTCAGGAGACAGTCAGTTTTTCTGAAAGTCTCCTGAAAAGAATGCAGGGATATTTTTCCACACCTCCAAAGTTCAGTCTTAGAAGTTGGTTCTGTTTTCTGCTTCTTATGATATGATTACAAATCTGGACTCGTCAATCCATAAAACCTCCACATCTCAGACGTCCAGTTTCATGTTTAAGTGTAAATTCTATTTTCTTTTCTCAGTGAGGGCTTCTTGACAGCTACACATCCTTTCAGACCCAGAGCGCTGAGTTGTCTTCTCACAGTGGAAGGATGGACAGAAACACCTGTGAACAACTGAAGCAACAGTGGAGCTTCTCTCAAAGATGAAAGCTGTAAGTCTTGCATCATCAGGAGTCTCATTTTTTCTATATGGTTTTATCATTTTTTGACCTATTATGTTTTTCCTTTGACTTTCTGCTTCCTTTTGCAAGTGGATTATCTTGTATCTAATCTCAGAAATGTCTCATTTATCTGTTGGATTCACAAGAGAAAGAAATCAGAAGGAATGTTAGGTGTATTTGAGTATTTACTTGTGTGAATGTTAGTGTCTGTTTGAGGGGGAACATAAAATCAGTGCCTCCTTTGGGAACAGCTTTTGTTGGTTGGGTTTAAGATTGGAAGGATGGAGGAGTTAAAGTGCACAAAAAGGAGTTAGGTGCACAGAATTAAAGAGAGGTCAAATTAGATAGATTTGATATCATAAAATGAAAAATGAATAACTTCGTACCTATTGGCTGTTTTGACCGCCAATTAAAGAAATGAAAGGGTGGTCTTTGACTTTTGCACAGTACTGTAATAGTAGGCAGTCATTTAACATATCTAAAAGTCCTTATATACTCTAAAAAGTTTTTTAGGGGGTCTAAAGTAAAGACAATGAACCATGAGTTCTATTTAGAACCATTTATTACACTTACATTTATTACTTCTCCATGCAAGGAACCATTTAAGCATGAAATGCTTCTATATAGAACTCATGGTTCTAAATAGAACCATTGCCTTTTCTAAAGAACCCTTGATGAAGCGTCTTTCTTAAGTGTGTTTGATACATGTTGCCCAAGACCACTTCCACATACAGACGACTTTAATTTCATGCTAGTGAAATATACGTGGAATATATTCACGGGAGAGGACGCCTTTTGAGACACACAGCGAACGCCTGCATTGTAAGTCAAATGATGTTCAAGCAATTGAACAGATTTGGAATTACATTTTTATAGAAACCACAAAACAAACACAAAAATCAAATAGCAAAGAAAGCCAGTGGAACAAGATACTCTCGCATAAATAACTGGCATTAATACAAAACATAGGAATTCCGTACTGAAAATGTAAACAGTAAACAAATCAAATATCAAGTATCGAATGTCAAGCGCTCAAATGAGATGGAAAAAAAGGGAATGTGCAGTGGTGTCAAGAGTTGTGGTGATCAGAAGCTGCTCTAAGTGAGGATGTCATGGGCTTCCTGCTCCACTAACACTGCCGTGTTCTTCACATCCTTACACCACAATTCAAGTCGCTCGTTCATGCCCTTAATCTAAGACAAAGAACAAAACAAAAGAAAATTGTTAAATAAATAAATCTCTGAAAGCACAACTTACAGATTAGTAAGAGTGTAAATATGCAGCATAATGTATCAGTCTGACTGTGGTGATTTAAATGCACTGAATTTGGAATGTTAATTTTACAATATTACAATATTATAATAATATGTATAGGCATTTTTTTTTGACCAAAGCAAAACGTTTCTCATTCCATGAGATGACTCTTTTTTTCCCCCAAATGGACAAGCTATTTTTATTCGTTTATATTTTTGTTAAGTCAAGTAAAAAAAAAATGTTTTTTCTTTTTATCCAATTTTACCTCCAGTTTACTCATTGCAAACTCCCCCCACTAGCTATGTCACCCCCATTACACAATGCTACCAAGCTGGGAGGGTGAGGGTTAGTATGCACTTCCTCTGAGACACGTGATGTAGTACTATCAATTACTGACTATTTCTATCTACCGACTGTCAATCTAGTTAAACGATTTAAATTGTCTGAAATCATGGTGTCCACACCTTAAAGATGCACAAAAGGAATTACATTTGTCTCGTGAACCGTTCTCTACTGACTAGGTTTGTTTTCATTTGTAATGTTACGCAATGTCCTGATCTGATAAAGCCGTGCCGCAGCCTTCCACATGTGGAATGGCTTCTCTCACTTTTACATCGTGGTTACTTTGGACAAAAGGACAACGAATAGCTACAGCAACAGTAGCTTTTAGGCTACTTCACATGGTTAAGTTTAAGCTGTTTTATTATATTAACAAGAAGCAATCTAAAGGCTATAAGCACCTAATTTATTACAACTGCAACAAAAACTACCAAATTCGAGTAAGAACAATCACACCATAAAGAGAACTATGTTAGCTTTTGAGTAAGAACAAAGTGTCTGAGTAGATAGCATGTTTATTTTCTCTGTTTCATGTTTAAGCAAGTATCGCAGGTAGTGTGGTGTTACAACATAGTCAGCCATGCTGAAACAGGTTGCTGGAGAAAGGCAGGGAGCAGCCTGCAGTCTGTATTTACGGCTCCTTTTTCTGTACATTCTGTGTATCTTCAAATAATAAGCTGAACAGTATGAAAATTACCAAATCTTGGTGAAATTTGAGATTTTGTGATGCACTCCTAAAGGAATATAATCAAGCTGAATATTAAGCTCAGAGATTTACGTGCCTACAGATTCTAATTGAAATGCTGTACCTGGTGTAAATCCAGTACTCTTGGTTGAACCCATGTCATCTGAACTGTCTGGTCCACTTCATCAATACTGCCTTTTATCAAACCGACGGAGAGGGCCTTCATCACAAGCAGCTCCACCTGAACATGCAGTTGAAAAGGTACACATAAAAAATTCTGTCAGACTGCTGAAGATATCATAGAACAGAATATGCTTCCAATTAAAACTTTTTAAACGAACAAAATCCATGAATAGAAAAGCAGATGCTCAGTTAATGTCATGTGGGTCACATTTCTCTTTTAGTTCATGCATGCTTTTTGATCACCTCATTCACTGGGATTTGGGCACTCTGTGCTATTTCTTGGAATGTCAGTTGTCTGTTATTGGTGGGGCGTGTAAAAGTCATCTAGCAGGAAGAAAAAAAATCACATTAGGAAAGGTACTATTGTGCATACAAGTCTGTTAAAACAGAGAAACATACAAAAAGGACTTAAGAAAAAAAAAATCACCTCCATCACACAGAGAAGTTGTATCTTCTGCATCAGTTTGGGCTCATGAGCTGCAAGATCTGGCTGTAATGCACATAAAAAGGCTTATCCATTACTTTTTAAAACAGCACTATATAAGATTCTTTTTTTAAACCTAAAGAAGCAGCATTACTGAGTCGGGAGGAAAAAAAGGCTAAAATATGGTAAAGCCTGAATTAATAATTTAAAATTCAGAGGCATTTGGTGAGGTTTCGCTGGAATTTTTCAGACCACGCCATACGTCTTTACGTATTAACGTCACACGCACAGAATCAAAAGAAGGTCCAGCTCGATGCAAAGTCAACATTATACTGATGAAGATATTAGAACTATTGTACATAATTCACTTCCATCCTTGGAAAACACCTCCTTCACCAAGCTTTGACTGAGCTCTCTTTGAATACTCTTTCTATGCACTCATAAAAAAAAAGTCACTGATGAGGGTGTCATTACACATTTTCACCAGCAAGGTCTCCAAATCCCCAAATCTTACATAATGCAGCTTTAAGAAAATGCACATGAATGTACATAGGACTGCACAAGATATCTCAATTGTTATATTGCAATATTGGCCTTTGCAGTACCAGTGTTTCCCACGCTTAGGTTATACTTTGTCAGTGCACCAGGTATATGGACACTCACCAAGGTATATTTCGACCATTTAAAAAAATTATTTGCTTTAAATTGGGCCGCTACACGAATGAGGCTCCTGCCAGGGGTCTTGAGGCTAGCTTAAGGCCTAACTAAAATATGGTCAGAAGAAGTGGTTCTATCTTAGAGAAGTGTATTTTTCTAAGTTTAGCATTCAATGTTTGAGTAAAAGACATTATTCAGGTCTACAGCATGTCTTCGTTTTTGATGTGTGTTTAAGCCCCTTTGCTAGCAATTATGGTTTCATAAAACACTTCAGTCCATTGTTATTTTAATGTCAGAGTGCATAAAAACTTGCACTACAACCTACCAGAGCAAAAAGAAACAGATCGGCTCAGAAACAGATCTAACTGGGCATCTTTTACAGCAGATGCCAGATAAAACCCGAGGCAGGCAGCAACCTCTTATATGCATTACTGTGACAGTATATAGTTTTATAGATAAAAAAGAATACTCATGCTAAAAGCAGACATAAAGACATAAATTGAGCCTGAAAATAGTCCGTAAGCCTTACTGTTTTTTTTTTTTTATTTAACTGGCAGAACTACATGTCTTTACACTGTGTGTATTTGTAATAGTTTAGGGCTATCATTGTAAAAAAAAAAAGTTAAGCATTTATTTTTGTTTTATTAGTCCCTCCCCCAACTCCCTGACTCCTCGCTTCAGCACCAAAGTATATTTCAAAGCTCAGAGAAATGATGAATACTGAAATCAGAAACAGCTGCCATATGCAAACAAGCCATCTAACCAATTACGATGTTTTCACTCTGTGCAGTGAGCCTCTCGACAAATCATAGTTCCAGAGTGTTTCTGTGGGTGCTTTGAAGATATTCATGTAATGCAAGGAAGGTCAATTACTTTGGTCAACATAATGCAGATCAATTTTTGCAGGCTATCTATTATCTATTATAGGTCAGTTCCTCTAATGTCACTTTCCTGGTTGTTTTTAATATGCTGCAAAGAGTACTGCAATCACAGTATGGAGGAATATGGTCAAAAAATGTGTCCAAATTGTGCACCGCTAACGTACACCACAAAATACAATGTCATTTTGCCAATTTGTCAAAGTTTTACAGTTTGGAAGACAGTGCGGTCATACCTGCTGTCCCCAGGCTGATTTCAAAGCCTGGAACTTGACGACATTGCCACTGTTGAAGGCGTACAGCGTATCTATAAGCCACTGCTTGTCTGTATTTCTCAAAGACTCCAAAACCGGGTGCATTAGCTGACAAAGAAACAGGTTTACATCATACACCGATATAACAAAAGGCAGTGATAATGATCGTCCTCTGTGGAATAGAGGCATGGTGAGAGAGCCCAAGAGACTTACGAGTTCACCAAAATTGTAAACTCCCTCTCCCAGCAGTCCTGCGAGGCCCAGTGTAAAAGCTCTCTCCTGTTTTTCTGTTTCTAACAATGGAAAAAAACAAGATAAACTACTTGATGGAGACAAGTACAGCACAAAAGTACTGCAGCTTAGGAGTGAGATTGGAATGAGATGGATTTTATATGTATTTTATTGCCAAAGAAAGATAAAAAGTAGTTCGTTAAATGTGCACTAAATACAGTAAAACAACTACATTACATACCAGACAAGTCCTTCACATCCACACAGCCGAGATAGCGCAGGGCATCCTTGTAGTACAACGCATGGTTTCCCACAAAACGATAGTACTTGCTAGATAGATCATAGAAGCGACCGTGGACTGATGTTACACCCGGCAAATTATTCAGCATCTCTTCCACCTCCTCTATCAATTTCTGTAAACCATGAACACAACTCTAAATCATTAACTGTAGGACAAGTGTCAAGTGTAATCATCTCGTTCCCACGCCTTACTAAGTCGTGGCCACGCATTATTTTTATTTATACAGGATGTCACCAGCGGGGCTCCGTACATAAGTGAGAAGTTGCAGGGATATATTTTCCCAGCAACAGGATGTGCATTAAAAGGGCTCATATTTTACATTTTTCCATTTTTTTTTCCTGATATTCGCTTATAACATTTGGGTACTACTAAAAAAGTCATAATTCATTTTTACCTGACTATTTTCTAAGCTCTCTTTATCCCTTACAATTAAACAGGCTGTTTTTGTTACTGTGCCTTTAAGGCTGATACATGTAAATGAGCTCTGTTCTGATTGGCTGCTCTACATTGTGCCTCTTTCAAAAAATATTAGGTTGAAACTCTGTATAACCTAAGCATTAATGGGTGGGGCTAAACCAGTGCAGGTTGAATAGGCAGATACATGTAAATGCAGATACATACAGTGTTTATATATATAAAAATTAAATCCTTCATTTTTCTATTTTACATTTATTTTGCATTTTTACGCTCTCACCACTACAGTGTGTGTTCCTTGTTACTGATATTTATCATTTTTTATTTATTTAAAAAAAAAAATGATATAACCGTTGAATTTCTATCATTTTAATAGTTTCCCCATAAAACAAAACAGGAACAAGGCAGAAGTTGATCAGAAATGTGTTCAAAGTTTGAACTGATGCAAAATACTGGTTTTATTCATCCATGTAAAAAAATTTCCTTGTTATTTCATTCAAAGTATTTATTTGAGTTTTGTAAAACATTATATTAAGTAATTCCAAACAATTCTTTACAAGGAACTATATTTTGTAAATTATAGAGGCTATATTTTAATAATTACCTTGAAAATTCCCCCAGATTATGAATTAAATAATAACAGTTTCATAATATTGTCTTACAGATTTTCTTTTAGTAATCTGAGGAAAAATATTATTGTTTTATTATTATTTGCACATATACATTTACACATTTTTCTTCAAATCTGCATTGTGGCAACAAGAATTGTTTCACTTATACAGACACAAAAGTGGTCCTACCTACCCTGTGTGAACCGTGAGGTGTTATGATGAAAATCTATCAACAGGGTAGTTACCAGTCAGTTAGAAGAGCCTGATGACACTGCATTCAGTAATTAGCGTAGTGCTGTGACAGGCTAATTTGCAGAGTAAACAGGTGAGTGAACGTGTGCAGGGTCCCGTCAGCAGAGCTCTGCTGTGTTTGTTTACTTTTTACTGGTGAATACCTTCATTTGTTACAGTCTAGGTTCCATCTGTGGAATCTGTTTGTGCTAAAGCTAAGCCATCCTATTCTCTTTCTCCTTGTTCAGTGTGTCTGGTGAGCTTTCTAATCATTAGACTCGTGTAGCGAGGGCCCAAATCAGGGGTCAGCAACACGCAGCTCCAGAGTACATGCGCCTCTTTTACTGCCCCTTGTGGGTCCAGAGCAGAATTCGATTTTTAGCTAAAAATAAAATAATCCTCCTTTGCAGTAAAATAAAGCTCTGCTGATCGTTCAACACAGTTTTAACAATAAATGGTCTTAAACACTGCAGTTAATGTAGAACTGCTAATTCACCTTCTGATGGTCACACAACAACGCAGACTACAATCTTGCCTTGCTGGAGATGCGAGAAAAGAGGCTATAGCTAAGCTAAAGCTTAAAGCAGAGCTTATAGAAAGTCTGCATTTAATTTATATGATATTATTTTATAATACATTATATTTTTAGCCTGTATTACGACATTAGCACATATTGAGACATCTTTGCAGCCAATATAATAAAATGTTACACCAATAAAATGGACACAAAATGTTGTGGCTCCCAAGGTGGATTTTTTTTGTTAAAACAGGACAAAATGGCTCTTCTTAACATTTGGGCTGGCCTAAATGAATAATGTCTATGGCCTGTGAACTTTTTTCTTACTGTTGTGCACTCAAAAAAAAGTGGTAAATTTCAATTATTTGATACAAATACAAGATTTCCTCATGGATAAAAAAATGCAATACACCAATTTGTCTTTCAGCTTACTTTTGTCAAGAATTCTGTTGATGTAATATTTTATTTATTGATTTGTAAAACAGTAAAGAGTTATGTGCACAGAAAAAAAAAAAAACGAATCACTTTTTTACGTCATTTTATAGCACTATTTTATTTCGTTTTTTCTAGCAGCATGTCACTCCAATAAAATCTCTGACTCTAACCTGGCCACCCCATTCTAAAAGTTACAGTCCTGCTACAGTCCTGGTTATTCTGCACTGGAGAGGGTGAAGTAGCTGAAATCCTTGCAATATTTGGCCAAGAAATGTTCATTTTTAAATGTTGTTTTTTTTTTTCAGCTGATGCATTTTTGGCAAAATGACAAGCCACAATGCATCTTTGCTCATAAAGGTCTAGACCTTTCCTGGATGCTCCTTTCATAGCCAAGTATGATGGCATCACCTGTTTGAAATGTTGTTTTTGCACATTTCACAATGTTCTGAGTCGTACATCACCCTGTTTCAACTTTTTTCGAAACTTTGCAGGCATCAATTTCAGAATAAACATATATTTGCCAAAAAAAAAAAAAACACACACATTAAGCTGATAAAAGTAGCACTTTTACCTACTGTCTGAACTCTCTGGAATTCGGTTTGTAAATAATAAAACACTTAAATGTCTGTTACATGTTTCAAATACTTCAAATGTTTATGTTTAAGCAGAGTTGGCCTAAGCAGCTGTAAAACCCTGTGTGGAAACTCTCAATTACTACTATTAACAACAATCCTAATACAATCAATAACACTTGTGGGACAGCCCTACAAAATATTACATACATATATAATACCTTTGTTGCAGTGAGCTCACTGATCTCTAATTTCAGACTCCCAATAGTTGTTTTGCACAGGATGACGGCCTCTTCACTGCTCTTCACCTGTTCACACAATATTATATATGAACCATAATTGCACTGAGAATCCTTCAGCTCTGTAAGATATTTATTAGTCAGTCGCTCACCTTTTCTTTAGTCTTCTCAAGGAAGGTGATGGCATCATTCGGGTCTGCCAGAAGATGAAGTTTTTGAGGAGTCAAAAATGATAAACCATGTAACGTTATGTGGCTTTAACCTATTTCAGTTTCAGGACTGTGACTGACTGGAGGACAATCTCAAAGTATGACATAATAACAGAATTTGGTTCTTTTGTAGCTCAAGCAACAATTTTATGTACCATATTATAACACCATATGTTTTATTCATGTTATATGTAATTGTGTGTCTTGGTCAGCTCATTTGTCCGTTCTGTTCCTCTCCAGGGTTAAAAAGGGCACATTTCCAGAAATGCTTACTACGAATCAGCACTGATCCTGTAAATGTAAACTGAATAAAGTGAAGCAAAAAAAATGTAACAGCACTGAACCGCATTCCAATTAGTCAGCGAGTCTGTGATTCTGTAGAACAAAACGATACCTAAAACTAGAAGCATAGCTCTGAAATTTGGGGTTTAAATTAGTCTGGTCCTGCTCTATTCACCTCATGCTTACCTGTCATCTGTCTGACAACGAAAAGAACAATCTCCACCAGGGAAAGGGGGTTTATCCTGGAAAGACCGGCAAATGTGAATTATGACCAGTGAGCAAACCAGCAGACAAAACAAGTAAAAACCTTATTTTTAAGGTGTTATTTTTGTCTGAAGTAAGAAATGTTCAGCCTACCTGTGCTCAAAATCACATATAAAGTTTTCATAAAGCTGGAAAGGAAAAAAACACAAGTCAGGCATGAATTTGAGTTGATTAACATACACACAATTCATATGGTACGTGGTGAGCTATGGTATATAGAAATATAAAAAACTACCTGTATAAGGCTATCATCGGTTTCGAAGTAGGGGTCTTTAACAAACTCTGACAACTTCAGAGTCAACTGATGCCACAACCTGAGAATTACAAAAAAAACAAAACAGTACAATCAAAATATATATGCTGTACATATAATAGACATGAAATTCATTTTTCAACCAACTGTTAAACTAAACAGTGTCTATAAAACTGATCTACATCAATGCATAAAACATCCATATACACCAATCTGCCTTAATATTAAAACCTCCTCCTTGTTTCTACGCTCATTGTCCATTTTATCAGCTCCACTTACTATATAGGTGAACTTTGTAGTTCTACAATTACAGACTGTAGTCCATCTGTTTCTCTGTATAAATTTGCTACCCCCTTTCACCCTGTTCTTCAATGGAAAGGACCCCACAGGACCACCACAGAGCAGGTATTATATGCATGGTGCATCATTCTCAGCATTGCGGTGGCACTGATGTGGTGGTGGTGTGTTAGTGTGTGTTGCGCTGGCAGGGGTGGATCAGACTTTAATCACTGTGTCTTCTCACCGTCCACTCTATTAGACACTCCTATCTTGTTGGTCCACCTTGTAGATGTAGAGACAGTAGCTCATCTGTTGCTGCACAGTTTGTGTTGGTCATCCTCTAGTCCTTCAAAAGTGGTCTCAGGACGCTGCCCACAGGACGCTCTTGGCTAGATATTTTTATTTGGTGGACTATTCTCAATCCAGCAGTGACACTGAGGTGTTTAAAAACTCCAGCAGCACTGCTGTGATCTCTGATCCACTCATACCAGCGCAACACACACCAACCACATCAGTGACAGTGCTGAGAATAATCCACCACCCAAGTAATACCTGCTCTGTGGTGGTCCTCTGGGGGTACTGACCATTAAAGAACAGGGTGAAAGGGGGCTAACAAAGTATGCAGAGAAACAGATGGACTACAGTCTGTAATTGTAGAACTACAAAATGCACCCATAAGGTAAGTGGAGCTGATAAAATAGACAATGAGTGTAGAAACAAGGAGGTGTTTTTAATATTATGACTGGTGTATAAGGCAACATTAAAATAATCCATGAGTAAACGTCCGTTGGTAAAACTAGAGTAGCTCATCAGACAAGACAAACTTATCTGTAAGTAACTTGGCTCCTGTTAGCCAACTAGCAGCATGACACAACTCACTTTTTGTTGTACAGCTCTTCAAGATCATGCCACTGAGCCGCCATGGCGGGAGTAGCGCTTTTGCTCTGCTGAAGAGACAGATATCCAGGCACATCTTTCATCCTGAACGTGTCCTGCGTTAATCACTACAGCAAGCTGGAACTGATGGATGGACAAACCTGACCACTTCTTCTCCCTAACAGTGAATCTGCAGTTCAACTCCAGTAACTTCCTGCACTGTGCCTGGACCTTAAATTCTAGAATAAAAGTCACTTGACTCTGACTCTGACGGAAAGACGAAGCAAGAAATATCGATTTTTTTTTTTTATTTTAGTTTACTTGAAAATGTACCACATAGAAAATATATAATGTATAAACATGGTTTGTAATTAAAAAAAATAAGCATTCATATTTCAGTTTATGGTGAAAAATGTGTTGGCATTAAATCAACCCAAACCCAAAGTATTCTAAATATGGCGCATTCATTTTTTAATTGTATTTTATTTTTTCTAATATACTTCAAAACGGAACATTTATTTAATTATATCGTTATTTGAAATTCATAAGATTATGGAACATTGAAATATAACATATGTAAATATATAAGTGTCTGAAACCTGTGCGTCATTTGCGTGGACTGTTTTGATGGTCACATATCATACATTACGGTATTACATCCGTGCACGTCAATGAGTGAACTTCAACCCTGAGATGGAAGCGCGTGGTATTTTGTTATTATTTACAGTAACTACTGAAATTTGGAAAATGTATTTGTAACACGAACTGTGAGTTTTCTGTACTCTGAATGTATTAAAATCATATCAGTTAGCTAACATTCGCCGGTTCAGTCAAACAGCATGACGTCCCTGCTTATTTTACCGAGACGTTTTATGTTTGCTACGGTAAACATGAAAAGTAATAGAAGATTAACTCTATTCCAGGGAAAAGGTAACTTGGCTCTTTACGTATTTTCCAGTTTTACGTTTCTAAACCCTTTTTAGTGGGTCCTAAACCAGGTCTGCATCAGGACTAGGACAGCTTTTGGCAGATAGTCTTCAGCCTGGCTCATAAGAAACCATGTAACTCTTCGCAGTGCCCATTTCTAATTGTATGTGCATAATGAATTCCTCCATATGTTCCTCTTGTTACCCCTGGGAGATGGTCTAAGGCTAACTGAACACTTTGCAGGTCTGTCAAGGACATATTATGCCAGTCTGAAGGTCTCTGCTCTTCACCAGAAGCTGTGGCTACTTTCACTCTGTCAGTAAGTATAGGTTTCTGATTTGCTATTTGGTACCACATCTTGCAGATTTCCTTAACAGCTGTGGCTCCCATATAGGAGAACCTTTCACAAATGCTGTGGAGACAGAGGGCTTTTCGGTGGAGGCCGAGGCAGTGCCCAGAAGCAGCAGACTTTAGAGGACATTGCGAAAAGCATCAGAGAACGAGAGTACAAAAGAATAGTTGTGATGGCTGGAGCAGGAATCAGTACACCGAGTGGAATTCCAGATTTCAGGTCAGAAATGCTTTCAGAATGAACACACACACATCATCTAAACCGCTTATCCTTCTGGGTCGCGGTGGGGTGCTGGAGCCTATTCCAGCTGTCACTGGGCGGAAGGCAGGATACACCCTGGACAGGTCGCCAGTCCATCTCAGGGCAGACAGACAGACCAGAATGAACACATTTTGGTTTTTTTGTTGCCTTTGCATTTCAGTATCACCTACCTGTAGTCTCTCTCGTCTCTGACAGGTCGCCTGGAAGTGGTCTTTATGACAACCTCCAACAGTATGACCTACCATATGCTGAGGCCATATTTGAAATTAATTATTTCCACCACAACCCTAAGCCTTTCTTTGCCTTGGCGAAGGAATTGTACCCTGGGAATTACCAGCCGAATCTGACACATTACTTCATCCGGCTACTTCATGACAAGGGGCAGCTACTCCGGATGTATACTCAAAACATTGATGGACTGGAGCGAAGTGAGTCTGTAGTCCAGACATTGAAAAATCTGGCTTTTTAACCCAGTTTAATCCAGGTCTTAGATTTTATACTGTTGTATGCAGATGTCTGAGCACACCTGGCGAAATGACATGTTTTGATGATTTTCTAAGTGAAAATAGGTTACCACATCCTTTACAGGAAACACACTTAAATATGCAAATTTTCTGCAAACTTAATTGCACAGTTTCTGTTTATTTAACTTATTGGAAAAATAAAACATAACATATTGAAGGGAAATTCCACCAGTCTATCAGAATTTCTGAATAATTCACTCCTTGAGATGTAAACAGAGTCATTCAGAGTGACAGTACCTACAGATGTCTTCTGAGTTTTTATATGTAATGCTGATGATGGTAAAATAGTGGTATATCTGTGAAAAATAACTTTCCTTTAGGGACTTTTTTGAATAACAACACCTTGCATGTACCCCTCTGCCATGAATGGCCTACAGTAAATGGGTTAAAATACATTTTAAGCCAAAACTTTAGCAGAAAACTATCATAAAACACTGTCAGGCACTGGGCAGCATATATCTAACCACTTCAAGTAATAACTTTCTCTGAGGGAGCTTTTAGGGACATTAAACTTTTCAGACGTCTGGTTCCTATCACCACTGTGAACAGTTCTGACTCAGCAAGTTTCTCTAGAACAGAGTATTTCTCAACAAACCACTCTGAATGACTTTGTTTACATCTCAACCATTTCATTATGTAGAATTTTTTGAGAAATTGGTGGAGTTCCCCTTCAAATGTGCCATAACCTTTGAATAGGCCACATTTTATGTTTTATTTTTTGTCCAATATGTTAAATTCATCAAGTAAACAGTAATACAATGTACAGATGTGTGTTGTCTGTCATGGATGTTTACTTATTTTCACTTAGAAAATCAACAATACACATATAAATTTATGGCCACCTAGTGTCATATTTACCAGCAATTACAAAATCCAGATCTCTCTCAAATCTTCAAATCCTTTTATGGAACCTGTGCAAATTGGTACATAGTATATTTAGCACTTGTTTGTGTCTTTTAATCGCACTTGTATTTTACAATTCAAGTGGCAGGTATTCCACCTAAGATGCTGGTGGAGGCACACGGAACCTTCGCCACAGCCACCTGCACAGTTTGCCGCAAGGACTACAAGGGAGAAGAGCTGCGTGTAAGTGTCTGTGCACCTCAGAAAAGTGTGATCATATGATTAAAAAAAGTTAGCAAGAGCTGAATATGCGTATTTCGTGCTGAATCATGTTCTTTGAGGAGATCGAAGGCCTACTGCTTCATTTTTTTCATTCTTTCCTAGAATGATATAATGGCAGGAACGGTGCCTAATTGCCCTCACTGTAAAGGAGTAATTAAGCCTGACATTGTGTTCTTCGGCGAAGAGCTGCCTCAGCACTTTTTCCTATACCTCACAGACTTCCCAATGGCAGACTTGCTAATTGTAATGGGAACATCTTTAGAGGTAAGAGAAGCCTGTGCTATCACATGAAGCATACTACACATTATATACATCAAGTAATTCTGACTGAACATAAACTTATCTTTTGCCACTCGTGCAAACTTATTAGCTTAACATGAGTGTGTTTAAGTAATAGTTCAGCAAAAAAATCAAAGTCATAGTTTTACCCCAAAACATATTAGTTGATCAGCCAAGACATGCTTGGTGTGTGAAGTTCACTTCTTTAATTTTGAACTGAATCCATTATAGCTAACAAGTAATGCTTATTATCGTGAAAACAGTCACATAAAAACATTTTAAAGTGTGAAGTGGCTTGTACTTTTTACCAACATTTTTACAGATAATCTCACATGAGCCACATAAGCAACATTGTTAATTATTGCCAGGTTTTTGTGGATTTTTAGCACAATTTTCCACAGTAAAAATCTGTATTCATCATTTTAAAGTCAAATTAACTCATTTAAAGATATTTTCTGTAATAACGTAGCAAATTACATTCTTTAAAATTTTACATGAGATATCATGTGCACATACAGTACAAAATATAGTAAATTAATATGTTGATACTGTTTGTACATTATCAATTTATCAATTATAGGTCTGGTAAAATTTAGTTTTTTAATTTAAATTTTAATTTATTTTTCATATGTCCATTTACAGTAAACTACTAGCTGCTGAGTTGCATTACTTTTACACTGGTTTTGTACAAATGCAGGGGAATACAGGATAATTTACATCACAGTAATTTTGTGGTCCAGGTGATTGTGAAGTCAGTTGCATTACTGTATAAATAATGCAACTAGTAGCCATAATTTACTGTAATTTTACAATGAAGTCTCTTTGAGATTAAAAAATAAGGCTTGAGGCAAATGTGATGATTTAGCCATATAGTTTGCTCAGTGCTATTGCTTGTCACCAACATTAGCCTCATAGCTCCAGTGCAAACTTAAAGAAGCAAATTTCAGACATCAAACATGAATGACTCCATTTGTGGTTACTTCTGTCAATCGATCGCTTTAACTTTTTCTAGTTTATGAGACTCTATGTCATCATCTTCTCAAGGCTAAAAGGCAAATTAAATTACCCAGAAATGTTATTAGTGATTATCACCCACAGATGTCACTCTCGAGTCAATTCTTATTTGCTGGAATTTTCGGTCTCATTGTCTGCAGGTGGAGCCCTTTGCCAGCTTGGCTGGAGCAGTGAGAGGTTCTGTGCCCCGCCTCCTAATAAATCGTGATCTGGTGGGGCCCTTTGCCTGGGGGTCTCCACGGAACAATGACGTGGCAGAATTGGGTGATGTGGTCAGTGGGGTGAAGAAACTGGCAGAGGCCCTGGGTTGGATGCCTGAACTGGAAGCTCTTATAGCTGCTCAAGGACAGCAGGTTAGTGAAGTCATATTAGTAGTATCAGTTTATTTTTTTGTACTCCTTTTTTTTTTAATCTACTGTGAACTCCTGAGACTTATCATTCACATGTTATGTAGTGAGGAACTTTAGTGTGTCCCACATATGGACCCTTAAGTTAAGACATTACCCGTTTCCAGACTATAAGCACAATTTGACAGGTCTTTACAACACATTGCATTTGTTAAGGTGACATTAATGAGCATTAAACAACCAAAAGTACTGAGATGGGATTAAAAAACATAAATTTACTGCTTAATATTCTAGCCCTCAGTGTTCTGTAGGATGAGGGTGGATCCTTGTGATGGCCTAGAGGCTGCAAAACATCTTTGTTCTCACAGTCACAAAAGAGTGAAAATCAGAGGATC